TAAACAGCTAAAATGGAAAGAACCCCACTTTGCAGAGAGTCTGCACATTTGCATCCCATACTGTACATTCTCAGAGAGGAACATTCCAGAAGCTTAATCTTAACCTGTAATGTTTATTGCAAGAATAGTTCAAACACTTGCTTGGGATCATTGTGCTGCCATGACCAAGTTTCAGCCTTCTTACTAAAACTGTCATCATCTGATTAAAGAAAACTGCTCAGTGATAAAAAAAATAATAAATAAATAAATAAATAAAAAATCAAATGGAACCTGAGAAACTCAAGTGTGCAACAGTGGAGTCTACTAGGGCAATTGTGTGACGAAAAAAAGATGAAAAATCACCCTGAGAAAGTTGAGACTTGGTGCTGGACCACAAAGACAATGCAGGTAACAAAAAGAAGAAAATCGATCTGCACATTAGATAGTCTGAAAACTTTTGTCTAAAAAAGGGCGCATGGTCCAAATATCTGCTGTTTGAATAAAATAATTTGGGAGCTAAAACTAGTGGGCATATCTACCTTTTTCATTTTCCAACTGTGTAACTGCCCATAGTGAAGAGCATAGATTAGAAAGAAGCAACTCCTCAAAAAATCTACTTAAAAAAAAAAAAAAAAACATAAGCAGCCTACAACGATAAGCTAAAGACACTGGAGAAGAGTTTATTCAAAGTGATAGAGACTAAGCTTTTTGGCCTCAGTGACAAAAAGGATTTTTGGGAACATCAATTGGAGGATTCCTTCCTTCAGGACAGTGGATCAACTTTTTAGCACGGTAGTAATGGTACTGTTGAGAGTCATACTGTTGTAGATCAAAAAGGAAAAGTAGTAACTAACCTGTCGATTTATTCTCTTAGCAAACTGACTTGTTTGGGTGTTCTAATAGTAAAGTTTTCCTAAAAGCACAGCAGCAATGGCTTTGGAATAAAAATTGTTTGCAATGGTTTCTGAATTCGACCTGTCTATAATCTAGAGAACCATGCGTAAAAGGCAGATACCTACCAGCAAACACAAAATTGCAAAGGATTAACACCCGTTCTTAAAAAAAGAGTGTCTAGAATTCCAGTTAACATGGTTAAAACATTCCACCTGACACTTGTGAAAGTAAAGCACATGTTTTAGCCTATGAGTGGAATTTTAACAATGAGTGTACTTAAGAAAAAACACAAAATGCCCATTACTGTTCATCACTGAAGATTACTTACAACACTGGAGAGCTCACAGCAGCTTTCTGAATATGCCTGCTCTGGATCACATGACACTTCCATCTGTTGGAGATCTACCTAATTACCAAAAAAGAAATCATAAAAAAAAAAATGAAACTGCATAAAAATAAAGACACGTTTTAAATGATACTCAGATTCAGGTTCTTAACATACAGAAGCTGAGCGGTCTCTTGCAGCTCGCTTGATGATGGAAGTGTAACCTCTGCGAGTGACTGGCCTCTGCTCATCGATATTCTCCACTTTGACCTCCTCACAGTCTATCAGCAATCTCACCTGGCTGTCCTTTAAGCTTAATGCCAACTTGTGCCAGTCTCCATTAAACAACTTTTTTAAACCATGGAAAGTCCTCACCATCTGTGTCCCCTGGGGGCCAGTATAGAAAAAATCTAATGACCGTGCATCAGGCTGGAATCGCAGGCCGACTTGTTCACGCCCCTTTGGATCACTGACTTGCCAAAGGTCCCATGAACTCTGAGAAGTGTCATTGGTCATTTTAAATGTTGCAATGATGGAATATTTGGATGGAAATCCATCTGGAAACACATCACTGTGGAACAAAAGTGAAACCAAGATTCAGAGAGATGGATAATGAAAAAAATGTATTAACATTAAAATAACTATGGACCAAACAAACAATTTGAGACATTTATTTTTGATTCAGTTCAATTCAATTAATTTATATTGTGGCAATTCACAATGCATGTCATTTACAGGCCCTTTAACCTGTTGACTGCATCAAGTCATTGACTTGCAAGACTGGATGAGCTTGCAGCAATGATTTTCACTTCTTGTGATTTTTCACTTTCACATTTTGTCGTTGACTCTTTAGCAACCCCACACAGCAAGCATGTATCTGGTGACAGGGGAGAGGAAAACCTCCCTTTTAACAGGAAGAAACTGACAGCAGAATCAGGCTCAGTGTGAACGACCTTCTGCCGAATCCGACAGGAGATAGAAGCAGATAAGATGAAGCTACTATAACAGGACAAAGCAGAGAGAACATACAGCAATGAGTGGATCTTAACAAATACTGCAGAGTGGGAGAATAGAGATAGAATGGAGGAAAATGAGGAAAAGTGTTCCCTAGGTGATCCAGCAGCCTAAAGTCATAGTATGAATATAGAAAATAGCTCAGGATAACTAATTGGGAGGAGGTATGAGAGAGGTAGTGCCACAGTAGGATTCTTTATCATTAGGCAAACCACATGTAAAAATAATTTAAGCATTTAATAGTAGTTCTCTCTTTGTGTTCAAGACTGCTTTTATGCTGCAAGGTTTCAGTCTTAAGCCTTTTGCACAGTCAGAGGTTTTCTTTCAGGATTGCCTTGCATTTACTAATACTTAGTTTTACATAATTTCTAACCAGCTTCCCTGTTCCTGCTCAAAAAGTATCCCCACAAACTGATGCTCCCACATTTATGGTTCACTGTGGAAATGCCAGAGCACCTTCTTCCTTGTGTTTGCTGTTATATGCCAATTTGCAGCAAACTATAAAGATGGCCTCTTACAGGCTTTGTTCAACAAAAGATTTATTGTTGTCAATATTCCATAAAGTTCCAATTTTTGCAGTGCATAACCAATAATTGATTTTTATAAAGATTATACCACATGATCTTTGGATCTTGGTAGCTCCTCATGAGTTTTCACAAGCCTCTTGGTCTCTAAGGTTGTCAGTTAAGGTGGGGTTGAATTTCATTATTTGTTTAGTTTTTTGTTGTTTTTTGTTTTTGGAAGGGGCTTTCATCATCCCTTTATCATATAAAATCAAAATATCTAAAAAAGCAAAAAAAACAACAACATACATATTGGCCCTCTGAAGATGGATGGCGGGATTAACGCGGTAGGCCACTGCCTCAGGTTGGGACCCATGCACTCTCTTCACCCCTCTTGACTCAGCCACATGGAACTCCTCCAGCAGATCAAAACCTCACAAGAAAAACATATAGGCCTAGTTTGACGTCACTTCAGTTTAATCATCAGAAAATCTGGACTGCTTTTGAATCATAGATCAGTGTAGATATCATTGATTTATGTTAAGTAGCTGAATTACTTAGTGGTGTGATTAATGACGCAATCCTTAAAATCCAGTATTTCATTTTTCCTAACCTTGTATTCGGCCTCTGAACTTTTAACTCTGGTTAGCTTCTGATGTTGTTTGTAATTGCCTCTAGGTGGCCCTTTAAGGGTAAAAATTCTGAATGAAAGATGGATGAGGTTTTAATTGCAAATACAGTGATGTAAACAGAGAAAAAAAAAACTGTCTTTCTTTTCTCCCATACAGAAAGTTGTGCCAGGTAGTTCAGTCAAATGAGCATTCTATAGGCCGTTTAATTTACAGTGACAATGAGCCTAGGTGGCAAAACATCAAAGCCCCATGCACTCAAATTAACCTCATGATGACCACATAATAGCATGCTTGCAATCAGAACAGGGAACAGTATTGATTGCAGTGAAGAACTCTAAAACACTGACATCAGCTGGTCATAATATGGAAGTGCAGAGGTGACTTTTTTAAAGATGAAACTCTTATAATATATTTTAATAGTTTAATATTGCTTAATATATATATAGTTTTATTTTTTTAACCAAAGAATGTGTTTTCATTTATCTAGCCATGTCTTTAAAATGTGAGATTAGAGCATTGTTATAAACATTTTATTTGTATTTAATATTGTTATTGATGTCAGTATTATATTGGGGTATTATTGCAAGCACTTAAGGATTCAAACTTACTTGGCAAATTTTGACAATGGACGGCTCCGAAGGTGGAAACGAGTGCCACAAATACCAGCATATCCGTTGAGACTGGCATAATTGATGCTTTTAAAGACAGTAGTTTATGAGTACCTGTGATACAGAATATTAGTGTGACAATCATTTGAACAAAAAAAGATTCACTGGTACTTTATAGCCTCTAAAGGAAACATATTAACAATGCATTGCATTAATTAACTTCATAAATAACGAATAGAGGAAAAAATAAAAGCAAACAACAGAGAAAAAAAATATATCCAATAATAATTTTTTTCCTCAAGTAAATATTGATTGGTAAAATTTTCTAACTTATTTGAGGCAGATAATTTGCACATCAAATATTTAAGTTCCCTCATTGATTTTTAATTACCAAATTCTCTTGCCTTCAGTTAAAAAAAAAAACTGCATCTATACTACTTTGACCCAGAAATGAATGCAAACAAGTTATTTTGTGAGAAGCTCACATTATATAAGTGTTCCTCTTTAAATAATTTGTCACAATGGTTCATAGTGTATTTTCAAAATAAAGAAAAAAACAGGAAACTACTCACATATTACTGATGGTGTCAGGGATCCTGCTGACAGACCTTGTACGGGTCCTGCAGAGATAATATATCCCACTTTAAAGTGAAACTAGAGGGCCTGGGTTTGTGCTGAACAGGAGGACCATTCACACAGGAAAGCTCAGGAGCCCAAAGCGCTCTTGTCCCTGTGCTCCATTACACCTGTGGTCCCTAAGGGAATCTGTCTTTTCTCATAGGCCTGTTAGCCACCAGTCATATTAATATAGCGTACTTCAGGCTGCCACTCTGAGTTAACACATGACGCATAAGGCAGATATTGCTACTTATAGGAACAACTAAAAGTGGCATAAAAGCTATAAAAAAAAAGATGAATAAGTAAAAGTTGTTTAAGGCTCTCAAGAATCTGTTTATAAGTGGAATTCTGTGTTGCTTTTAGCACCGCATTTGTAGATCTCCTTGCAAATCTGATCTTAACACAATCTTCAATAAGTGATATCTTAATGCACGATTAAAAACATATATATATATATTGTTTCATCATTGACATTCGTTAACTGGGAGAAAGACATAGTATTTCACAGTCAAACATGAGGCGCTCTGCAAACATTCCAACCTGATGAAGCACCATAGAGAAAAAAGGGCTAAAGATCATTAAGGGTCACACTTTACACAGATAACAGATGCACTACCTAAACCCAGATACATAGTTTTGAAGATCAGTTGAACTTTTCTATATTTTGTTTGGTGCATTTGCATTAAGGCCCAAAGCAAAGCATATACATATCAAGTCAAAGGGATATCATGCAATCTACTAAACCTTCTTTCAAATACCATTATTAGAAATGCAGCATATAATTTTGTTTAGGTTTAATTTCAGCGTAAATAGAGCTGTTTTTGGAAAACCATACAACTTAGAAGCCAAAGTGCCTCTGGAGGAACCACAAATATGTTGAGCTCAGGAGGGAGAATCAGATTACATTAGACACAAATAAAAATGCCTAAAGATATTAAGATGTTGTACTTGGAGTTTAGCACAAGTCATGTGGTGGATAGACCAAATAATATATTCTGGAAGAAGAGAACTGTACTTTTACTACATGCAAAATCCTATGATTTGTCCAAAACAAGAACCGCACAACAGCCTTAGGTCACTAACCCCTCAATAAAACTGCAGGCAGCAGCACTATGCAGTAAAGAGGCAATGTAACCAAGGACAGAAAAGCTGGTCTGAATTGATGGGAAGATGGGATACCTGTTGAAGGCTGCATAAGACTTAAGAATGTGCAAGAGAGCCAGCTTCCTGCAGAGCAATTAAGAGTTAAAAATACAGTCCCAAGTTTAAAAGAATGCATTTATTATTATTTCACCAATTTTGGAAATACTATTTTGCAAAACAAAGCAAAAAAGTTCATAGTAGTCAGTCTCCAAAATCTGCAGCAGAATTGCAAAGTTGGTTCTCTGAAGCTTTAAATCAGGGGATATATACAGTCCTTATTGGATTTTTATCAGTAACTTTGTTTTAGAATTAAATAAAATGTTCCTACCCTAGAACTTTATATTGGTCTATTAAATAAAATGCAACTAAAATACATTAAAAAGTATCATTGTAACATGAGCATGTTACTGATTGTAGCAAGAAAAGGGCATTGATTACAGGGTAATGACCAGTTTCCAGTGGCTTTTTGCAAGCAGGTTTATTACAAAGTAGCATTACAGTAACAATTTAAGCTCTATCGAAATGACAATACATAGACATGAATGCAGATAGAATGGCTACATAGAGGTGGCACTTCATCAACGCCACACATTGCTGCGTAGTGGAGAAAACAAAGGAGCAGCTGCTGTGACAAACAAATAAAAAGCATGAGGATTACAAGGCTTCTGCTACTTCTCCTATGTAGGAGTTTTCAAAGGTTTCTGGAGTGCTTACTAGTGTTTAGTGTAATATATTGCATTGCCCTTTCAAATGCAAGGTGGCAGTATGATATAGCACTTAAATAGATATTTTTTAGTGCCTCAAGCTGTATGATATTGCACCAAATGCTCCAAAATATCAGCAGGCATAGGTTACAGTACATTCAGTTACTTTCAAAATGCTCTCCTGCTTTTTTGCCCTTCATCAGAGTGAAGAAAAATTCATTTGACCATTTAGCATGGTTATTCCCAGATTTTTTAGTGTTCATCAAACCTCTACAGGATTTGCATAAATAAAATTAAATACAATACAAAACAATTTGACATTTTCAGAAAAAAAAATAAAATACATTAAAAAACCAACACACACAGGGCCATCAACAATCCATTCGCACACAATATTAAACCATATTGCCTCTTAACAGAATATTTTACATCTTCCCAACATATTAAATAACACTCAGCACATTTGCAGTCTCTTAAGGTAGACATCTACAGTGTTCAGCAAATAATTCGGGTGCAACTAGCTTCAGGGTCATTGTTTTAAAGGCCACTGGCTATCGCTTGGATCCCTTGGCCAGTTTGCTTGTAGGAGTGGTTCTCCTTTGTGGAGTGGGGATCTTGGATTGTTTTCCTCCTTGTTGGCGGGATGTGGGGCGTGGCGTTGCCCGTGTGGATTCCCCCACTGTCTCAGACACATCTGAACACACAGACTGGATGTCTGAGATGTCAAAGTCAGAGGCGTCGCTCCCTCTGCGACTGCTGCCTCTGCTGCCGGCTTTACTTCCTGGTCGGCTGGAATTTTTTCTTGACTCTGGAAACATAAAAGCATAAAATAGTAAATAAACATTATGAAAATTATATATTGGCAGTAAGTGAACATGTACAGCTTTTACAGAATCACAAATCCTTAATCTCACTCCAATAGTAAATCCCTCCAAGAAATGTATTTTTCCTTAATTCTAAGCAGAAACATGTAAATTATCTGCAACATATCTTAATAACTATTCTGGCATTTAAAAATGAAAATGATGAAAAAAATATATAAAAATGTTCCAAGTTGTAAAAAGTTTTTTTATATCTGCAGAGAATTGTGTGTTGAGATTCATTCTTTATGAAAAGCAGATCGGTGACCATGGGGGACTTATGAGGGAGTGGCGGCCTAGTGGTTAGGGCAAAGGGCTTTGAATCCTGAGGTTATGAGTTGGCAGTGGGGCACCGCACAATGGCAGCCCACTGCTCCCCAAGGGGATGGGTTAAATGCAGAGAAGTAATTTCCCTCTGGGATTATTAGAGTATATAAAATAAAAAAATACATTAAAAAAATCAAAAATCGAATATATATATAAAAAAAAAATTATATTGGCATTTACATGCAGGAAAATTTCCAGAGAGCAACCTTACCACCAATTGTCTGTGCTCGTGCTTTCAGTACAGCATTGTTGATCAAACTTCCCTCTTCACCTGACTGAAATCCTTTGCCAGATAAATAGCCTGGAAGACGCAGTTTGCTGCCTTGAACTGCTGTGCCCTTTAAAACAAACAGACAAACAAGAAAAAAGAAATAAGTTATGTTTAACATATATAAATGTAAAAAAAAAAAGATTGAAACTTAGATTGAAACTTTTAACTTTTTATAAAAGGTGAGTAGTTTTAAGTGAGTAGTTGTTAGTATAAAAGGGTTCATATTTCAAAATAAAAAACTGATCAAAATATAGCAGCCAGCTTTCAGGACCACATTAGATATTGAGTGAATGATGGAATAGATAAAAATATACCACACCAATTAACAATTTTTTTTAAATCAGTTTTTTATATCAATTTATTTGTAAATTAAAGAAAAAAGGACACATGCAAAGTTAACATCCTAATATTGATTTAGTCTCTTATATTAGTTTGAAATACTATGGATTTCAGTTGGGTTACAAGCCTGCAGCATTCTCCATCACATTATGGTTTCTACGATACCTCTGAGGATGAACCTTGACTTTCAAAGGAGTCTGATGATTTTAGAGGAGTGGAGGGTTTGCTGTTTGTAAGCCATGGCTTATCATAATTGCGAGTAATGTTCTGGGAAGTCTGGGAAACGATGGCAAATTAAGAAAAATTGATTCACAAATCAAGAACTATAAGGAAAACTAGGTGGATGGTGTACGTAATATATGGGGTAAAAATACATGTGAAATAGATGAGATGAATATCAATGTGTCGTGGGCAGGGAGATAAATGAAAACAAGTTTTCCCTCTTACCTTAGGAGTGCTGGAGGCAGCAGGATTTGGCGGAACTGGGTAGCTCTGACTCGAGGTGGATCTGTTGGGAGAGGCTCCTCTGGAAGACGGACGAGACCTCCGGCCTCTGTAGCGGAAGCTTGCCATTACCTGTGTTGCTCCCTCCGGAAGGATGAACTTTTCCCGGAGCTCCATGTTGGTCCGGCCTTTAGCTAAAACATGAAAAACCAGAATGAGTCACAAAGAGATCAATGAACCATCAGGGATTGTAACCCTCTCTTTTTAGTGTGTTGAAGAGATGATGACAAAGGTAATGATGATGATGATGATGATGATAATGATGATAACACTTTATTTTTTTACCACTTTATATTGGATTGGATTTGAATTTGACAAATTAAACTTTTGTCCTGTTTTTAAGCAGTTTTTGTCAAAAATAGCAGGTAAAGCAAAGTTTAAATGAATAATGTAACCACAACAAATATCCACATCCATATCAGTTGAATTAGTGGAAAACTTTAACTTGATGATGAAATAAAGTGTTAATGATGAGATGTTTTTTGTCATCTAAGCAAGATTCATGCAGCATCACATTTCACCCACTCTGAGTAACAGGAATCAAAACACTGCTGCAGTAACACAGGTATACCATAATACATTATAAAACAGTCAACATATTTCAGTAAATCAATTCAAAAGTTGAATTATAGAATAGAACAGACAGAGTGATGCATTATAAGCATATATTTTAAAGACTTCAGATAGTACTAGATTACAGCAAACTCACCTAGAGCCATATATCCATGTGTTTTTGAAAGTATGCAATCAATTCTTGGTTGGGGCTTGTTTTGGAATAATTACTGTATCATTGTAGCATGGCATAGAGACAATCAGCCTGTGGCTCTGCTGAAGTATGGACTTAATAAAACACAGCAGACCAACAGCAGCGGATGACATAGCTCCAAAATTCATCACTGACTGTGGAAACTTTGCACTGGTCCAAAAACAAATTGGACACTGAGCTTATCCACTCTCCCCATAGACACTGGAAGCTCAATTTTTTTCTGTGGCAAAAAAAAAAAATCTAATCCATATTATCTGGTAAAGAAATATGACCATGGTAGCCCATTGTCAGATGTTTAAATCTGCAGGCTCTTGCAGTTCTGACTCTGTCCTCAGGTTAGAAATTCTAAATCGCCTGAGAATGCTAGACTTTTTCACAGGTATATGGATTAAGTATTTTCAATAGCAATGGTATCTTATAGCTAAGCACAGTCTGACAGTTAAATAAAAAAGCAGCCTTATCCAATAAAGATTAGCCCAGAGGTTTGTAACAAGCGGCTCTGGAGTCTAATTGGCTTTTTGGAACCTCTACCATGGCTCTTAACAATGGCTAGAAATGATAAATAAGCCAACTATTGGTTTTGAATAAAGTCTAATAACAAATACCAGTCTAAAAGGCTTTAGCAGGTTTACGAAAGAAAATTTGAAATTCATTTTTTTTTATAATAGAAGGACAATAAAAAATATCACAAAAATGTTTTCAAGTGTCTTGTTTGTCATTATCTTGGAAATTCTGTTTTTTAATTCTGTTTTTTTTTTTTTTTTTTTTATGATGTTTTAGTCATCACATAACATGCTATTGCAGAAAATCCACACTTTCTCTTTATGAAACTATTTACCCTTGTTTTAAAACCTCAAAATACTAATTGTTTAAACAACCAATAAAAACTATTGGTTGTTTAAAATGGCAACAGATTTCCAAACAGCATATATTAGCAAAACAAAAAGAGAGTTGTGTTTTATTAAAATCTTGCGTAATATTTGCAGCTCTAAAGACTTTTATTTGGCTGGATTCTGGGAAAAATTAAAAAGTTGCAGATCCCTGGTTTAGCCCGTAGCATGCTAATAAAATACATTAAAACACGTTTATTAAACATTCCTTTCTTAAAACATCATAATATCAGACTTCATTTTGGGGCTTTAATTAGTTGTGATTAATCTACAATGGGGAAGCGGCGACTCCATGGGCAAATTAGTAGTTTCACAATCAGAATTTGTTGGTTCAAAATCAGCTTCTTCAAGTAATTTGACATATGCTCCAGTAGAAGGCATTAAAGTCTATATTGCCTACCTTTCTGTGTTTGAATTTAAGTGCAATCAGGTAAAAAGCCCAGGACAAGTTCTCTCCATTTACCCCTTTAAGAGAATAGAATATACTCAAACTATAATATAAGATTCTTATTTTTTATTTTATTTTTTGCATTGAGTTACTGAAATGAATGTTATAATTTAATCAGATGCACTTTTTCATCTTTTTCTAAGCCAGCACTTGAACCACAACAAATAAAAAAAAAACAGACAGCAGCAAAAAAAATCAACCTGGCTGCAAAAAGTTGCTGTTTCATGCAATTTAAACGAGAAAATAATGCTGTTTCAGTTTAACATATTAGAAAATTTGGTTTACAGTCATGTTGTCAGACAACTCTGTATATTTATAGTTGTTAAAGTCACACAGGCCTCTCCTCTTGAATTCTTAAATAGTCTAAGGTCATGGATAAAGTGACAGAAGATGATGTGAGTCACACAAACAACTGCATGCATGAAAACCCAGCGGCAGCTGACTGGGAGTGTTTTCTGAGAATGCAGTTTATTCACAGTGGAGCGCTTACACGCTGCTAGGTTACAGAAGTGATACACACCAGGACCAACACAAGCAGCACACACTCGGATGTGCAGACACACATACCGCCAGTGGGTTCATGGAGCAAGGTGAGAAAGTTTGAGATTTGCCAACCTATAGGAGACTGAGTAATTGAAGAGTTTGACTCCGAGCGCAACATTTTGCTCCCGTGGTGATGGACTAGAAGGAACGATACCGTGTTCAGCAGCAGGAGGGTTAAAGCAGGAGAAACATGGATTTATGTTAATTAAAGGAAAGCAGAAACATGAAGAACACTAAGGCTATGGATCAACAGTCATTATTAAGGGCAAAAACTTAAATATCCATATTCATTCAGCTGGTAAATGCAAAATAACATATCAAAATGATGAGTACCCTTGTAACTCCAAAAAAAGATCCTATGGCCAAAGAGGACCTCAGATTAAGATTCTGCACTCTCTGGGAAAAAGAGGCTGTATTACGGTAATTAATGCAAATTACTTATAGAAACCTGAGAGTATTTTCTCCAGCATTATTATATCTGTTTTAATGTGAAATGAAACACTGCTTAAAAGTAGCTGCTCTTTTACACAATTTAAGGTGACCTTTCTAGCTACAAAATATAAGTGACCCCCTATACAGTAAAAAGAAAGCTAAATGCTGTTTATTACCAATCTCATAGAGATCAGTATCAATACCTCATAGGTTTTCAAAATCAGAGAGCAGAAATTAGCCACAAAACTCTAATCTGTCTCTTTTTACAAAAGAGCTATAACTTGTACTCATAATGGATTCAACAACTATATTTTGAAATGTTCTAAGTCTTTAAATATGAAAGTTAGATAAATATAAATTTCTAATCAATAAAGTATTTTAAAAAAGAAATATCAACATTGCAATCATGCTGAATGTATTCATCAGTGTATTGCATTATATAATAAGAGTATTCTATTCATAAATCAAAGATGGTGTATCTTTATACTGACACAACCTGAACTGGTAATCTTGGAGTGTATGAACCTTATGTGCACAAACATCTTTGCAGAATTTAACAAAAACAGATTGTTTCATTTCACTCATATCCACAATGTTTACTTTCTGTCTGCTCTCACCTCGACAAGGGTCGTTCTTCACAAGGAATTCATCTAGAGCCATCCAGCCTCCGCCCACCCGCACCATGACGGTGCTGCGTAAAATTCGCACAAGACGCAGCTGCTGAGAGTCTCCAAACTGAAATGGGCCGTAAGGAAAGCAAAAGGAGGAAATGTTAGAAACACTGCAATGGAAGCTCACCTTCTGCTGTCAAACTAAAAAAAAAGACTTCTTTGATGTATCACAGTGATAAATTTAGCACAGATTTTAGTGGAATGAGATTATATTAGTGAGGAAAATCAGCCTTGTGAGCAGTCTGGTTTTCTCTTTACAAAATCACATGCATATGTAGACACATAAAACATAAAAGTTGTATTATCAAAAGTCTCAAATAACCCAAAGTTAAATCTAACTGGGTCTGTTCTTTTAGTGTGCACAGGGTGTTATTTTATGAGCACAGCCCTTCCTTTAGTACCCACAATAGTCTGATGTAAAGCCTGGATGAACGGTGTCATCTAAATTGTGAATTTCTGTGGCTGATGGTTCTATTTTATAACTGGTTCATGCAATCAGTTTTTCAGAAACTGACACAGCGCCTTTCATGTTTTTGGCTGGAACATCATTCAGGCTCAACATTCAGACTAGTGAGAGGTGAGTGTCATAAAAATTGAGGCTTCCTAACGGTTTCTGGAGCTAAGTAGAAAATGCATCAGTTTCTCAATTGTACCAGTTTTATAAACGGAACTGAATGATGTTTTATGTGTGTCATTTTTGCACATGTTAGTTCTCACTGTAATAATCTCACTTCAGTTTCAGTCACATGCAGCTTAACCTATAACTGCAAGTTTAGCTTATTGAAAAAATTAAATACAATTGAGTTGAAGGCATATGATTATACCACCAGAGGGTACTAGTGTACAATAATTTGCCTCCATCTTAACAAATCATATACCATACAAACATTGAGCATTTCATGGACTTAAATGCTTCAAGCTTCATGAAAGTAATGACATGGCAGTTGGAGTTGCACAAAAACGTGCAAATGACAATCACAATTGCATGCTCTCTGTCCATACAACAGGCTGACATCATGATCAAGGGAGCAAACATCCAACTCCAGCAACCTTTGTGGCACTTTCTACAGCTATAATTTAAATGCTGAGAATGCTGATGGCACTGATGCATATCAGATGCAGCTAGCTCTGCTAACACAGTGGGGAAAAATGGGGGAATGGTTCAAGTTGTTTCTGTTTAATTAACCATAGTGTGACACTCAGACATGACCAAACACTGATGATTTTCATCTAACTCCTTAAAGCTGCTTCAGGTTTCTTGATATAATCTTTTATGATCATAGAAATGATTAAATGTGACTGGTGATTCTAATGATCAGAAACATTACAGGTGATGAAGTAAAGAAGAGGCACAAAGAAACAGCTAAAGAGTAACCATTTACCAGAATACAGCTTTCCAAAACCTCAACGTGTAGGTGGTGGGTAAGATTTTGATTTTCCCTGTTTGCTATTGTCTCATCGCCCATTAGGGAGTCATGTAAGCAGTGAACCAGACCAAACTGTCAAAAGAGTTATTTCAATTCAATGTTGAGTGATACATTAACACAAACTGTTGCATAAGCCACCTCTTATACCCTTATCCAGTCTCACTAACCCTTATCTCAGATTGACTTTCTAACATGTACAGTCTCTTGCAAAAATATTTCATACCCAGTCAACCATTTTACATGTATCCACAATACAACCATAATCCTTTTATGTATTTCATTTATACAATTAACCGACACAATTTAATTTTATGTAAAATAGTTACAATTGGTATGGATACTTTTGCAAGATACTGTGATATCACAGAATGATTTCTCATGAAAGGAATTGAAATAAATGTTGATATCATTATAATTGCCCAACTTTGTAATTATTTCTCATAATGAGAAGTTGGCTGAAGGATGAACCTCTGTCAGCCATTGTGAAGGTAAATCATTCCCATGACACTGAAGCATAAAAGCCAAGCAAACAGAAAGCGCTGTTAGATGCGCAGCTGATGAATTTATGCCAGAGAACCACTGAATACACAGCCTGAAATGGTGCTGGCAAGTCAATATTGTATTTCCTGAAACTCAAAAGCAGATATATAAACACATATGTGAACAGTTGTCATGTTGGGCTTTTAATAGAATTAATCTGTTTGGTTTAAAAATAATAATCATGTGCTAATACAAATATTAACAGTATATATTTTTATTTTCTACTTCTGAGTTCCAGTCTAATAACTGCAGCCAAGAATCTAGGCAGAAAGTGTTAACTGGACAGCAAACATGGTAAATGCAGAAAAGCATAAAGGATTTAAAAAGAACAGAACAGACATGAACACAGAGGACTTTGCATGTACCTGGTTTCCAAGGTAGAACTGGTGGAAAAAACAATAAAAACATATAAAGATTAGCAAAAGTGTAATGAATTTTTACCCATTTAACACTTACCTTCATATAGACCTCCCAACCCCACCACCAAAAAAAAAAAAAAATATATATATATATATATATATATATATATATATATATATATATATATATATATATATATATATATATATATTTATACAGTATATATCTGCCTTAGATAGACATGAGGTCTTTAAAACTAACATACACTTACCCTATATTTATTTGCTCCGATTTGTTCCACTTGAAATCTTTTTGGACATTTGCATTTTGCAACTTGACGTGTAACCTGCAAAGAGAGTGTTTATTACTGAACTGTCTCTTTAAAAAGAAAATTCGATCTTTGGCCATAAAGGTTTTATATTACCTCATCTTCGATTTTGTCAGCATCAGTTAATGGCTTGTAGGCGTCTTTGTTTGGATGAAGAGCTGCCACAAACTCATAGTAGTCAATATAACCATCACCGTCTCTGTCGAATATGTCCGCTACGGCGCTCATCTCCAGGCGGCTGGTGGGGAATTCTTGGGAGGAGAAAATGCACTGTTTTAGCGTATTCTCAATTTTGAATGAATGAATATTTGTCTTATTGTTTTTTGCCATTTTAGGTATAATTAAAAAAGTCACTTTTTACAGGATGGTTGTAAGCTCTTTCATTAGTTGTGTAGTAGACACTTACTGGATGATAGAATTCCCTCTATGAACTCCTGTCGGGTCACTTTGCCATCCTGGTCCTTGTCAATCCGCCGGAAGAAGTCCATAACACGAGACTTTTTGTGGTTCATCCAGCGCATGTAGCGTTTCCGCCAGACATCAAAGTCAAAGTTTGCAAATTCCTTTAACTAAACAAAAAAAAAGAAACACTGAAAGTGACACAAATTTCAAAAAAAAAAAATGTGTTTACAAAAATATAGAAGTCCTGATTTACCTCCTCAAGTCTGTCTAATGCGTCGTTGAGTTTCCTCCTTCTGTCCAAAGCCAGGAGCCACACATGCTGCCATTTGGTAACTAGCAGGTTAACTCGTGGGTTCTTGGTTTCAATCAGAGCTTGTGTTGTAGATGTGTACATAGTTTGTGTGGGAGAGCGTTTTCCTGTAGGTGAAAGATACAACTCCATATAAGAATAGTCATGATATCATTTACGCTGCCAAAAGGGGAAGATTAGGATGTTGAGTCACCATGCAGTGACTCAACACTTGGCCAGGTGCCTCAGATCACACTCTGGGCAGGATATGAAAGGGATACATACTTCCAGCTCGTCCTTTGTCCAGGACGGGGATCTGTGATTGAATGAGGGGCTCAGCAGCTGGTTTCCTTTTATGTGTTTTAGTGATTTTGTCAACATCTGGCTGCTTTCTTGTCATTTCCTCCATGAAGGTCTGCAGAGGAAAGTAACAGCTACTGTAATTAAAACGGTCATAAAACCAAAACAGCTTTGGACAAGTAAATCAGAACCAATCAAAAGAAGTGTTGTTTTTTTTCCATAGTTTGACTTCACCTGATGTTCTGCTATGAGGCTTTTGATTTCTTCAATTTCCTGAGGCAGTGTCTCTCTATCTCTGTCGCTGAGGTTAGTCTCAGCCCACTGCAGCCAGGTCAGCAAATTTTCCAACAGATCTTGTGTGGCTAACAGCTCAGTAAGGGCCAAGCCCAATCGCTGCTGGTGCTGTCTGACCCAGGCCTGTACCTGTAACAAAAGCATATATGAACTCCCGAGGTTTCCCTCTTTAAACATAGTTAGTTACTTCCACAAATTTATTTCAGAAGAACTTTAGATCTGGCCACATTTAACATATTGTGCCCTGAAACCTTAAAGATATGTTTTTCAGACACTGCTAGTATGTTGTGATTAAAAACCCCTTTGTTTGCATGTGTCACAATACATGCCAGAGTTTTTTTTTTTTATAGGTTGACCTCATAAAATAAGAAATTGTGAAAGAATTTTGAATACAATAAAATTAATTTTGAATTAGCAACTTCAAACAGTGCTAAATGTGGGAGCTGCTTCTGTCAGACCTACACTGAAAAAAAGTCAAACAGCTGTATTGACCCACAATACTGCAAATTGAGGAGGCAAACAATCATTTAATACATCATATCTGCTCCTCTGAGTTACAGGGGATAAAGAGGATCCTTGACCCTTCTAAAATCCACCAGCATCTCCTTAGTCTCATGCAGAAGCATTGTGTCTGCACCACCACATCAGGTGTTCAACCTCCTCTCTGTATTTGGACTCATCATTGTTTGTGTATCCCACTACTACTGTGTCATCTGCAGACCTCAATATATGAGAGCTTGACTTGTCTTGCATTCATATGTCAGCAGAGCTAACAGCGGGGGCTCAGCAGGTAGTCTTGGGGTGAGGCAGTGCTGAGTTTGATGGAGGAAGGGACAGTGTTTTGGATTCTGATAGTCTTAGATCTGTTGGTTAGGAAGTCCAGGACCCAGATCCCCAATTCATGACCACAATTGTTAAGGCTATACTGTAGGTTGGGAATCATTCAGGCCTGTCCCTGTGGAACACTTGGTCCCTGTGGAACACTTGGGGACAGGGATAACAGTGGCAGAATTAAAGCAGGTTGGGAGAGGAGTGACAGTAAGGTGTTAAAGATGTCCGCAAACCCCTCAGACAGCTGGTCTGCACAGTCCCTTAGAACCTGCCCTACGATTTTGTCAGGGTCTGCAGCCTTACAGGAGTTGATTCCCTGAATGGTCTTCCTCATGCCTGGTGTAGCCACAGGGAGGGGCGTGTCACATGGTGGTGATGTGAGTCTGATGTTGATAGCGGTGTTGGGATCATCAAAGAGAGCAGAGAACCTTTTGAGATCATCTGGCAATGAGGGGGTCTATTGGGCTTTTTTCATCTCTGTTGTAGCCCATGATGCATTTGATGCCCTCCCAGGACTAGAACAGGACCCAACTTAGTATTAAAGGAATTAAAATAAGGCTTAAACCACGGGAGATGGAGATGCTGCTGCACCTATATGCAACGCCATGGCAATGGATGAACCATACCCGCAAACTGTTTCAAGTTTGAAAAATTGCCTTGTCAGTGTTTAGGGCTTATATTGTAACTAGTTTGTAGATCAGCTTTGCATATGCCATAAAGTTTTCACATATTTTCATGCATGCAAATCTTTTTAAGATCAAGCCATAAATGCGTGAAACTAAAGGAGAAAGCTACTTCAACCAAAATCAGCTAGCTTATCTGCAAAATAGGTTGCTTTTGGTTCTTCTGCGGGTTCACAGAAATAAAGGTAAAAAAATTTGATTATTTAATTGACGACCTAACAAAACATAGTGACACCTCTCCCAAAGTTATCTTCTAAATTGCTAGTAGTGTGGCAAGACCTGTTTTCCTCAGGCTGGGGTTTAAATGTTATTATTCATGTTTAAGCTGTTCAATAAAAACAAAATAATCATCAGTTAATGGATACTAAATTTACAAATACCAGTGTATGTTCTTGACTGAAGCTAGAGAAAATGGACATTAAAGTGTGTTGTAAGACAAATACATATTGCATGAAAGGCATGCATAGCAGCTGCAAACTGACCTCCTCAAACCTGGCTTTAATGATGGTGTTCCAGTGCTTGATGGTTGTGATGGAGTCTGGATGGCATATGCTGAGAATAGCCTCCCCCATACTGGTTGCTTTATTCAGAGCAACTCGCTTCTCCTCCAGCTTTTTCATCAAATCCTTTAAAACAGCAAATAGAAAACTGTTTACATTTGGATTGGCTTATCTTTAGCAAACCTAAAAATAAAACATTGCTTGTGTGTGTTTTCATGTGAGAGCAATGCAGAACAATTTTTGAAAGATGAAATCATAGGAAAAATAGAGTGCTCAGTTTTTGGCTTTAAGGAAGACACGGCTGACAGGTTACAAGCAAGTCTTGACTGTTTCTTTGAGGGGAAACATAATTCAAAATGTTGGAAAGCCTGATTTCTTTAAAAAATAAGGGAAAACAATCCTCAGACTGTACAATAAAAATACTACCAAAAGTACTATCGGATTGCAATATATAATGTCAGACAGATAAAACCCCTAACCCAACTCAACGAGCAGGTGCACCATTTTTTTTATCATGAAGCCTTTTTTAAATGAATAAAATAATAACAAATAATTGTACTTTATTGATCTCACATTGAAGAAATGTACCCCTTCATTTAACCCATCCCCTAGGGGAGCAGTGAGCTGCCATTGTGCAGCACCTTGGAAGCAATCGGGAGTTAAGGGTTTTGCTCAGGAACCCAGAGTAGAGACAGTGGGATAAAAACTGGGTAATTGCAATGTTCTCAGAGCAAAAGTGCACTGCTCTAACCCACTAGGCAAAAACTCCCCGAAATCTGCCTTTAAACCATCCCGTTGGGGAGCGTTGGACTGCCATTGTGCAGCGCCCGGGGAGCAGTGTGGGGTTAAGGGTCTTTGCTTAGGGACCCAGCGTGGCAGGCGGTGGGGGTGGGTGGGTCTCGAGCTCAGAACCTCAGGAGTCCAAGCTAACGACTAAGGAGAGGGGCAGCTTGTGAACGACGTGATGGAGGATGGGTATCTTTTTTATACCTACCTATCTCATCTATTTAAGGATAAGTTGCATTGATTAGACTTAAAAAATCATGAGTGAAACGGAAATATATGTATGTAATGACATTAATAGATTTAGCTAAATAAATGAGAGACGGGTCTTAAGGACTTGTACATCCACCAAGCAAGACAAGGTGTCTTTGTCTTTTTTCTTCAGTTGCGTCAAAAGATTGTAGTTTTTCGCACAATCTGCCCAATGAAAACATTTCCGGCCTTTGAGAAAAGTTTTTTGTTTTACCTATTGTTATAATTGCTTTATGAGGATCCTTGGACCTACAGCATGTGAATGCATGTATATATGTCACTACATTTAATATGAAAAAACTATGATGACACTCAGAGATGCTAGTTCTTGGAAAAGAAGGACATGCAAAGTCTAGTTTGCTTGCATTTAGCATCTTTGCCCATTGTTCTAAAGTATTTAATAATAAAATTATTTGCTTGCCTTGTGTTGTTCAATTAGCGCCCGCAGAGCTTCCTCGTCATCAGGCAGGCTACCATGAAAACGCAAACTCTGTTCCGCCTCGGCTAGCCACTCCAGCAGGATATGAACAGAGGAATGAAATTCCTCAGCCTGCAGCAAGAAAAAGAAACATCAGTAAGGCTCAGAGTAATAGTTAAACTTCCATGTACAAAAACAAGAGACTTTGCGGTACCTGACATAGGGCCTGCTCAAGCCGGGTCTGCTTGGACACAGACAAGTTGCACACAGTATCCCAGCGAGTGCTCAGCTCCTGCATCTGGGCTTTGACCCAGGAGGAGTCATCATGGCTATTCTCAACAAGCTCCTTCGCAGAACGCTTGAGAGCCTGAATGCTCACTGTGCGCTTTCCCAGCTCCTTTTGGAAAACCTACAAGAACAAGTTCACAGAGGAGACAATCATGAGATGCATCGGAGTGTAAAGCATTCAACACTTTCTGAACTAATAAAAACAAATGTATAGAATTTGAGATATGCTATTCTATATACCGGACAAAACTGCTCACTATAAAGGGAATTATTACAGTGCCTTGCAAGGTGGTATTTGTCTTCAAACTTTCCTTTTTTGAAGGGGTATGGTCAATGATTGTTACAGACCCAGGCCTTATGAGCTGGACTCTCGGTTTGTGTGCGTATTTGAATTTGCCTTCCATCAGTTACTCTTAGTATTTACTAGTGTTGCGCCTATGCCATTTTTTTGGCCCTGATACCGATACCCGATACCTAGCTGTGCAGTATCGGCCGATACCATACCGATACCATCTGTTTGAAAATAATGTGTGTGTGTATATATGAAGAACTGCATAGTACTGCTACATAGTACCAGTATCGGGGCCCCGCCCAATACTGGTATCAGTATCGGTGCAACACTAGTATTTACTATTCTTTGCTTTATCTTTAATAAACCTTATGCACCTTTAACTGTGGAATGGTCCCCCCGTTAATTGCCATGACAACTATATGATATTAAAACCTCTTTGACACACAAATATAAAAAGTGTGATACATATTTGTATTTAGATCTCCAGAGTCAAATTTTTCAATTATTATTATTACTTTTTTTTTTTTTTTACGTCAAATAATGACTAATGAAATAATGACTTTTGGCCCATTCTTCCCTCTAAAACAATTCATGCCCCGTCAAAATGGACCTGTGAATTTTGAGTTGTTATTGTGGATTTTGAACCAATTTAGTATTTAAACTTAAAGATTTAACACATAAATATGATCTTCTATATTTCTGGCAATGAATAGCAGGTTTATGCCTAAACCTGCTATTCTATTGAACAGTAAACCTCTAGGTAATACTTTGCATGTAGGCAAATAGACCACTTTTTTTATTTTTTTGTATTCCAAACCCAGGTTTAAATTTCTTTCCACTTCACAACTACGCTCGACCTTATGTTGGTGAAAACATTTAGATTCCAATAAAATATATTTTGGAGGTTTTAGTTATTAATATTACATAATGAGAAATTGTTCAAGGGATCTGAATATTATTTGAAGGTACTGTACATGTAGATATTAGACACATTTTATTAAACAAGCAAACATACAAACAATACCCCAAAGCCCTTTTTACTGTATGACAGTGCCATCCATTAAGTTGTTTCAATACAGCTGCCGTCACAGCCCAACCCTTGTGTGGTTTTAGTACCACAATGATTAGAAAGAAAGCCACTAAAAAGGATGAAAGTAAAAGGTGGAGGGGCTGAAGTGAAAACCTTTAGATCTTTTCAAAGTCACTGCTTTTCATATTTATAAGCAACAAAAGTCTGACATATTGTGTGTGTTTGATGTGTTTTTTTTCTACCTTATGGTTGTCTATCAGGTTGAGAACCAGGTCAATGTCTCCATGTATAGGCTGGTCCTCAGCCAGCTGAGGCTCCACCTTATACAGCCAGTCGATGAGAGCCTGGAGGGCATCTGTAAACTGACCAGAGAACAGCAGGGCCTCCTCCAGTTTGTTTTGTCTGCAGATGAACACAAATGACAAATCAGTTCGCTGGCAGCAGTTGTCGACAAGAGAGAAAAAAGGGATAATTTATCCTCACCTTTCTACTGACTTTCCACAAACCGTGTCCCACTTATCCCTCAGCTCACTAAGCATGTCGTCCAGTTTCTGCTTATCATCCTGAAGAACAGTTTTGTCTTTCAGGGCCCGCCCTGTTCTAGCAGTGGTGTCGTACACCGAGTGTTTACTACCGAGGGCTTTCTGGAACTCCTGGATGAGATAAAACACAATCACATTTTCCAGAAAAACTAAAATCTGTCCTTTGCTGAGAAGTCTGCACCCTTGGATGAAAAGTCAGAAGATTATTTTCTATCTACTGCTGGAATGACAACAGTGTCCCAATCTGACTGTTGTGATTAAGATGCAGTGCTATGTAAGGCAAACACAAAAGGGGGTCAAATCTGAGCTACTGCTCCAGAGAGATTAAAAGTATCCAATCCCTAATAGATTTGGTCCAGCACCGGATTACGATAGGATTAGCTCGATCTACCTATAAAATGATGCAAACATGGCAAGAATGAACAATAAACTGAACAGATTAATGAAAAATATATCTTGAATGATAATAATAAATGTCCCTAAATAGTCCTAACTGCTTCCCTTCAAATGTTAAACATGGTCACATTGGTCAGAATGAAAGAGAAAGCAAATAAATAAATAAATACTGCATGTTCTTGGACATAAGCAGACAGCAGTTTTGCATCCAACATAAAAAAGGCAAATATTTGAGTGTTCACATTAATAATCAAAACAAATATCTGATTTTGAATTACACTTTTAGATTTAATAACAGGAAAAAAAAGATTTTTTTGTCTGTAGTAACAATCAATCATAGCTGATCAAGTTCTGTTTTAATCCGTGGTCAACTGATTTGTGCATCTAATTAAATATTTACATTTTCGCATGTGTTTACGTTTGATGAGTGAAGCCATCATTGCTGTATATACCATAAAAGGAGAGGACCTAGCAGGGTTTATGTTCTATACATTTGGCTACACATTGATTTGTCACCTTGTGCTGTGCCAGCTGCATCTTGATTTTGTCTGGGTCATTGGCAATTTCCACCTCAGAGTCCAAGGCCTTCTCAGATTCTTCCAACCACTCCATCAGTTTGTTAAAGGTTTCATGGAACTAAAAAAAAAAACATTGCAAACAGAGTACGCAGGTTTGAAATATGTACCATTGCATTTGATTTATCACAATGTTCTGTTTTATGTTGATGTGATCAAGCTCTCTGGCTGGAAGCTTAGATTTGTTCCTTACTAACAAAAACAAATCTAGAACATGCAGACAGATTATAAAACAGGCCTTAAATATAGTTTCCACTAAGCTTTCCAATAATAGTACAACAATGCGGATAACATTGAAACAAGCCAGTGCCAGACTCAATATAAACATGGATAAAGCGTTACCTGCTTTGCCCTTTTCCTGGCATCATCCAGCACTCGACCTCGCTCTACAGACCTCTGCACCAGCTTCTCCCAGCGACTCTGTACGCTGAGCAAAAGGTTCTTGATCAACACCACATCCTTTTTCTGGCTGAAATACTTCAAATGCGTGCCCGTCTTGTCCAGTTCGATGATGTGCTCTCTGTGGGAGTTCACCTCAGTCACAAACATCTGAACAACCACGGAAAACATGGAAAGAGGACAGATGTTTATTTTCAAAGTAATGAAGAAAAGAATGTAAAGATAAAAACTGGTTATATTCCAAAAATACATTCATTAATGATACACAATCTAAAACCTATTTATTTTCATCAGGATTAGTTTTCCCACCAGAGGCTCTGTCTCTCCACACATTACCTTATGCTCATCAATCTGAAACATGATGGTCTCCAGAATGAGGGAAGCAGGAGAAACCATGTTCAGTGTCTGTTCTGCTTGGGTCAGCCAAACAATAAAGTCCTGAAGAGAGCTGTGGAAATCTGTGGCCAGCGTTAAAGCCTCTTCAAGTTTTGCCTGTGGACACAAACCACCAGAGTGTTGATTTCCCTACATACACAAACATTGTCCTAATAACTACACTTCACTATTCAGTGCTGCAGCTTTCCCTGTTAACAGATCTGGGCGGTTTTAATGGTCAGGCTGAAAGGCAATAATGAGCTTTTAATTGAGGAAGAGAGACATCCAAAGTAACTCTTTTCTGAATCATATCCGCTCATCCCAGCAGAGATGGCTCAGTTCCAAAGTATGACAGTGAAAAACATATTACAACACTGGTGAGACTTTTGGGATGATAAAAAAAAAAAAAAAAAAAAACTCAACATTTCTGGAGTGAATAATGATATGAGTTTTGACAACATACAGAGCTTTGCAAAGGTATTCAACCTCCATCAATGTTTTCAGATTTTATCGTACTGCAAATGCATACTTCATAGTATTCTTCTGGGATTTTATGCAACAGACCATCAACAAGCAGAACATAATTGTTACTTGGAAGGAAAGGGTTACATTGTTTATATTTTGTTTTTTTGCAGCCCCTAACAGGTTTTGCACTATACTTAGCTCAATCATTTCCTCATCAACACCAGAAAGCCATCCTCACAACATGATGCAAACTGTCAGACATCCAGTTGTCTGAAGTTTAAAATTTTCTCTATGTCCTTCCTGGTGTCCTCCTTAGTCTTCATGAGGCTGTCTGTCCACTAATGTTCTTCTCCAACCCTCATAAAACAGTAGCTTTATATTTAGATTTAATTGCAAAAAATGTTTCCTTTATTCTTAAATTATGTGACTTCTAAAAACAATTGGTTGGACTGGAATGAATTCATTTGTAACTTTTTCTTGTATTTGAAAAATTTGGGATTTTTACAATAAATAAATCAGTTTTCTGTTATAGGTGAGAAATCTGAAAATGTTTCAGAGGTATAGATGCTTTTGTAGGATATTAGACATCTCTTCCACAAAAAAGTACAATTTAAAAGACACATGATAAGTTAAAAAAAAACAAAAATAAATATGCTTCTGAATTTAAATAAAAGTGATCTGTTCTGAATATCTGTTTTGTTCTTTTCCGGGTCATCACCAGGGCAACACATAAAAAGGTTATGCTCCACCTCGCCGACAACTGCACTGCTGCAATCAAGAGCGTAACCATATCCTGTGCACCTTTGCCAGCACTTACACCCTTCATTATCGACACAGGGATTAAAGGCTTCTAGCTGTAGAGTCAGAGCTCAAGTGTTTGTCAGCGATACCTCCCTGGGACAAGAGGTGGTGAGTCATTTCTGCTCAGAGCGCTAAATGCCATACAGTGACTCCCCTACCTTCCTCTCTGCGACCTTCGCCTGCACAGCTTCCCATTTCTCCTTCAGGCAGGAAAGGTCCTGCTCTGTATTGATGTCCGGGCCCTCGGGCGTCATGGCAAGCAGCTGGCCTCCCTTCTCAAGCAGCTTCCTATACAACTCCCCCTTAGCCTCAAAGGTAGAACACAACTCCTAAAACAGAAACAAATACCATGGCGTGAGGAGAGTTTTTGTCAGCGAAACAAAAAGTTCAAGACAGCTTGTTAGTAAGCAGCTAGGCCAAGTTTTATCCAAAAATGGAGAAAGAATGAGCACAGCAAGGCCTTTTAGGACTTTGAGAAACATGTTTCCAATAATAGTTTAAACAGTATAAAGTTACCAATTTGGAAAAGTTATTGTTTCCAGAGTTTGGCTGTTTTTAGTTCTATCGAATGTCACATTTCTGTTTCTTTAGGAAACAACTGCGGCTGAAGTGTCTCCATTAGTGGGAGCAAAAAAGTAAAGAGAGAAAACATTCCCAGATTCATTAAGGTCGGACATGGACTAATCAATTAGAAACACTTAATAGACTTGTTTGTCACACTCTGCGAGATGTGTATTTTGAAGTGTCGCTTAATTTTCACACTTGAGATAAAACACAGCACAGACGCAGCCACCTTCTCACCAGCCAGCCATCTGCATGCAGCCTTTCATATTGTTAAACACATACCAGATGGGCGTTAAGCTGCTCCCGAGCCGTGTCTGGTAAACCTCCCACAGCCTTTGATGCCAACAGCTGACGTTCTGTGTCTTTCAGCCATTGCTGCATATCTTCTATCTCACCATGGAAACCTTGGGCCTAAAACACAATACAACCTGGGTCAGAACAAAAGGTGACTCGCACACACAGACCTGAAGCTGGGAGAGGAACGGGACTAAGTTAACAATGACTTCACATGATTTCTGACATATTCCATATCATATTTTCTTTTTATCAAAGCAGTTCTCCTGAACTGTGTGATTATTAGAAGTGTACCACAGGTTGCCAATTTAATAATGAATTTGTGGGAATGAGATCAATCATCCAAACAGAATGTAAGGACTTTATTCTTACATACTGGATCACAGTTTGTAACCATTAAAGAGATTATTTTGTGAAATCTGTAAGAACCTGAAGCAGAGATGCTTCAAGCTGTTTCTTCCTCTGGTCCGTTTTCTCAAGGATGGCCTTCCACCTATGGTTTAGATTCTCCAGTTTGCTCTGTAGGCTGGAAGCTTCCTCTCCAGCACTGGACTCGACCAGCTCATTACCCGCTTTGTTCACGGTCTCCACTGTCGCCTTGTGAGCCAATACATCAATTTGGAGAACCTTTAGAGAAAAAAACGACTTGTTAACTAACTGGTGACCTGTTTTAAGCATTTCACAGATACCAAACCGGATAGATAGGACATTTATTGTGGAGGTTAACTATATTCCAAATAAAATAATCTAATGAAGCTATAATGTGACTCAATGATTAAAGGTAGATTTGTTCCTACATGATGCTTGGCGAGCTCTATCTCGATGGCTTTGGGGTCTCCTGCAGCTTTTCGTTGCTCATTGAGCAGTTCTTCTGTGTGGCTCATCCAGGCCAGCAGCTCATCCAGTGCATGCTGGAATTGGCCCAGTGCCAGCAGCCCCCCCTCAAGTTTGTGCTGGATTAATGACAGATTGACCCATTAAATTTAGCATTCAGCACAAACACTTGACATAAACATGGAATATTTAACAGTCCAGTGGAGCTTTTGTTTTAGCTTTGATACTTCAAAGAACTTGAGCAAGTAATTCTTATAATGATCAAAGAGGTTAACAGAGGTTAAATACTAAAGGTATGATAAAACAAATATTTTATTTCAGCATTTCTTTTACTAATATACTTTAAAAACCTACAAAGGATAAAGGAACAGGTAAAGTTTAATATAAAATCAGTTGTAAGTAGAACAGTCTATTTAGTTTGAGAAGTTTTTTTAAGCAACTTTAATGCAAGATAAATGATTAAAATGTCTACATTATTTTAAAAGAATAGTATTTTTTTATTATTATTAATCATAAAAGTCTATATCTTGAAGGGGTGCAGTTGAGTTTTCCTCTCTAGGTCGTTTCCCTGCCCTGACCTGTCGGCTGATGATCTTTTCGTCCAGGTTCTCCCAAAGCATTCTGAGCTCAGACATCGGCTCCTTGATGGCACAGCGATCAGCCTCCTCTGTCACCTTCTTCAGTAGGAGGCCAGCCTGGTGGTTCAGGCGCTCCATCTCGATCTGGAGCTGGTAGGCTTCTCCTTTGAACTCCTGACAAAAGGAGCAGCATGAAACCAAGTCAACCAATCAGTCAACACAAGCTCAAAGACAGGCTGAGAAAAGCAGAGCCGTTTGCTTAGGAGAGTGTTTGCGTTATTGCACATCAAAGGTGCATTGGAAACCTTTCTTTTAGAGGAAAAAGAAGTTCAGGTAGTGAATTGGTGCTTAAAAATAAACACAGCAGATATGAATACGTCTGGTGTTTAAAATAATCTGCTTTAAAAAAAAAATATTCAGGGAACAGGAAAGAAGAGAATTGGTTGTAAATCTGTTATCATTCAGTTTCACAAAAAATCATCACCAGTACCTTGAGTTCTACGATTTGCTGTTTGACCGTCTCCAAGTCTGTGCCTACAGGGGACATTGAATCCAGTTTGTTCTCCAGAATATCCACCCAGTCAAACATACCCTGTGTACAAAGTAGGAAACTATTGTTCACGTCACAAAACAAAGCTTAGTTCACACAGAGTCATGTTACCGCCATGTTCTTCTCATTTCATGCAGGAAAAGCTCCTGCTCTCATGCACAGCTTGTAAATAGGTGAACATTTACAATGAAATTAAAGTAAATCACAAACTGAACTCGACAAAATTAAAGCAGCTGACTTCTTAAAGATTTTATAAGAACTTCATAGTGTAGTAAAAGCTGAACCAAAAAAGCAACCCTGTGGTTGGTGTTTATTGTTTCTAAGTTACGAGTCCTCTCGTAAAATGTTGTATCACTCAAATCAGTTGTTTGATCTTAAAAACATCTGCCCTGCTGTTCGGATTTAGCTTTCACAGATATACAAGTCAAAAGAAATAACTACCAAAAGGTAAAATAAACAAAAACAAAAAGAAATGTGTTCATACCTGAAGACCATCTTGAAACTGGACAGCCGCCTGCATGGCCTCTTCCAGTCTCTCTACTCTTTCTTTCCAGGACTTGTTGAGATGCTCCCATGCTGAATTCACCTAGAGACATACAGTAAAACAGAACGATTAGATACATCGGGTTACACAAATGCTTTATGGTTTAACTGGGTTAAACTTTTGCACTTAAATAGGGGAAATCTTATCCATTACCTCATCCACACTTTTCTTTATGACAGGCTTGTCTGGTTCCCCACAAGCTGTCATAAGTTCTGCTCCCTGGTTCCGTACCACATCTAATTCTTCCTGCAGCCCATCGATTTCCTCTTTGAAACCCTGTAAAATATATCAGGCATGGTCTCATTTACTAAAATCCTTATTTGTTTTATTATCTATGGACTAATTCAGAAGTTCTGTCATTTTTTTCCCACCTCCACAAATTCCTGCTGCTGCTTGACGACTGAGGGGTCCACTCCAGGCTCCTCCAGCTCCCTCAGCAGGTCTTGGCTGTCTTTGATCGTGACAATGAGAGCGCAGTGGTCACACCAGAACTTGTCTGCCAGATCCATCACATCAAGCAGCTTAGCCTCTCGCTCCTCTAGCAAGGCTTGGATGTCGTTCCACAAGAACACCATGTGGTCCAGCTTGTCTTGGACGGCTAAAGGAGAAACAATTAAGAGTGTTACAAACATGATAAATAGAACATAAAGGATTTTAACGGTTTATTTTTTCTTTCCACTTTGCTATCCTTCTTTTTTTACTTTTTTTTTTTACAATTTTATTTTTTTTTTTTTTTCATGAAAAAATCAACTTATTTTTAGTTATAGCACATTCACAACAACTTAGAGATGCAACAAAAAAAAAATGGCTAGTGACTAAAGTAAGAAATGTATCTAAATTTGTTTGGATGAAACATATGAAGCCAATCTTTTTCCACTCCCTGATCACACCATAATGAAATGCAAAAAGGTTTAAATATATAAATATGTATATGTATTGCAGTGGCAATCTTTGTTTCCACAAATACCAGTTAGAGCTGTGGACACAGTAATTTCTTCACGCGCACGACATGACAAGTTCTTAAAGTTTTGGTGTCTTTACTTATAAAATAGCACAGTAAGAAAAGTTTATGCTCCCAAGCCTTGCACAGCTCTGCCTAAACTGGTGCTGCATGTTCTCAGTTTCATCACTCTAAGGGAGCGTCATCAAACATTTTTTATATGAATAACCTTTTTCTTAGAACAATGAAATACACAATGACATGAACTAAAAATGACATAAATTATAAACTACAACTATGAATCATACATATTTTTTGCATTTTCTATTTTTTTGCTTTTTGGCTCTTACAAATATATGTATATGATACGTAGAGGCATGCGTTTTGTTTATTCATGCTGTGAGAAAAAAAGAGAGAGCAGGATTTTAAGCTAGCAACAGGAAGGCTGAGCAGGGTGCAGCAAAGGGGAGCTTGTCCCTATTTGTGATAAACTCAATGCTCAATTATATTCAAATATTACGACAAAATTCAAAGTTAATCACAGACTTAGTGATACAGCACATCCAATACCTTTGGCAGATAAGTCCTTGTCTGGTCCTTCGGATCGAGCAATCATCTCTTCACCTCGTTGCCTCAGTGTCTCATAGGCCGGCTGCAGTTTCTCCAGATCCACAGTAACAGCTTTGTTTTCAGTAATCTGCTCCTTGATCTTGTCTATCTCTACTGAGATGGACGGAGGCTGGCGCAGGCGTTCAGCAATTCGCTCAAGCGACTCCAGCATTGGATCAATCTTATCATGGAACTAATGCAAAATCAGAAAGAAACTCCTTAGCTGTAGTGTGAGGTTGATTTATTTATTAACTTTTTTAACAAAGCATTAAAAAAAGGACAGTTTATTATGTTTTAGCAAGAAAAATCTGTTGGTTGAATATTTGTATACTAATCTATTGATACAGTGGTCAGAGTTTGCAAAAACTATGTGTAACATTTAGGAGATCAAAAACATTATAAAATATCCAATTTCCAAAGTGGATTAAAAAGCCTTAATTCTCTTTGTTCTGTGTTTGAATATAATGGGTCTTTTATATGTAACCCATTTAAATCTATTTGAGAAAAAGATGTAAGTGCTTCACTTCTAGATGTAACCATATGCAGGTCACAACAGTGATTTTTAAGTACATCCACCTCATTGTTTCAAGGCATTAAAATAAAAGCTGTTTTCTAATTTTTAACCAGTGGGAAAAAATAGGATCTCCCTCTAAAATAGTTTGCTTTTGGATATAGTGTCTCTATCGGTCCAAACTGGTGAGCCATGTCTAAATGATGCATTATGCATGCATTCAAAGAAAGGTCCCTCTAAATTTATGAATATTTATGTAAATTACATAAATATACAGAGCGGCATTTAGCTTTGAATTATGAATGACCAAAGCTGTCTGTGTAAAGCAGATTATAGGGAAAAAATGCCATCTGCTTAAAGCTGTTGGCATTAATATTACTATCATTACATAAAAGAAAAAAGGTTAAAAACAACAACCTCATATGTTGCTTGTTTGACAAAAAAAAAAAAATACTAAGGATGTCACAAAAGCAAATACATTAAGGTCCCAAAACAAACGCATGGAGGCCAAAATGTATGTGATGCTCACCTGGGTGGATTTGGAAATGGCTTCATCCAAACTGGCAGCTCTCTCCTTAACATCAGCCTTGAGTTTGGTGTACAGTTGGTCTGCAGACGTATATTTCTCTCTAATGGGAGCTCCTTCCACTGGGCTCAGTTCAAGCAACTGGGGACCTGTTTTGTTCATCTTGTCGATGTGAGGCTTGTGCTCAGCAATCAGTTCTCTCATTTGCTGAGGGAGATGTCAGATATTCATTTATATGGCCCTTTTCTTTTCAATGCAAGTCTTATAACGCATGTTGGCTGCTTACCCTGAGCTCCTCTTGTTGTTGTCTTAGTGTTTCATATTCAATAGCAGGAGGGGGAAGCTGGCTGAAGGTGCTTAAGGTTTCCTGCAACCATGGCCACATTTCTTCATAGGTCTCCCAGAACTGCCCAGCCAGAGACTGTGCTCGCTCCAGCTGGAGACAGCGCTCTGAATTCAGCTGGCTAACAGTACTGTACTTCTCCAGGAGAGTCTGGATCTTTTCCTGATTAAAAGCAACAACAACAAAACCTGTAGCTTTTTGTGCTAAAAATATTACAACAACTGTGTCAAATAAAATAAAAAAAATCACCTTCAGGGCTTCTCTCTCTTCAGGGTTTTTGCTGTTCATGATGGCTTTCCCAGTTTTTACAATCTCATCTACAACATCTTTGTGTTTCATGATGTCCATGGAGAAAATCTACAAAATAATTCCAATAAATATTGTTTTATGTCACATAATAGCTTAAGTTTAGTGGATGTTTTTGTTCAATAAATACATTACTATTAGGGCTGGACGTTGTGGCCTTAAATTGTTAACACAATATTTTGAGATACTATCATGATAATAATAAAACTGACGATAAAAACACAAAGAAGTCATTCTTAGCTAACTGAATGATTGTAGAGCCAACAATTACAAATACTGCTCTGAAAAAAATAATTAAAAATTCAAATGGATTTCTTTATAACACCATTTACATTAAGATGTGTTATTTATATCTCTAAACATAGTAATCGCATTTCATCAAATTCTGCAAATTTGGTAAAGCCCCAATGTTAAAAAAAGTTTTTTTTTTTTTTAAAACAAAAAACTGGGAGAAAAATATTATGAATAAAAATTCGTAATTCAACCATTTTTCTAATTTTCACATAGACAATAAACAAAAAATGTTATCAATGACTAGGTATTTCTTTATAAATATGAACGATAGGATAAACGCCCACCCCTAATTGCTATGCACTAACCTTCTGTGCTTGGAGCTGAGCTGTAGTTTGGTCGTGCTCCAGCCTGATCTCACACATTGACAGCAGCTTCCCCTCAGCATTGGACAGCCAGGAGAGCTCGGTGTCTGCAGCCTTTTCAAACTGGTAAAGAAAGATATTAAATGAGAACAAACAACGGAAAAAGAAAATGCACTCATGTAACAACCAATCTGATTTACCTGCTGAGATTTAAGGATGTCAGCGTTGATCTTGTCCACCTGCTGAGTGATGGTCTCACAAACAACTCTATAGCGCTCATTATCGTCAGTCACCAGCTTATCCAAACTCTCTCTAGTGTGCCAAGGGATCAAGTCTAGGAGTGAACTGCTTAGTTCATTTAGTTTGTCTAAGACAGGCTTCTTGTCTTTGGTCTCCTTCAATAAGTCCTGGATAACATTACATCAAACATTAAATAGAAAATTACTTAAATGACACTTTTTGTTAAATGTTTCTTTAGAGTTTGATCAAAAGTTCTTACTTTCTGTTTGTTTTGGGAATGAATCAGCTGGTCGCCCACTGGCTCCTGGTCAGCAAAGATCTTTAGCTCAGCCTCAGCTTTCTCTAACCAGGTGTTTAAGTCTTTATGGTGGTGTTGCAGTTTATTGGAGAGACTCAAAACCCCCTCCAGTGTCTTCAAAACATTTTCACTCATAGAGTTAATTTCAGCATACTTTGATTTTATTCCATCCAGCTTGCCTTGGATGATAACCACCTCATCACCTAGACGTAGGAAAGGAAAACAGAAACACTACTTTACTCATTTGTCAAATAGGGTAATAGAGGCTATCGATAGCTAAGGAAAAAAATAAAAGCCCAATAACCTCAACTGAATACATTTTTTTGGACTCCTGCTAAAAATATTCTATATGAATTAATCTTTTACCCAAATAGAGTAACAGAGATGTATGGGTGTATCCTTTTTAAACAAATATTCAATGACACAGTTTCCTAAATACTTTACATGTATATACTGATCTGGATTTAGGAACATGTAATTAGATAAGCTCTTTCCCTTTTAGAATAAATATAACCCGAGAGAGGATAAAAGCCGGGATCAGAACGTAATGTCTTGTTCTAAAAAGGAATAATAGCAGGGGGGTAAAAATATTGTCATTGGGGACTTTGTTAAATACCAAAAACTTCGGAAGATAGAATTGTTCCTCACCTACTGCATAAATGCATACACGTTTAAACATTTATTGGTAATTAAAAAAAATGGAGAACATCTTTACAACAGGGGAACAATCATTTAGCGCCATCCCCTTCTTCTGATCATGAAATCATTCATAAATAGAGCATGTTATAACACCATGTATATGAGAAGTTTCTTTAAATGCATGTAGCTAAAATAATAGCCCACAAAGCCTATAGTTGTAAGAGAGTAATATACCCGTTGTTTGCTTCAGAAGCTCCATTCCATTTGAGATGGCTTGGTCAACATTCTTCTTCCTTAGCTCAATATCACCCTGCAGTATCTGAATAGGAAAATCTCAGAGAGTCAATAAGGAGTTCAAATGCATCTTACAAATAACAAAGGGTTAAAAAAAAACGATAATAAAAGCTGAAAGATGATGTGATTTGAAAGAAAATGTAATGGTTGTTCTGGAGAGGAGAGTATACCCGCTGTTCGGCCAACTGCTTTTCAAGAACGTCAGATTTGTGATCCTGGACGGACACTTCCTTCAGCTTGGAGTGCACCTCACTGAGCCAGTTCATAAGAGCCACTTCATCCTCTCCAAACAACTGGGCATTGGCCAGAGCTTGATGCAGCATGTCAGCTTTCCTCCTGCATCTCTCCTGGAGCTCTATGTAACTGGCTTGAGTGGTGTCCAGTCTAGACTGAACAAACTCCTTCTCTTCCACAGAGCTTGCAGTTTTAAGCATCTGACCCAGACTGACAGCCTGAAGCAGGTCTTTACTGTGACCCATAATCTCCTCTTCCAGGCTCTAACCAGTGGTGAATGGAAAATGGAAAAAAACAAACAAACAAAAAACAACAACACAAAAACATAAAAATAACAATGAACAAAAATGAAAATGGCTGATGATGATAAACTTAGAATAAAACAAGCAAAATTTATTTTACTGAATAAAAAACAAACTAAAAAAAAAAAATGGTTTGTTGATGATTAAAAAAAACAAAAAAACAATAAACTTACCTTATGCTGTGCGATTTGATCCTCCAACTTGGATGTCTCAGTGCCAATTGGCTCACAGCTGGCCAAATGTTTTTCTGTGGCGGCAAGCCACTCGTTGAGTGGCTCCAAAGTCTCATGAAACTGCTGAGTGACCCCTAAGATGCTCTCCAGTTGCTTTTGCCTGCCATATGCATTTAAATATATTTAGACAGATATATGTTTGCACATTCAAAATACCTCTAATGTCACTAAAATTCAAGTTTTGCCAATCACTTCTTAGTGGGCTAAGAAGAGAGCTCTGAATGAGGAATATCAAAAACAAAAATGTAAGCCTCAAACTAGCTGAGTTTTCACATTTATCATGAACTGGAAAAGAATTATCTGAAAAACCTTCAATGTTTTCACATATTACACGTTAAAATACAAATGGCAAAGTATTTTATTGGGATTAATATGAAAAGCCTGCACAATGTAATGCAAAATTGCATTGGAAGAATGTGCTGATAGGACCATTAACTGTTCAGTCTGCAAATCTGTATCATAAGGAAATCTATAAAAAGTCTTATTTGTAGTCCGTGGACACAATCAAACATGGGTGAAAACTGCTCTGTATAAAAAAGATCAAAATTGAACCTGCTGGCATGGATGTGTGTGTGTTTTAGTGAAATGGCCCTGAAATTAGCAGCCAGTGCTATATTGGAGTAATTTAGATGAGGTGTTTCCAGTGGGCTCCAGTCCTCAAGAATCTCCTCCATCTTTTAAAACTGTTTCCCTTTACTTACCAAGACTGCAAAGGGAAAATCCACCCTATGATGAGGGTATGTGGCATCTAAAAGTTGCAGGACCTCTGGGTTTTAGAACAAAGTTTCAAAATGGCCCCCTATAATATGTTTAATATACTTTCAATCCAATAGCACTGAGCTTGAGCTTCTCTAAAAAGAATGATTTCACTGTCTGAAGTTTACAAAGCTGGTATGACTCAAACAAAATGTACAAAGCAGTTTTCTCATGTTAGAAATATGATAAGATTCTGGTTGTCAATTACAAAATTTGAAAAAAAGAAAAATTAATTGTAGGGTATTATGATTTGAATGCACATGTATAATATACATGGGTATATACAGACCTGCTTTCAGCTTTCTTGAGCAGATTGTCCCACCTCTGTCCCAAGCATTCAATCTCTTTTGTGATCTTCTCCTTGTCTGCAGCCTCAGCCAGTTCTGCAACCTTTCCTCCCTCATTCTTTATGAGCTCTACAGTTGGCTTTCGGTCATTCAGCAGTCTCTGTAAGAGCTGTCAGCAACAAACAAAGCAAGTGAGTTATTAAGAGCAATAAGAAAACCACTAAATCTTATAGTCACAAATTAGATGTTCATTACACAAAAAGCTTTGTGTCACCTGTTTGTGATTAATAATGGTGTCAGTTAAGTGGGAAAGCAAACGTTAGGCATTTGTTTAAAGCGTCAAAGTGTTAAGACTAGAACAGACTGCTTTTGTGTTTATGCATGTACCCTATGGAACTGGTATTTACTTACTCTCTGCTCTTGTATCTGTGCCTTCACCACTTTGAACTCAGCAGAAGGAGGCCTCTGCGTGGCCATAAGCTCTTCTGTATCGGTCAACCAGCTAAGGAGGGACTCAAGAGCATCCTGAAATCTTCCACAGTGTAGCAAAGCTTCATGCAATTGTGCTGAACGTTCAGCAACCTGTAGGTATGTCATAACATACAGATGTGTCACTTTCTCGAGTAATGACAATTGTTATCCATTTTAACAAATATCCAAAACACTGTTATTAAGTAATGATGTCATAAAGTAATAACTGAAATAACCTTTTTATTAAGAGTATTCCACTTGGAGTTGATGGCGTCCAAGTCATCCTCAATTTTTTTGTTAGTGGAGCCTTTAGCTGCATTCTGAATGAGGCCCTGCCCAAGTAAGTTGATGTCATGGAGTTGCGTCTGCAATGGATCAATGTCTTCTTTCTGGAAAGTCTAAAGATAAAGTGAACATATTAAACTGAATGCTTATTTCAAAATAAAAGCTTTCACAAAATGATTAGACTTTTTGTAATAATTAAAACTTGTGTTAATAAAAGACAAAATTAGACTTTACCTCAAAAATTTTTACAAAGCAAAAAATAGTTACCGTAATGATGTTTCACAAGTAATTTAGGTTTATATCGATTATAAGATTCGACTCAGCTTTTTCACAATGACTGGTTTTCTTTTTTCAAATACTTTTCCAGAATTAATTATATAACTCTAGTTATTAAAATTAGATTTTTTTCCCCCTAATTTATCAACATAGATAAGGAATAACATTTTACATTTTACTACAGACATTTTCCTTATTTCACAGTTTTTAAGTTTAAAAAGACCAAATTCAGGTGTACGAACAATAAATGTGCTAAATAAACATTTAATTTAAATAAAAGAACATCCTGAATTATGTGAAATAACATAATTTTGAAACAGACGAAATATTTTAGCTTACATATTTATTTCTTATTATATAAAATCCTATTTTTCCTATTATTATTATTATTATTATTATTATTATTATTATTATTATCATTTATTAATAAACCAAAATGTCTGTGTTAAGTGCCACTGCTATACAGCAATTGAAAATATTCACAGTTTTACTATAATCACCTATGATTATGAATCACCTAGAGCAAATCAATAAAATTCCTATATATAATTAAGATAAAGAAAATGTACTCAAAAGAGTTGCTGCTAAACAAATGACTAAAACTGATTTTATCTAGTCTAAAATACATGATTACAGCATCATCACATGAGGTATAAATCTAGTCAAAACAATTAACTCTAATTCTGGAACTAGAGGCTGCTAAATGATTTAGCAAAGGAGATTTAGCAATTAAACCACAGCTGTGGATCATATCCAGGTTGGACTGCTGGGAAAGACCCTATTTGACCCATCGTGTAATCAGATATGTATGAATCCAGGCAGCCGGGAACAAACATGTTTAAATAGACAGATCCTTAACTGAAGTCTGTGCTGGACAAGCTGATAAGAACAAAACTTAGACATGAAGAAACACAATCTTTTTGGGCACCTGTGGGGGGAAAACACCAAAGGGTTCAAGATCTGTGCATGTAGCAATGGCGTTCAGTAAAGCCTCAATCTCCTGCTCCCCTGCATGTTTGAATGTCTGTAAACCTTTAGGCAGACAGGCCTCCAGTGACTGCAGGAACTCTTCCAGCTCCTCCATGTTGTACTTGGATGCCTCTTGCGGTTGAAGAGCACATGGGTCTGTTGTCTGGCAGTTGCCTGTGGGTGAAACTACAGAATTTCCATACGTCTCAGGATGTGTCACAACCACACTAAGGAGCTCACACTCATCCTGAGGTGATACATCTTCCAGCAGCTCCGCAGTGCTTAGCTCATCATAATCTCTTAAAGTCCTGGAACGCCAGCCACAGGTACCATTTTGAGTTCTGGAAGCTGACCCCAAAGATGACCTCCCTGAGGCGTATTTATGCTCTCCGTGGCTCTGACTGTCCTTTTCATTAAGGTTTACCACAACAGATTCTTTAGGTCTTGGTTCCTGGATCATGCTGCTGCTATGATAGAGAGACTGTCTGTCCCTTACAGGGGAGAAAGGAAAGTCTTCCTGCCCTGAGCTGAGTGAACGCCCTGTTTTCAGATCCCCGGAGGTATGCATTGCCTCTGAGGATGAGAAACTTCTTGTACCAGGGCCTGTTCTTTTGTGGGATCTATGTGAGTGTCGGTCCCTCTCTACAGAGGGACTGTAAAGGCCAGAGTCCTCTTCAGACGTAAGCGAGCTGGTCATACTTTTTCCCTTCCTGTCACCAGTAAAGCCAGGCCTCTCCCCGGTGCCAAGAGACAGTGTCCCGCTTCGGCTCCCAAACTCAGCCAAATTATTAGGAGTGAAAGTCCTCCATGACCTACGGTGATGAGGATGATCCTTCTTTTCTACTCCGTGAAGGCGTGACTTGGAAAGCACTGTGTCACTTGTCATGTTTCCATTAAGCTTCAGCCGGTCAAAGACCGCTCTCTCATCCAGAACTGTAGGCTTCCTAGTTCGAAGTTCAAATGAGCTAGAAGTGGAGAGACCTCCATTCCCACAGAGGCTGCTAAGATCCAAGGTCCGGTGAGTGTAGGGTAAAGTTCCAGCAAAGTGCCTGGAAGAGAGGCTTCCCTTAGATCCAGAGTCTATCTGCTCGTTGAGCCGCACAGTGTCATATATGGATCTCTGAGGAACATAGCAGTCATCAATGTTTAGGTCCTCCTCCCCCCCCTTCCCAACACAGGAAGGGTTTTGTCTGAGGCAATCAGGTCTGCTCAGCGGTTTGCCCATTGCTGGGGCAATTGTTATTGCTCAGAGCTTCAAAATTTTAGGAAATCCTTTAATGTACACTACACCCCACTTTAATAAACAATGAGCAGCAACTTCAATAAAAATTAGCAGCAACTGAGTGCACCATAAAATTTGTGGCCACCTAAATAAGAGGTCATGAAATACAAACTCAGCATTTCCTCTTGTTCTTTGTTGTTTTTTTAACTACAATTAAAATTTTCTCTTGAGGTAATATCCATAAAAAAAAAAAAAAACTTTCAGAAATAGAAACATGCCAAACCAGATGAAAATTTGCATAGAACAATTCTTGTAAATCTATATATTCCAAATCAGGAGTCCTGCCCATTCCTTTAATATTCCTTCAGGCTTTAGTCAAAAGTTATTGTGTGTTCCTCTGATTCAAAGAGCTTCTTTATCCCAATCAAATCTTTATAGTATCCAAATAAACAAATGAAAAATGTGAAAAAAAAATATCCATAAACAAATCCAGAATCCAGAAGGCTCTGCTTGTAAATACAAGCAGCTCTGAGGGGAACTGGTACTCCCAGATAAACAAAAAAAAAAGCCTGCCCTTCTTCTCACATCGCTCCCCTCGCACTGAAAGGCACCCTCCTGACAGAAGGTTTCATGCCCCGCCCCCGCTCATTATTCAGACCACATCTGCCACAACTCCATTTGTGCTCCGAGCCGCTCCGGTACATGTTGATTGGTGGACATGTGACCCCTCTCCCCCCTTATTGTAATTCTCTCTCTTTTCTCCTCGGTCCATATGACTTCACTTCTAAGCCATCCTCTGCATCCTGACACCGTCACTCACTTTCCATATCTTTTCTTTCAGCGACTGAGGGAATTGGGAGGGGAAGCAGTATGAAGAACCTTCACACACACACAAAACCACCTCTTACTGATGACATCACAATATGCTGAAACAGAAACACGCTTTCCCTTTTCTCTCTCTTTGCTCTGCAGTTGCCGTGGACCCTGTAGATATTCTTAATTGCTTTGGAATGCTGAGGGAGGCACAGGTCTGAAGTAATTTAACACCAAAACCTCTGCCAAGTGTGCAATTTCGCTTTTACACCCAGTCAACCAATGTTGTAACAGAAGAGGAAAAAATAAAATAATTTTTTTTGCTGATATCTACACTATAACAGTGTGGTTAGAGAAAGATGCTCCCCTTACTTCCCAGTCAAATATGAAAGGAGAGGCAAGGAGAATGTGGCCCTTGTCCAAGGATAGATATGCATTCGTATCTAGAAAAGTATTAGATACAAATGCTAAGAGAAAAAAGGATTAAATAAGGATTAAAATAAGAATCTGGATTCTTACTTTATTTAAACCAGAGTAAATAACAACTGTACACAACTTTTTAGGTTGCTTTTCCTGTTTCTCTAACTTTTTGCATGGACAAAAATATGATCCATTTGATGAAATTGTTGTTGATGCAGAAAGGAACGCCTTGTTTATCATCAGTCGACTGCATATCATATCTAACTAGAACTAAAAACAGAAAAAAACAGAGATATGGCATATTTTGATTTAAAGAAGAAACAATTCCTGGCTAACTTACATCTACATTACTATATATGGAAGCGTTCCCAAAATTAACCATACCAATTAACTTTTATCATATTTTAGCAATCTGTTTTTTATTTATCAGTTCAGTGTTTGTTTGTTTTTTTTTTTCAATTGAAGCCTCAACTTTCACTTTTCAATATTTTACTAAATTATGGTGTCTTTGACTTCTGCTATACAAATCAACTTTATGATATAAACTGTATGCGACTATCTCTCAATTTGGGTAAAAAAAACACGCCCTCTTGTGACACAGAATTCTAAGTCTGCACAGAAAACAAAAAAAGTATTTTTCAAGTGGAAAATCTAAAGTGATCACCTACAGTACAGGAAGGATGATGCATCTCTGCTCATATACCAACAGGTCTGCTGCGGTTTCAAGGTTTTACTTAGAGGAAAATGTGTCATGATCCATACAACATGGAACAATATACGCTTTCAATGACACTTTTTTTCTTTCTATCATCAAAATTGGGTACTTGATGTAAAACTATGATTCAGGGGGAAGAAATTCCTTTTAAATTACAGTAGATGCTGATGTAATGTCTGAAGAGTAAGAAAAGACAAGCACACACACCGGCAGAAGTTGAGTCACTATAACTGACGTTTATACACATGAAGACATACATACGCCAGGTCTTCTAAGCTCTTACAAAGTTATGAAACTAAATAAACACATGGTGCCTCTTTTAAAACTTGACCTAACATGGTAACAAAGCACAGAACAGAGATACAAATCCAAATTCTGTCAGTTGAGTTTTTTCCTTTATCCCTGGCTGTTTTTTAAGGCTTGTCCTAATTCTGTAAACAAAGATGATGGTTCAGTAATGTTTCCTTGTGTCCTCTCATCAACAATCAGGACCATCCACTTGCAGCTGAAGCCATATGACCTCTCAACCCAGTAAAGTGAAAGGTCAAAGTTTTGTTTCAATGCCACTGCTGCTAAGTAACAATCTAAATCAAACACTTTATTAGTAGTTGTAACAAAACCAAAAAAAAAAAAAAAAGGATTTTAATCCAGGCAAACGACAAAGAGGTTAAGATAAGGCACAGGACACTAAAATTTAGGGACTTAAAAAAAAAGCCTGCTTAAGCTTAAGCCTGCTGTTTACAGTGTTTTAGTGTGATGTTATCCAATACTGTAAATTAAGGGATTTTAGCCTGTTGTGGTTAAACATTTATTGTTATCAGTTAAGTTACAGAAGAGAATTGTTTTTTTTTGCCTTTATCTATAAATAGCTGTCATAATACTGCTATGTCTATGTAATGAAAAAAACTAAATCACTAAATGAACCACTATTATTTTATTTAGGACCCCGAAAAATATCTGTATACAAATATATAATAAAGATTCAAAATATCTCTAACTAAATAGAGATCAGAAGGCAGCTGTAGTACTGAGCAAACTGACGCCCTGCTGGGTGAGCCACCTGCCTGTGATCGCCTGTCCTATTGGCCGTCATCATTACATATGGAACGCAGGGCTTTTGTTTGTACCAGATGCCCTGAGAGGGGCATCCCTTAAGTGCCCCTCAGAGGTCTGCTATGTATGCAAAAAGCCTACTCAGTGAGGAGCTTGTTTGTGACAATAACTAGGATGCTTCTTGATGCTTATGAGAAATTTGCAAAGTTGTCTTCTTGCATATTTTAAGGTAGATGATTAATATAAAACTCAAAAACAAATTTCTTTATCTTACAGTTTAAGATTAATTGAGATCAATGCACTAGCTACGATGTGCTAGTACAGTAACATAGCATGGTATTTTAGCATTAAATCATACCTAAAGTTAATTTAAGTAAAATTTTGCATACAGATGAAACTGAAATCTGATCATGTAAAAGTATAGATCCCAACAACAAAATAAGTGATTTTTCCCAAATGAGTTTTGTGTCGATTTTTGAACTTTATTCCAAATGGGTCACCAATTTTAGACTAGCATCCTTTCTAAAAACATTGTAGGCTAATCTAAGAATTGTAGTTTTTGTCTATGATGAAAATGAAACAGCTAGTTGAATAAGATTTTTGCACGACAGTAACAAAATAGACATTGCTCTTAGATGTCTAAAAAAGTTTTCCATAGTTGACGAAGACAAAACTGTTGATGATGATTCATTGGACAAACAATGTATGTGGACAAACAAATATTTCTGCTTACTATGTAGGAAATCTTTTGGTGTAACATTAGTTCATTTGTTTTGTGTGTTGCTGTTAAAAACACAGTGATTCATGGATCAACAACAACTTTAATGTTAAGCAATGTTTACTGCCTTGTTTATGTTTTGTCGGTACGTTGTTTCGTACATTTCGATTTGCAGGGACCGTCCCCATTTTGGACCACCTGTACCGAACTGAAGCTGTCTCAGACTTTTAGCATTTCTGCTTGGAAAAAAATCTGGTTGTTTGCGTGTTTACTGTTATAATGGTGGCCAGGGGTAGCATGTCATCAAAGAGGAGTATTTGTCATGGTAACAGAAGAAGTGCAGCACATTGCTGTCTCCTCCATAACAGTCTCTTCTGCTGTATCAGCATGTAACTTAAAAAGAATATTTATTTTTTTGTGCTAAATATAGTTATTTTGGGCCTTTCATCAGCTGAGGAAAAACAAGTTTTTAGCCAAATTGATGAGTTGAAACAAATAATGATCTATACGTGTTTTTTTTTTTTTTTTTTTTTATATTACTCATACTTGTTTGTATTTTCTTTGTATTTACATTTATGGTAGATTCAACTAAGACAAAGATAGAGAAGATATGGAAAAAATCTAAATCAGACTACAAATTGACTAAAACTTTTGCATATGAAATAATTTAATTATGACTAAAACTAATAGTAATTTCATCCACAAGACTTGGTCATAACAATGTACATCTTCAAGCGTTACGCTAAAAAAAAGTGATGGCATATTATAAGTTCAGTTTTTTTTTATTTAAAGAGAAAGAAAAAAACCCCAACAAAAATAGGACAGAGGTTTTTTCTAATAACAACTACCGGTAACCATAACTTAAAAAAATGCAATAATCTAGCATGTTTTTTAGGAACATACCTTTAAAGCATCCAGCTGTTGGTTGATCATATCTGTCTCCGAGCCGACCGCCTCCTGGGATGCTTCCCTGTCCACAGCTCTGAGTAGTTTATCTTCCACCTGATGCACTTTATCATACAGCTCCTCCAGCTTGTTAAGAGTACTCTGCACCTGGACCTCTCTCCCCTTGGATCGATCCATGAGTTTGTTACACTGTTTGCTCAGAGCATCCAGATCTCTCTTCAGGCCCAACAGTTCAGGGGAAGCCTCAGACTCCTTCAGCATTTTCTTACAACTTTCCCCAGCATAGTTTGTGCTGGCCATTAGCTCCTGTAGCTTAGACATGAAACTCTGAATGCTCTGCTGCTGCCCTCTAAGGGTGGCCAAGTCTAAATCCACAGGAGGCATGCTGTCGAGCTCATCATCCAGTTCTGTGAAACTGGTAAACATCTCACGAATGCTGGTTTGGAACTGTCCGATACCCTGCAGTTTACTCTCCAGCTCTTGACATGCTTCCTCCAGCTTTGTGTTTAGGTTGCTGTAGTCTTTTTCTATGTTATCCACCTGGAGAAGGAGGTCAGTCACTCCCTCAGCATCCGGGACATCTACTACAAGATCCTTTGCTAAGGTCTTCATGTGCTCCACTTGGTTCTGAACTCCCTCTAAACCTTTATGTTGGGCTTTTAAGTTTGTTAGGTACTTGTTGCTTTGTGCCTCAACCCCTTTTGATTTAAAGGAATCAACCTGCTTCTTAGCTCCCTCAAGTTGACCCCTTGCTTCCTTGAAGGCATCATTAAATTCTTTAACAGTATGGGAGATTTTTTCGAGTTGTTCCCTTTTGACCTGTAGTCCTTCTGTTAATTGGTCTAGTCTTGTACCAATGTGATCTTTCTCTTCTTTGACAGCTTCAGTGTCTGTGTTGACCACCTCCAAAAGGCTTTCGGCACTTGCGTTGAGCTGCTCCAACAGTCCTCTGTGTTTGTCTACATCCTTCTGGAGAGCTTTTACCTGAGAAATTGCGCCCTCGACAGCAACAGGATCAACGTTGACTTTGATACGGCTGTCATTGGCTTCACAATCCTGAATCCAGGAACTCAGTTTCTCTACATTCTCCTGAAACTTCTGAGATTTCTGCAGGGCAGCTTGCAGTTTGTCCACCTTCTCTGCAGAGCTCTTCTTTACTTCCTCCCAGTTGGAAGACAAAGTACTGAGCTGCCCTTGTAGTGCCAGCTTCTCTACACCATCAGTATTTTGCAGTAACATCTCTCCTTCCCCAGTGATTGTATTGTAAGCCTGTTCGTGTTCTTTGAGCGACTTCTGGTACATAACATGTTCCTCCAATGTTTGCTGCAGAATGTCCACTTTGGCAGAGATGGGCAGAGACTTTTCCTGGTCCTGGAGCTTCTCGGCCAGCCAAGATTGGAAATCTTTGGAGGTTTGATGGAATTGTTGAGAGCTTGCAAAGGTGGAGTTAAGCTGTTCAATCAGTTTAGCTGTAAAACAAAAACATAAGAATGGTAGAATGCCTTAAAGCTTATCTTTGAGAGTCCAAAATGACACGATGTGACTTTGTATCTTCTCCTTCAGTAAACTACATTCCATACAAAAATGTGTTGTTGTGGCTAGTGCTAGTTGTAATTGCTTAGGTGTGCAGTTGTTTTTTTTTTATTAGAAAAAAAGAGTGTGCATTTGCCTTCTTAGGTCAACAGTCAACTGTGTGGGTGCAAATCTACAAAAGACACCCTTAGAAAAAGTTACGAACCTGCTTTGTCCTCCAGCCGTTTAAATGGCTTGCTGACACTTTCAAGCTGCTTAACCAGGTCAGCTTTAAGATAGTCCTCAGTCACCAACGCTGACAGCTCTGCATTAACAACCTCAGCTTGTTTCAGCTTCTTTCTCTCCTCTCTCAGCTGAGCAGAGATGTTTTGTACGTCTTCTAGCTGCTTCTTCACAGCGTCAGGCTGTGTGCTGCTGCTGTGATGGTTGGTGAGCTGTTCTTCTAGCTCAGTGGCAGTGCTGCTGAGACCCCTCAGCAACTCCTGAAACTCATTAGTCTTTATCATTGCTTGGTCGATGAGACAGTCCCGCTGCTCCAGCTGTCCAGTGAGGCCCTGCCACTTTTGGGAGATGGCATTAAGTTTTTCCCTCACCATCTTACCACTTGAGGGCTCTGTGTCACCTGATGAGCTGAGGATGTTAGAGGCTGCTTCTTCAAGTTTTTCATAGTGAGGTTTACGGCTCTTAAACTCATTTTGCAGAATCTGGATTATATGGATTAAGAAAAAAAAAAATCTGTCAAGATGGTCATCCTTACCAGATGTCTAATAGTCAAAAAAAATTTACTTTGCAAACCTGAACTTGTTGCTTCTGCATTTTGAGCATGTTGGGATCGATAGAGAGAGGTCCAAGAACACCCAACATCAGTTCCTTCTCTGAGAGCCACTGGCTGAGCTGCTGGTCTGTGGTCTGGAAGATTTCTAGATTCTTATTAGATTGTTCCAGGTTCTGCTTCCTCTCTTCCACAGAGCCGGTAATTTCCATCCATGCAGCATCTAGCAAAAAAGCCAGAACATCACCATTCTGGATTAGTCAGCACAAACACCTCTATCTAACCTCTGCCACATTGTTTTACTCTCCTGCTGCACATGTCTTAGTACTACAAATAAACAAAATCAGATAAAGCCACATTCTAACACACACTGCAGCTTTCAGACAACAAGAATACTAATCTTTTGTCAATCTCATATTATAACATTGCATAAGGTGCAGACCTATTTCTGATAGCATCTTCTTCCATTTTGCTGCTTCGGGGGAGCTTGGATTAGCTGAGATCAAGCCCTGAAGTTTCTCTCTTAGTTTCTGGAGCTGCTCCTGTTTCCTCTTCATGTCATCTTCAAATGTCTGCACAAGTCATAAAATGGATAAATGCTGAATAACCCACATCTCTCTCAAATGCAAGAAGGTGGCTGTTATTTTTATTCAATGGCTTATTTGTCCAGTTGAAACTCATCTTTACCTTTTGCTGTTCAAGCTGTGTTTTTACAGAATCCTTTTCAGCAGCTGCAGCATTCCAGGATGCGGCAGTATTCTTCATGTCCTTCAGCCATGTCATCATCTTCTCTGTCTCCTTTTGGGTTTCTTTTACCTCTTGCAGCACATCACTCAGCTGCTCCATGCGGTTCTTCAATGTGTCTCCAAGGTTTGTGTATCCCTCAGTGACAAACGACATGTTCTGCTGGATCCCCATCAGCTCTGAGGACATTACAATACAGTTTTTACAAACACTCCTCTGTAGTTTTCTTTTATGATGGTTTAAACATTTCTATCCATATAGTTAGAGGCTATTATAATAGATCAGCTGTATGATTCTATAAGTATATTAAGTGCAGGTTAAATTGTACATTTACAATTTCAATCAACTGATATCTGATCATGCAAACTGTATTGTGTCTGAATTGATCTTAAGACTTCTGTTGTAAAGAAATACAGCCAGTGCTATATTTTGCAGTAATAAAAATGGACGTGGGTTTGCTTTAGCATTTACTGCATTTAAATTAACATTTCATAGATGTGGGACAAGGAGCATGTAAAAAATGGTACAATACAAAAGGCACAGACTTAGTGGGCTTAAAAGAGAATTTCTGAAAAAAATTAATGTACCATATGAAAAAACTCACTGTCTGCGGAGTAGCAAGAAATGTATTTATCTTAAAAAAATATCTCTAGATAACTGTATCCCTGTAATTGACAGTCATAAGCTCAATATTTTGTCAGAGGACTTTATTAATGTAAAATTATTATACACAGAGCCACTGATATAGGTAGGAAAAATAATCTATTGCCCCTTAGAGTCAGTTAACACCTGTTTCCCATCTGTTGCCTTGTACCGCTGGCCAGAAAACTGAAGGAAAGCAATTATATCTTTCTCTTGAGTATAGGAAAGACCAATCCTTCTAAATGGAAATATTTCTTGTCAAGAAAAAATCATGAACAGCAGTGGGAAGAAAACTAAAGTAGAGGCATTCTATGAATCCTGTTGGAAAGGTACATGCTGGTTGTTTGTTCAGCAGCCACCTGCTGCCTGACTACCTGAATAGATCACCTGAAGAGCTTGCTAGTTGCTATGTTACTCTGGGAAGAGTGAAAAAATGTGCTTTATTTGGACCATAAAGCAGATGTTTTTGGGAAGTTAATGAAGTGAAAGCTGAATAACCCGGAATGAGGGAAATGTCCTGAATATACAATTGAAAAATCTGTTTCTGTTTTTTTGTTGTTTTTTTTACACAATTAATCATAGCATATTATACATTTATATCTGAAATGTATGTTCATGTACAATAAAACCAATACATTTTTGCAATAGGTTAGTAGGAGAGGTGTACTATGATCTAGGCCTACACCATAGCCACATCACTTTCAACTAAGAAATATCACAGCTTATCACAAACAGTGTTCTTTTCTCAGCATCCACACCCACACTTGGTTACCTTTATTGGTTAGGTAGGTATGGCCTGCTGGACCACCACCATTAGTTAGAGCTGATGCAAAGACAAAAGACAGAAGATGAAAACCAAAACCATGACAGCCAGTTTATGTCAGTAAAAGTTCTTACACAACCTCAAACAGTTAGTTTCATCAAACAACAAGGGTAAACCAAAACACCATGCCTGCTGTCCTGCATAACTCAAACACATGGGAAGGTTAGGATGTTTACCTGACTTCATAGGGGTCTTCGACTTGGCAGAAGATGTGAGAGAGATAATCAGGCTGCACAATGTTGAACCTTTACTGTTAAGGTCTTTGACTGCAGAGTCTTTAGATTTCCATTCATCCAGCAGCTCCTAATGGAATCATTAAAACATGTAAGAATCAAAAGATGGACACTAAAGATATACAAAAGGTATATAGTGTAGCACTTGCTTTAATGTTTTAGTTTTGTTTTAAATGAAGAATTCTTGGATGTATTACGCTGAAAACAACTTAATAGTTAGATAACACTGTTTCACTCCTTGTTCTGCTCTACAGTATGTTAACACTCATGGTTCATCTGTCATTAGCTGGCAGAGAAACCAAGATGAGATTAAGGGGAGGCTAAGGAGGATAAGAGTAATATCTCTTGAAATGAATTTTATTGCAACATACTGTACATAATCTTGTGTCAGAAGGGACTTTGTAACATTTGACTTCTGTTTCTGCATTTTAGGTCGAGTTAGGTAAAATATATGTATGGCAGGAATATCATTACTTTTCCTATAAGCTATTTATGTATCCCAGACTTACAGTGAGTATCTGCAGGTCTTTCTCCAGATTTTGCTCACTGCTGCTTGACTTAGCAGCAGGTACTTTTTCATTGGTCTCTTCCAGCCACTTGGTAAGCATGCAGACTGCAGAACTGAACTCTCCCAGCTGGTCCTGACAGGATGATAGCTCTTCTTCTCTGTAATACACAAAGGAAAATTAGGTAAAGTATTCTTCACAGCCATTCTGGCTACACCACAAAATTAGCATTTATGTGCTGTAAAATGCTAAGATATCCTTTTACTTCACTTACTTTTCTTTGACTGCGTCTTTGAAGGATCGAAAAACATTTGAGACATTTTCAATCTTGCTCTGAAGTTGAGCTTTGTTTCCATCCGGGCTTATTTCACATAGTTCCCTACAGAGAGTCTGCAGCCTCTCCATATCATTGGCATGTTCAGCCATCTCTGCTTTAGTGGTCTAGTGAAAAACAAACTTAAGTTTAGTCATGAAGATTAAACGCCAAAGATATTACAAAAAATGAATGTCACTCTCACCTGCATTTGCTGAGACAGTTCGCCGAACGTTTTCCCAGGTCCGTCTGTTTCATGCAGCTCTTGTGAACGCTTCATGACAAACTGCTGGATTTTGTCTTTGATTTCGTCAAACTCTTCCACCTTTTCTTTCAGCTGCTCCAGTTGGGAAACTTTCTGTTTATGTTTGTCACAGGCATCAGAGAAGCGCTTTGAGAGAGCGTCCATCTTTGACTGCAGAAGCTGCGCAGTAGAGGGATCTGCCGTTTCCACAAACTTCTCGACTTTGGCTTTGATTGCAGAGATGCTACTCTGGCGGCTCGCTATGTCCTGCTCTAAAGCCTAAATACAAATGTATTGTTTACATAAAGTGGTTACAGACAGATATATTGTAAAATAAAATGGGATGATGAAAAGAAAACTTACTGCTTCTCTACTGAGCATTTCCCCAATACAGGAAGCATCCAAGAATACTTTGTCTTTCTCCTTTACACTTGCCTCCACTCCCTCCATCCATCCTATCATCTCATCCAACCCATCCTGCACACTCATCGAACGGGTCAGAGTGATTTGTAATTTTTCATTTCGATCACTTACAGACTTGGAAAGGTTGTCATAGCGCTCCACAATGTCATCTGCAAAATAGCAATTCAAAGCAGCTTGTTTGTTGTTTTAAGAGCTGCAAACATAGCTTTAAACTGAAGACGATGCCTCTCTTTTAGTCTCTGAGTAGGAATTTTGTTAATGTCAAAATTCACTGTCGTAATCTGCAGCTGTTTAGTTGCATTATCGCTTGTTGACCTATCCTTGATAGAACTGTGTTTTGTTGTGTAATGTGTAATGCATGAAATTAACTCTAAAACACGTAAAAGTTCTCGCTCCATCCCCTTTCTGGGGCTTAAAAAGACAAAATAATAAACAATCTGCACAATATAATACTGCCACCACCATGTCCTAAAGTGGGGAAGGTGTATTCGGGATGATGTGATATGAACTTTCCATAATTTCATTTAAGTCTCATCTGACCAGAGCATCTGGCTTCTATCACATGTTTCTTTGATTTATCATGGCTAATGGAAAAACTACAAAAACAGCATTTGCTATGGCTTTCATCAAACATCGGAGTTCATCCAGGCACTCTTCCTTAAAGGCTAGATTTTTGGCTTAACAGCCTTTTTCCCACTGAAAATGTCAGGTTAATGCGTGTTTTTCAAACATAGGTTGAGCCGCTAACTATCGGCATTTGGCTCCCTTCCTACTGGCAAAAAAAACTTGGTCTAACCCCACCTCTGGCAAACTGCATGGCCTCTGTCCCCCTACTGCTATGTGTCATTACGCCAGAAATCAGGAAAGTAAACAATTGAGAGCAACATTTAAAGGAATAGTACACCCAAAACATGATTAGCCTTCATTTTCTACTCACCCCCATGCTGAACAACACCCTGGAGTACTTTTTTGATATCTCAAATGCATCTGGAGATCTGGGAGGCTTCTTGCTGTCTGCTGACATTCAAATAATGGAGGTCTATGGTGACCGAGACAGAAAGGTCAATAAAAGTCCACAAAAAACGTGTCAATATTCCTCCATACTGCTCGTCCAATGTATTCCAAGTGTCCTGAGTGGGTAGCATCCAGAATTTACTCGAAACAAAGTCATTTAGAATGTTTTTAGAGCATAAACAGTAGTGTACAGGATTTCCTGAAAGCGCGCACATGCGCGCTCACGACGCTACGGAAGCCGGCAGACCAAACCAGATGAAAGTGCGCATTCAGCGTCTGCTCTTCCAATAATGCAAGCGTAGAAGAAGAAATGTGCTGTTTACCTGTGCAAAGAAAGAAACAACGAAAGAAAAATGTCTGAGGACTTCAGTGTTGAGGAAGAGCATGAGTTCTTTGCCGAGCTGAATGCGCTGGTTTGGTCTGCCGACTTCCGTAGCGTCGTGATCGCACATGTGCACGCTTTCAGGAAATCCTATACACTACTGTTTATGCTCTAAAAACATTCTAAATGACTTTGTTTCGAGTAAATTCTGGATGCTACCCACTCAGGAAACTTGGAATACATTGGACGAGCAGTATGGAGGAATATTGACACGTTTTTTGTGGACTTTTATGGACCTTTCTGCTTCGGGCACAATAGACCTCCATTATTGAATGTCAGCAGACAGCAAGAAGCCTCCCAGATCTCCAGATGCATTTGAGATATCAAAAAAGTACTCCAGAGTGTTGTTCAGCATGGGGGTGAGTAGAAAATGAAGGCTAATCATGTTTTGGGTGTACTATTCCTTTAAGGAAGTCAGTGCGTAGTGAGTGTGCTTTATTTTTTCGTTCTTTTGTCCCTCAGAATCTCTCTTACCAGTGCAGCGCTATGTTTATCAAATGTAAGCAGAGTTGTTTTAGTTTGTTAAATCAGAAGTGACTGGTTGCTTGCCAAGTTGTTTGATACGGATCAACATGGGTCAGTTATTTAAAACTTTGATATTTTAGATTAGGATTTGATGTTTTATGCACACACATCTGAATTTGCTCACCTATGGTCTCCTGTATCTCATCCTGGTTGCTCAGGAGGTTTCCTTCTGATGTCACTAATGATTCAGCTGTTTTACGTAACGTGTCAACAGCCGTCTGGTGCTCCATCATCTGACTCTGTAAAGCCTGGGGATTAGTAAAAAAGGACAAATCAGAAAAAAATGAATACACAACCTCACTTTTTTTATTATTGTAATTACATGAAAACTGCTGACTAAAAATATTTAGTTCTTTAAATCATGCTAGTCTCAAAAACATTTTCAAATAAGAAATGTAAAATTTAAAGGCTGTTTTATTAAATACATTCAAAACTAAAAGAAATGTTAAAATATCATATAAAATAATCATCTGTTTGTATTTGCCAGAGTTTTTCAACTAGAAAGAGGAACTCTGTAGCTTTAAAGATCACCTTTGTTAAGTAGTGCTCAATGAGAAATGTGTATACATACATTTGTATTTAAAAAGTTAAGACCACATTTTAGACCTGTGTGTTTCAATGAGGAACACTTTTAGTTCTGACCTCTCAAAGTCCTAAACTCGCTGCTGGGCTTACAGCCTTCTCTTATCAGAGCATATCTGTTATAATTCACCTTTTCCCTACGGAGAATTCTCAGGCTAACTGAGGCCAAAAGTTTCAAGTCAGACAGCTTTGTCAGCCTGTTCTGGAGTGTCTAAGCTTCAAATAAGCATAGTTAAATCTATTTATATATGGGTCTAAAGGTGAAAACACTGAGCAAGAAATAGCTTTGACAGAGTTAAGTTGGTGAAAACACTGTATATGGTAAGACAAGGCTATTGTAGTATGATTTTACAACCCAGTTAATGCTTTCAGCTAAGCATGTATTATTTCTAAATAAGAATGTATTTAGAGTAACTTATATTAAAAATCAGTCGTCTAGTTGTAAAAAAAAAAAAAGATGGTGGGGGGATGGTGGATTTTTTTTTTTTTTTAGAAGCATACATAGCCTAATTACTATAGTCTATTAACCTAAAGCAATATTCAAGGTATGGTTGTTAAATGTCAGACACGCTGGTCGTTGACCTTGACCAAGGCATCTTACAGCAGAACTGCAGACAATCCCTGGATTGGCATGGCTATCACTGCCCCTACATAGTTAGGGACAATTACAGAGGAAAAATTTCCCACTGGGATCAGCTTCCTAGTCATGGTAGGCCACTTCTTCAGTTTTATTTAGTTTGCTCAGGCTACGGTACTCGTAATCTCACAGCCCACCACATTTTGAAAAGGCAATACTATTGCCATTACTGTTAATACTGTATATAGTAGGATTTTTTCACATTCAGTAATAAAATGTCACAGGGGAAGGTATGAGGGGGATGGTCATTTAAGAAGGGGGATGATTTTTATGATTCTTTTTTTAAGAAGGGGGATGCTATCCCCCCTCATGCCCCCTCAACTCGAGTACTGCTAGAAATGTATTTTTAACTAAAATTAAAAACAAGGTCACAGGAGGAAATAACCTTAGGTTTAACTTAAAATAAATAAATAACACTTAGAACACGTACACAGTAATTCACTAAAATAAAAGGCTAAAAGCTTAAAAAATATGTTCTATTTTTTACTTCTGAGGTAGGGTTTAACCATATTTCTTGCCTTGGTGTCTTCCAGCTGTTTCTGCAGGCTTTTTGGATCAGCTGCGATGGCTTCTGACTGCTGCTTTCTGGCCTCCTCTTCGGAGACGTTCAGCCACTTAAGAAGATCTGTACCTGAATCATCATACTTTTTGTACTTGTCAACCACTTCTCTTAGGTTGTTGCCAAGCAGATTGCACTAAAAAGGTGAATACATCAAAAATAGATAATAATCAGATTAATAATTAGATAATATGAGTAGATTCACATTAAATTATATAATTCAATGTGAATGAAGGGATTACAGGGAAATGTTACCACCCACTGGCAGTTTTATGTCACTGCAACCAACAGCCATTAAAGTGAAATACCTGTGAATGTAGCGTTTTGTATCGAGTGGCTGCGGAATCCAATTTTTCCCTGACAGCAGAACAGGTCCCTGAAGTGTCCACGTGTAGTAAAGTGTTCTTAGATCCAGCATCAGCCGATTCACAGGTTTTAGCAACATCAAGCACCTTCTGTCCTGACATTGTGATGAAGCGAAGGTCTCCCTTGTGGGAAATGACATCCTCTGAGAAAATCTTCTGTTTCTGAAGTTTATCACTCAGAATATTAAGGGAGCCTGCAGGAGCACCCAGCTCTTTAATCTCCACGTCAGCCTGTTTTAACCAGTCTTCAAATTCCTCACAGTCATCATTGAATTTCTTTAGCTCCTCCTGAACTGTCTGCACCTGCTTCATCTGTTGTTCAGCCTGAGTCAGGGAAGTTTCATAGCGCTCCTTTAGGTCTTGGATGTTCTTCTGAAGTCTCTCCTTTTCCTCAGGAGACAACATATTTGCTTGTTTTTCAAGCAAGGCCTGAGCGGACTGGGTGGCCATGACCAGATCCTGCTGCTGGGACAGGATTTTCTGATGGTGGGCCTATGAGAAAGAGAAGTAGAAAAGACTTATTCAAGCAATTATTTATGGATTCAGTCACTCTCCTGAACACTTGGGAATGCATTTTTATTCAGACACATGCATTTGCTGGTCTCTTGTTTGCACAGTATGTCTACCTGTTAATTTTTTTTTTATGGCACTAGTGGCTCGTTTTTCTGACAATAGGCTGACAAGAGACAGGGTATGAGAGAGGGAGAGAGACATGTGGCAAAGGACCACAGGCCGGATTCAAACCCGGGTCAGCCGCATCGAGGACTAAGGCCTCCGTACATGGGTCATGCGCACTAACCACTGCACCACCTGCACACCCAAGGAATTCCATTCTTACAAAATAGCTAATTTGTAGCACTGTAGCTCTGGTTGTGTGTTGCAGTGGTACACTGGAGCCTTTAGTACATTTCATAGCATAGGGCCTTCACCATGCTTTACCATCTTACACGTACTGTATGTTGTAGAGATGCACGGATCCGATACCTGGATTGGGTATTGGCTCCAATACTGACAATTTTTTTCACCAATCTGATATCAGAGATCTAATTCATTGCACATAACAAATAATTGTTATTTATTTCTATTTGCTGCTTATGTATGCTTTGTTTTTTATAAATAATATAAAGTACATTTATATCTGTTAATTTGTTCCCTATTCTAATATTGTATATGTCAAGGCGAAACCCTTCACTCATATAGCAAGATATATGGTTCATTAATGCAAAAGTTGAATCAGATCAGCATTGGATGTCAGCAGATACAATCAGCTCAGGTATCGGATCAGATCTGAAAAAATGAGATCAGTTCATCTCTAGTACATTGTTTTGCATGTAGACCAAAAACTTACAAACCTCAATCTTGAGAGCTAAAATTTTTGGCAACATGTCTTGCCATTCTGCCAACTGATGAATGAAGGCAATCAGTTGAAATGGAGAATATTCAGGAAATATCTAGGTAAGTAGGGCTGAATATATTTTTTAACCACAGTCTTTTTTAATTTGTGAGTAAATCATTTTAGAAATCTTCACGTAAAATCCCCAATTTGCAATACAGGGCACTGTAAATCTTCTTTTGCATGAACAGTATAAAAAAATGTAGTCTGAGAGTTTTATGATTCTTCACAACTATGATTTCATCTATTTCTGCAATTCATTTCTTGTTGTAAGCTGTCCATTTCATAAAAGTCACATAAACCCTGACCATATGTTTTATATTTTGTCAAAAGGGTTTTAAGTGTCTATGGGAGGTGAACTTGACTGGAAAGTGTTACAAATAGTCCCATTTTTAGAACAAATTTACCTTGACCCGGTCATACTGCCTGTCAAGGTCCAGGGATGCTGTGTTCTCCTCTTTGGTGTTACTGCCAAGATCTTTTCCAGAGGTTTGTAAAGCATTTCCATTGGCATCATCATCATCTATCAGTGTTTTGGCTGAGGCCTCCCCTGGTGGGTTTCCATTCTCTTTACTTATATGGTCCGTCTGATCCAGACTGCTCATATTTTCATTGCCGATGTTGGATATCCAGTCAAGAAGACCATCAATTTTGCTTTTACTTTCTTCCAGCTGTTCCACAGCTGCTGCCTGCATCAAACAGACCACACATTAGCAGGGTTAATTTCCTGTCTAATATATTCAGATTTCCTTTATTACAGACAGCGGACGGGAAAGGAACATGAACCTTTTCGCTTTCCTGTTTTATGGCCGTTGTTACGACTTTCTCCAAATCCTTCCTGGACTCCTCTGCTCGCTCGTTCATGAGCTCAGCTTTGCTTTTTGCCTCCTCCAGCTTCCTCTCTATCATTGCAATCTTAGCTGGTGTCAGCTTGCTGCGATTCTCCTCCAGAAACTTCTCAGTGCTAATGATTACCTCATTTAGAGCACTGGCATTCATCAATACATCTTTCTGCAGAGCCTAGATCGAACACAGTTGATCAGTTACAGACAGATTTGTGATTTTTGGTTAATTCATTAATGATCTAAATGTGACAAGATCAAACCTGGTGCTCATGCTGGTACTGTTGGAGATGTGTGACGCTCTCAGCGGTATCAGCCTGCTGCTGGTGACCAATCAGTCGGTTTTCAGTCAAAGTGAGATTATCACACACTTCCTCTAGTTTTTCTGTGAACTCCTTGTGCTTCTCCGATAAAGACTGGCAGGAGGAAAGAAAGAAAACATTTTAAGGTACTATCTCCACTTAAAGGAATAAACAATTGAGAGGTAGAACATTTACTTCAAAACAAACTGTATAATTTGACAAAGAGAGGAAAAACATTTGGGCACCCAGGCTTAACATGCAAAGTATAACCTAAATGCATTATGCTGTAAACATGCTGTTTCAGATGTGCCTCTTTGTCTTTTCATATGCTATTAAGTCAAAGGAGACATTTCTGCGATGTGTGTGCAGTTTTCAGTTGTTTGGTGTTTGTTAAAAAGTTTCCAATGAAGTATTTAGTCCGTTTGGAGTCTTGGGGCCTGTGGAATACAAGCAGCACAGAGGTTAGTCAGAGACAGTGGATGTGCATTAATGCATGCAATGGTTAAAGAGGAATGAAGTCGCTCCAACCCCCATAAGAAAACTGTTAAAGTAAAGCACAACACAGAAAACCCAACAAACAATGACAAAGGAAATGAAAAACAACAAATTAGAGTCGAAATTAAAGGCATATTGTACACGCTACAATCCAATTATGTTGTGGCCTTCTTTTTTAAAGGGTTAACCTTTAATTTATTTATTCAATAAGCAAATAAATCTGAATCTGAGTATGATAATAACTGTGTGTTATGCTCGGCTTAAGCTAAAAATAAATCTTTTGTGTTTAGTTTTGCAAAAAGTATCAGAAAGTTACCCTAAACTAAGGGACTATTGAATGAGGTATATGCGCACATTTTGTTTTGAACTAATTTAAAAGGCTGCTTTTAGCTTTTCCCTTAGGGAAAAGCTGTTTTTGATGATGTTTTTATAAAGGAACTAAGGCTTAATGATTATCTTTGTCTCTATCCTTTTCTCAACCTGTATGTCCTTTGAAATCTACATAGAGCACAAATATATTTGTTTATATCCAACTTTACTAGTAAGGGGCAGAAGCATTTACAAGTAGACTCAAACAGATGCATGCACATACTCAAAATCAAAGGATTAAAAAAACTGAATGCAGTGACTTGCCATAATGCTCTTACAACACCTTTCCATTACTGCCTGGAGAGTCTGAAGCTGCCATAAAGATAAACATGTGTATGATACTACTGAATTATAACATATATGTTAGTGTTATTAACGGCCATCCAGAGTAATACTATATAAATATATTGTTTGTATTTCTGTCCATTACTTTCACTCAGCTTTTTTTTTTATAGATTGTTAAATCACTAATATTAAAACTGAAATAGTCATATCTATCTCTGGCAGAATTTTCTAAATAATAAAAGTTTGTTTATTGTCACAAAAAAAAATAATGGCAGGAGAAATCCGTTGCTTCTAAGATTTGTGTTTTGTTTCAGTAAAGTATATGTATAAGTGTGTTTTTAGATATTTCTCTGCTATAACGTATTGATTTAAATGTGATGTTTGCGACAGCTTTAAATGGTTGTAAAGCACTGCATTCAGTTTCTATTAAATATTTTACTCTTCATTTCATTTCTTTTTCTAATAGATAGATCCTACAGCAGACCTCTTCCTGCCTCTCCTTCCCTTTAGCCTCCAGCAGGGCATCTAAGACAGTCCTCTGTGTAGCAAGCTTTTCTGTCTGCTCCCTGAATGCTCGCTGTGTGCTGGTGAGGAACTTAAGGAGGTAACTGCACTGAGCTGGGCTCAGAAACTGAGCATGCTCAGAAATGAAGCACTGGATGTCAAATGTGGCATCCTCCAAACTGAGCCTGGTTTCTTTTGACAGAAGATTCTCTGTGTCCTAAAGATGAGGAAGAAAAACAAAGTATGTTTTTTTGTTGTTTTTTTTCAGTAATGACTTAATTGAACCTTATTAGAAGATTACAAAAGGTACCGTGTTCAGCTGACTTAAATGCTTCAGTCTGTCTAAATCACATGTTGACATGTCCATATCCCAAACCTCAGAGTTGTTCTGAATGATCCCTGTTAATTTATGAAGATCACTCAGATGCTTCTGGTATCTCGATTCCAATTGTAACTGAAACATACAACAGAGTAAGAGTTGTCAGATGCTTGATGTTTGGGTGTTTGCCTGATTTTGCTTTCTGTGTTACACAGACCTTCTCTTCTTTCATAACATCTACTATGAGGCTTCTCCTTTCTGCACACATTTGGGAGACATCTGCTAAATTTGACTCCAATAGCCGATATGTGTAGTCCAAATCTTGTTTAATTTGTATGGGAATTAGTTCATTATTAGCAGAGTTTAGAAGCCGTTTAGCTTTTTTCAAATCTGCAGTTAGGGCATCACCCAGTCTGGAAACTTCAGCCTGTAAAGACTGGAAGAAAAGACTTGCGGTCAACAAACCAATCATACAACATTAATTTATCAAATAAAGTCACCATAATAACAATACAAACTTTTGGTAATCTAAAAGTAACTATATTTATGCCTCACCTGACATTCCTCTAGTTGGATCTGCAGACCTTCCAGGTTGTTCACCATTGGTGGCTGCATCAAAAGGTCTTTTTTTACATCTTCTAAGACATCAGCATGATCCTGCAGTCTGCCAACGCACTCCAAGTAATCCTGGATGGAAAACAAGTGGGAAAAAAGTGAAAATTATGTTTTATACATACAATGAAAAAGGACAAATGATGAAAGAGAAAAAAAAAGTTCACACTTCTTTTATTTTGTCACTTAAGAAAGGACATTTTTACATTTGTTTGGACAAAACTTACAAAACTGAAGTAAGACTTTTTAACCAAATCAAAACCGTTCAAAACTTAGCACAAAGCCTCAGTTAATATAGCTAGAAAAACCTACCAGACCCTAAATCTACAGAAAATGTAGAAATGTAGAAAATCAGACTCTAAATCAGTTTTTGTGGTGGACTCAAAAACTCTACATTTGTGAAAACATACATTGCCTATACCGGAACCTGCAGGAGCACATGAAGACAGTAAAACAGTCAGCCTTCTATCACTTAAAGAACATTTCTAGGACTAAAAGACTAATGTATCAACAGGACCTAGATTACTACAAAGATATGTCCATAGGCCTTCGTAGGTCCAAAATAAATTACAGAGCTTCTGTCAGTTTATCAACTACTTTGTAAACCTAAAACAAGAACCAAGCATGGGGAAGCAGCATTTAGTTTTTATGCTACATTAATCTAAACTAAATCTGCAGAAAGCTTTAAAAGAGCTGTAACCCTTAGTTGCTTCAAACTGAGATTTATAAAAGTATATGTTTAGTGGCTTTTGTCTGTGCTATCTATGCATTGGTAAAGTTTCCAGTCCTTTTTCTTAACCAAAAAATGTATAAATCATTTGATATTTTCTTTATAAATTTTTCTTATTTTAATGTCTTTTTTATTCTATTTGTTTTGCCTCTATGCCCCTGCAACATACTTCTTTTTTTTTTTACGTACAGCACTGTAAGTATATTGTCTTGCCATTGAAATGTGCTCTATAAATAATCTTGCCTTGCCTTATGAGGGGAAGCAAAGGGCATTTGTAGGTGTGAATATTCTAAACATATTCTAAAAGTGTGAAGGGCAACACGAATGACAGCAACATGGTTTATGTATGCTTTTCTTTAACAGCTACAGGGAACATCTATGTAGAGTTTATGAGAAGATTAAAAGGACATTACTGCAGACCGATAGTGGACGAACATTTTTGATCTGCTGTAAATGGTTTTAAACGGGAGCAGTATTTCATTCTGTAGCAGAGCCACAACTCTAAAGATACGACCAGAGCTGGAAGGAATTTTAGATCAAAGCATTTTAAGGATTAAATAATCCAATCAACTACAGACCATAATCTAAATGTGAATGTTTAAGACCAGTGTTTCCCAACCTTATTTGTCTTGTGTACCCATTTTGGCATTTTATTTTACCATGAGTCCCCCTCTCAGTCAAAAGTATTGATGACTGTCCAAAAGTGGAATGTACAATAACGGATAATAAAAAAAAACAATATTTTACTTAATCTTTTAATTTGAGCATTTAATTCTTAAGACATTTTATGCTTTCCATCTCAAATAAAAAACATTAATATGTTGCCCAGAGGTTAGAAAGGAATCCCAATACATACAAAATAAAATCAGATTATAAACCTGTAAAAAACTTGATGAATGGGGAACAAAATACAGAACCAAAATTAGTCAGAGTACTAAATTAGATTTTTTTTATTTGTTCCTCTGCTTGGTTTTGATGTATGTCAAAGCTGAAGGTAAACTCAAACATATAATAATCTTACTTTCTGGTTGATAAAAGCTTGTTTAATTTTTGGATTGGGTCCTCACAAAGCAAAACAGATCCCAGCCCTATTTTATTTTAGTACCTAAGAAATTAAATGTACCCCTTGCAATGCACTTGAGGACCACTAGGGGACTTACAAAGAGAAGAATTTTCTTAAGAATCACTAGAAGACTTAAGAATGTGTTCAGTGCAGATTATATTGGGTTTTTATTTCTTGCATATAATCATAAAGCAATACCTGAAAATTTGCAATTTTCAAAATGTAGCTTAATAAAGAAAAAGTACCTGAGTTTTGACCTCTTCAGCTTTATGGAGAGCTTTATCGAAGTTGCTGGACCTCAGAGTGGCCGGGTGGGGAGGGTCTTCAGCAGGATCACAGATATCAGAATCTTCTTCTCCTTCTGAGCTCTCCTCTTTGATGCTCTCCAGCTGACGTAGTCGATCCTCCTCACCCCCCAGAGCGCTACTCAGACTTTCCACCATTTCTTGGAGCACTGAAAAGTTCTGGCTCAAAGAGACAGTCTCAAAAAGCTGCAGGAGCTGTTGCTGAATATTAGAAGGATCTTCTTGCTCTTTGATTGTACAGGCCTCATCTTCTGTACATGTCAGCTCAGAGTTCCTGGTGGGGCTGTTGTCTGATGTTGTAGTGTTTTGAATTATCCCATCCATGTTCCCTTTGAGTCCCTGAAAGCTGTCTTTTTCTGAGAATTGTAGATAATCATCAATTTGCTTCTCCTCATCTATGAAAACCTTTACAGCCTTATAAAATATAGACTGATCTGGATGGCAGGAAGAGGGAGTTGTGTTGCTATTAGAAAGATCAGCAGCTTGCTCTGATTTGGTATCAGATCCCAATTCTTCGATTTCAGGAAGTCCGAGGTGAATGTTTGATTTCTCACTTGGTTGATTTAAACACGATAAATCCACACCATTATCAATCATTTCTAGCTTTGATATAGAAATCTCTGCATCCTTGTTGGCGACCACCGATGTGTCCTTATGTTGGCTCTCTCGGAAAGGCCTAACATTCACTTCATTTTGACCACTACTGTTTGACTCCAACACATCTTTATGTGTCATCACTGGATCTTCCACATCAAAGTCATGACTGGGAGCGTTTCTTGTATTCCGTTCACCGACCGAAACGGCTAATTGAGGGAAAGAGCCTGTTGGTTGTGCAGGTCTGTCATAAGAAAAGTCACTATCTTCCTGAGACCTTTGACTGCAAAGAGGTTGAGATTCAGGGCTAAAATCACATTTTGAATGAGGCTCAGCTAGGTGAGGTGATGCATTCGAGCTCTCATCATCTGAATGTTCTAGGTCACTGTTAGCGCCACCATCTGAAGGTAAAATTGACTCACTTTTAATTGAATTCCAAGATACTACATGCTGTAGAGGCTGAGCTGGCTCACTGTTTAAACCTGAGCAAACATTGTTCATGTCTTTCTCTGTTTCTGAAGGGAAATCAGAGTGAAGTGATACAGATGTCCCTAAATCCCTCTCACTAACAGCATGAGTTCCCTTTAGGGAATCGCATCCGGCAATGAGAAGATCATCTATTGGCTGACTGTTAGATTTATGAGAGGAAAATGGAGAAGATACATGCTGAGAACTGCTTTCTGAGTCAGCACTGATGTCACTTAGACTAATCAAACCCAACGCCTTTATAGGAGCAGTGTTCTCTTTAACGATACTGCAGACATCTGTTCCATCTGTCATAGGCCCGTTGAATGAAACCTGTGAATCATGGTCTTCAGCCATCAAAGGCAGTTTTTCTGAATGAAAAACAGAGTCTGCAGAAACATTCATTAAAATTGAGTGTGAAATGATCTTGGCCTCATGAACACCGTGATTACTCATTGCTGGGGCAGTTCCTTCTTTATCTACATCCTCTGCACCTTTATTGTCCTTCTCTTTTGGTGAATCAAGGACCACGTCAGCCTCTTCTCTCTTCAACGGCAGCTGAATGTTTTCAGCTGTGTAAATGGGAATAGAACTCACATTATGCCCGTCCAAGTTTTCGAAAGTTATGTTTTCTTGAGATGAGCAGGTTGTGAGCTTTAAAGCACCTGATTGAGTCTCAGTTAATCCAGATTCCAGTGTGTTATTCAAACTAACAGCACAATCAGACTTAAAAGAGTCCTTCTGTACTGTTTGATACATTTCTGTGTGTTTTAGATCTGAAAATGTGTCTTCATCTGGTCCAAATGCACTGATATTCTCTTGTGTGCTATGTAGCTCTGGTACTGTCTCTATAGCTAATAGATTATTTTGAGACCTTATGGGGACACAAGCATTACTCTCTTCCCCCATTTGGTCTTTATGAACCGTATTATTCTCACCTTTAATTGTATCAGAGGAACATAATAAGTAAGAGCGGCTGATATCAGTTCCTGATGGTTCTCTGGACAGTGACTCAGAATTGCAGTTATGCAGCATCTCATGATTATATTTTATTGAAGACTCATAATCAAATGGTGAGTCAGCATTACTACTCTTTGCAGAGCCTAAAGGGGAAAGCACTGGTGTGTCTTGAACCACTGGGTCATCTAGTCTCCTACTCTCGCCCTCTCTGGGATCACACTGTGAACCTTTTGTTTCATCACTTTCAACCAGTTTGACATTAGCAAACGTTTCTTCCTTTATATCAGACTCAGTGCCATTAACCTTTAAGAGTTCTAACATAAAATCCAGTTTAAGAGTCGTGATAGAGGTTTTTTCAGAACTTACTGCTGTATTGTCCAGATGGGCTACATTACTCATCTCGTGCTCAGCTGTAGAATTTTCATCAAAGGTAATAGCGCCACTGATTTCGGAGATAAAATCACAGGGATCAAAAACCTGCTGTATGTCCTCCATTATCTCCTCTGTTTCATCATTTAAGCACAAATTTTGTACATCTGCGTGTTTTGTGTCATAAATAGAGTTCAAGAGAGAAAACTTTTGAACAAAGATTTGAGACTCACTGTCAAGAATCAAAACCCTCTGAGCTGATCTTGGATCAACGTAACTGTTTATCATCAAGTAAGAGATGAATAACTGCTTTGCCTCTGATGGAAAGGGAAGGATCAGGTCAGAAACAGCTGCCGAATGATGAGACCCATCCACCGATAGTTTTCTATACATGAGCCATGATGAAAACATTTCGGGTAGTGAATCAGGAATTTCAAGAGATCTCACAATGTCTGCTGTGCAGCTGTCAATTAGACCATTTTGGACAGCGCAGTTAATGTCTACAACCTCTGACCTCTCTGGAATGTAAAAAGCCACTATTTTTCCTCGATTATTGAAGAGTTTGGTGGTGAACTCATTGTTGCTGATGTGATTGCTGCCCTGGAATGACTTTGACATAGTTTCCTCAGAAAGAGGCAGCGTGAGTCCAATAAGCTGCTGCTGATGTCCTAACACAATAAGTGTGCTGCTAGAGCTCATCAAATCACACTGAATTGCTTCATCCACACTCAGCTCATCCTTGTTGTGGAGATTCCCAGAACATTCATCGACCCCTATTGTGGTTCCCTGATCACCAAAACCTTCCCTTCCAGACATCAGAAGGTTAATTTCTCTCATTGAAGTAAAGGATTCATTTTTATTGAGGTATCTTGAAATGAGGCCACCGACCTCACCAAGTCTACACGCCTCTTCAGGCTCACAGAGAGACAAACCATCAGCAGCTTTGGTAACATTCTGCCTTTTCAGAATCTCAACGTAAATTGAAGCAGGAATTAACCCACACTGAAACGCTCTCTCTACAGTCAAAGTGTCTCCGGTGTAGGACATATTCAGTCCCTCACTGCTCTGGTTTATCTGTATGATCTTCATCACTAGATCATGACCAGTACAAGCCTCTCTAACTGCTGCAATGTCAGACAGGGACACAGAGGAGATGTGTGTACTGTGTATGTACTTGGATGAGTCATATTGGGGGAAATGGTTCATTGCTGATGTGTGGATGGGACTTTTTTGGAGGGTGTCTTGGAGGTCGGCACAAGACTCTTGATACAACCCTTCTGCCACGGTTTCCCTCCAAGTCCCATTGGAGGCCTTTAATTCCTGCAAAAAAAAATCAAAGCAAGGCAAATTACACAATTAACTTCGACTGCTTAATAACGTATCTTGGAAAAGTATTCCTACTCCTTTAAATTCCTTAACATTTTGCCTCAATGAAACCAGAAAATTCATTTATATTTGGCGGATATTTTATGTGATAAAGCAATAAAACTATGACGTATATCTGCAAGCTGGCTGTGGATACTGTTTTAATCGAAATGAGTTGTAGACTTTTACTGGGTAATCTATCCTATTAATATACTTTTATCATAATTATTATTCTCCTTATTAACTCTGATTTAGAATTCCCTAAAGAAGAAAAGCATCCCCACAACATGATACTGCCACAAATCCATGGGTGCGAAGGGCGATGATCAGCAATATTTTCGCTTCACATGCAAGTATTTGCATGTATTACCGGTATATAAAAAATTTAAATTCTTCCAATTTTACAGTCTTACATAACTGTCTTTTGGTGTATCACATAAAATCACAATATAAACACTGAAGTTTGCTTTTACAAAGGCATAGGAATACTTTCAGTAACTGTATATATTATTTGTAAAAATGCAATAAACTATTAGAAATACAAAACATACTCACCGCCACACAAACAGGGTTAAGGTTTTGCGTGAAGGGCAAGACCGCAACAAGGTTACAACTGGAGAGGGACGAACAACACACTGAAAGCTAACATGCGTTTGGGAATGCGGTGTCCGGCATCTTGCAAAAAGAGTGTAGTTAGTTAGTTTGCATACTCTGGGGTTAAAGATCAATTCTGTTTTGATGATGCACCCTAAGAGGATTTATATTCACAGATGACAGAGAATTGTTCGGACCAAAGCTGGCACAGTGAAGCATGTTTACAGCATATGCAAATATTCTGAACTCCTGCTACACACATATCATACAACAAATGCAAGAGAAAACTGCTCCAACTGTTATCAGGACAAGCGGATCATGTTTGTTCATGCATCTGAACATCAGGAGGAGCACAATAGCACATATTTGCAACAGTTATGCTCAAACTTAATGCCTCAAGCCCAACCTCATCTGCAGAGGTTGCCTGTTCTGAACACTGCTGAGTGATTTCACTGTGGGCTTGACTGAGAGCATTTAGCTGCTCCTGGGTCTTCACTCTGTCTTCCTCCGTCATCCTGAAAAGAAAAAAAAAGGAAGTAAAGCTCTGATTTTCAGTATTTAATCAAGTATTGATGATGCAATATCATATTATCAACACTCACTTGTCACCGTGCTTATTGAGCATCATTTGTGTGGCCTTAAGCGCTTCCGCAATTTGCTCCTTTTTGGAAACCATTTCTTCAATGGAGACCTAAAAACATCAAATGGTGATGCGTTTACATCTCTTACAAAAGCTGATGGAATTATATGCTGATATAATGTATAAAAAATTATGTTTTAAATGTGTCACATGTTTTACTGAGTTGTTTAAAGATTATTGCAATTTATCAAATATTTCCAGAAATGACATATAAATTAGCCACAGATCAGAATCTGACCATTTTTCTTTAATCAGCAGGTAAAATGATGAAAAATCAATTTCTTTATCTATGTGTTAAAGGCATCAAAAGAAAAATCATCCTACTGTTTACTGCCTATAAATATGGCTTTTGGTTTAATCTAATAACAAAAATTAGGTAAAGGTTGGTGAAACTTATTGAACAGCAGAAAGAGTAAATAATTTCTAATGTTTTTTTTTTGTTTGTTTGTTGTTGTTTTTCTTTTTTTTTTTTTTTTTTGGGGGGGGGGGGTTATGGTTGAAACCCATTATTCCCCAGCAGACAACCCTTAGAACATTTATTCTCTCCATATGTTCCTAATGTTCCTATAAAGAATATATTGCCATATGTGAATTAGCAGGTCAGTCCTCAATGAAAAGTGGATATGAGCAATTTGATATGAATTTTTTCTTTTTTCTTTGATGAATTCTAAGTTGTTATTTCTTCCTATATTATATGTTAAAGCATTGTCCAAAAGTCTTTCTAAGCTTGTTTTTTCAGTCATAAAAAAATGGGGTTAGATACAGACTCATCTCAATCTTTTAAGACATAATCTACATACTAAGTCTCAACTGAAATGTTTGTTCATATAATGCAAAGTTTGTTCATTTATATCTCCTTACACTTTGCTGTTCATTTAAAAAACTAGATTATTTGATTTTATGGTGTATTAAGATCTCTATTTTACTGTAAGATTCAAAAGAATTTTTTTTTTTTTTACTTTTTTTACTTATTTTAATTACCATTGTGACCATGACAAGGATGGCCATTGATTCCCATAAATGTAGGTCATTGAAGATTTTAACTTTGTTTTTAGCAAATTCCATTAATCTGATTATATTGAATTTGTAATTCACATTGTACTAATTTCATTCAACAAGGTTCTACATATTACATACCTTTTCAGGTCTGTTCAGAAATGTCTATGTTGTTCATTTAATTACACTTAAAAGTTATCTGAAAAGGTGTACATAAATAAAAGTTCCCACATTTTTTAAAGCTATTTCACAACTTTAAACATAAAAGAAATAGATTGCAATAAATGACGGAGAGGGGGGCATTCAAAATGTATAAATAAAAAAACAATGAGGGGGGATTAAAAATATTTATATATGTTTATAAGAATGCTTGTGCAACTTATAGGTCTGTTTTTATTGATTCCAACAATTATTAACCTGAGACAGGTCATACAATCAGTACCAATGTAAACATGTGGTTTTTATTGTAGATCACCGTAACATAAACAAGGACACATGTCAACATATAAATGAGTTACCTGGTGTTTATTTGAAGCATCTGTGTTGGCATTACTATCTTTCAGAGCATTCCCATCATTGCTCACGGTTTGTTTCACATCAGACATCCAGTTCAACAGTTTGCTAACTTTATCACCATGTTCTCGCTTCTCCTCATCAACAGATCTCTACAATTAAAACAGGCAGGCATTCAACAAAGCTGTTTGCTTAATAAAGCATCAAACATCGCTAAAGAGAAGAGAGATTAATCAATTGAAATCTGGCCAAAAAGAAGAATAATTGACAGCATCACAAAAAAATAATAAAACATGAATATGAAATAAAAAAAAAACAACTAAGGGAAAACGATGAAGTCACATCTTTACAGATGTTTACTTAAATGCACAAAGATAATGAAATGTTGTCTTGGCTCCAAATGCATGGATCTTAGTAGCCTCCAATAACCTCATGCCAGTGTGGCAGTCAAACACACTTCTTTCCAGAGCCTCTTTAAAGGTTATTCTTCTCTTTGTCTTGGGACAGGTGAGGCTTTGAGTTTGGAACTTCTCATCTTTGAGCAGAGTGGCTGTAACTTTGTCCACAAAGCTGCTTTGAAGAACCTCTTCAAGACATACTCTGTCTTTTGTGTCTGGATTTATTAGTCCGCCTGTCAACAGCTGGAATTCAGCGCAGCGGAAACCCACATCTTTTGGGAGGAGATTTTCCTGAACAGCCTGCAAAACTGAGAAAACTTTCCCAGTGTGACGGTTGGTAATACCAATAAATGCCTCTTCAAACTGATGGAGCTGTTGTTTGAGAGCCTCATCTAAAAGGCCTCTTTTAAGAGCTTCTGAGAGGGTGTGTTTTTCCCCAGATGAAGGATCACAAATTCCTCCAGTGCATGCCTGAGACTCTAACAGTCGTAAGGCTGTCACTCTATCAGTAAAGCCTTGCAGGAGCCCTTGGAAGACTGAGATCCTCTTCTTCCGAGTCATGTCCCAGAGACCAGCAATGGTGCTGTTAACATCTTCCACAACAACCCTTCTTGAAAATATGATGTCTGCAATCTCAAAGATGCTCAAAAGACCACTGCGGTAGCATTCAAACTCAGACATGTCAAGAAATCTCTGACTTAAAGCAGATTCTAGACAAAGCTGTCGGCCACTTCTAGCATCCGTGATGAAGTGACGTGGGTTTCCGTCTGAATCGACACAAGAGTTTTCCTGCCAATTGCTCTCCTGCTGGGAAAGGAACAGGTACGTTGTCCTGTTGATGTGTTTCCCCTTGAAGGCTTCATACACTGACATTTCCAATCCACAGCTGCTGTTGACGACGGACATTCGATGAGAACTCATAGGTGAGGTCTTTGTTAAATGCCTTTCCCCAAATGGGACAAGAAACACATCGCCATTGATGTCATACAAGCAGGCCTTGAGTATTTCACTGTAGTAAGCCTTCTGTCCTGTGTCAGGGCTGTGGAAACCTTTTGAGTTGCTCATTGGATCATACAGACTCTGCAGAGTCTCTTTGTTCAAGAGACCCTCATTTAATGCAATGCAAGTCGGGACTCTCATACCCGTTTCTGGGTTAATAAGCCCTCCTGTAGCAACTTGGACCTCAATCATCTTCTTCCCTTTTACTCTATCTATAAGTCTCTCCTCCATTGCCTGGAAGATAGAGAGCTTCCTGCCCTTACAGTTGTAGCCACTAACAGCTTTCTCTGCCTCCATTAGTTTTTCTTTCATGCTTAGATCTACAATGCCTCTCTCGAGTGCCTCTGCAACAGACACTGTTTCTCCTGTAGCTAGATCTACAAGACTGCCTGTTGCAACCTGAGCCTCAAGGAACTCAAGAGCATATGTCTTAGCAAGAAAGCCCTTTTGAGCTGCTTCTAGGAAGGATATCTTTTTCTTACTTGACTCTACATAAACTCCAGCTACTGTGGCAGGTTTATCAGAGTACTGAGCGAGCGATGCTTGCACTTGTTCAACAGTTAGGAGGCCCATCTGCAGCTTTTGCAAAACCTCCTCATCCAAGAGGTTTTTCTTGATCCAATGTTGAATTTCAGTGCTCCCAATAATCTCCTGGCATTTCTGGGAAGTTCCCATTCTCAGTATTCCACTAGTACTCTTTTCAGATGTGTTTACAGTTTCATGAATGTCTGTGACTTGATATGTTCTTGTCTGACTGATGTTTGTTTTCTTCTTTGGGTCTGTAGGCTCACAGAGAGCCATGTATCCATGCACTTTTCCTGAGCCGGGAAGATGAGATGTAATTGTACTCTTGTGAGAAATGTGGGGCAAATCTTTTGATTGAATGCTTGGAGTTTCATAAGAAGAGACAAGTTCCTTGACTTCCTTTATTTCTTTAACAATGTTTTCTCTCTCCATCTTCTCCATCTGTAGATGTGACATTTGAAAAATGCTTAAGTATAGAAACAGAAGTTGACTTTCACAACTAAAATATAACCGATTAAGAATTTTACTATAGAATAATTATTTTACATGTGTTGAATATTGTATAATGTCACAATGCAGGTTTTATCATACCTCTTTAATATTGAAGCTTTCATCTTCCATTCTGCTTTTTGCAGCCTTAATAAGGGATGTCATTTTCTTCTCCATGGGAACATCAGTCTTCAACAGATCAGCTTTGCTATTTGTCACATCTGGATGAATGGTTTCTGTCAACGCCCCTCCCAATGATGACAAAGTTTTCTGAAGACTTTTTACCTCTCTGACATACAACTGTATTTGTTCTCGAAGGGCTCCTGCCTCACTTTCTTTCGCTTTAACTTTGCGCTCAGTTTCTGCCAGATTTTGTTCAAACTTGGTTCTCTCTATTGACTGTTGATTGCAAAGGCTCTGCAGCGCATTTATTTTAGAGGTGAGCTTCAGTTTATCTTCCTCAAGTAGAGCAATTTCAGACTTAGCTTTTAACAAGTCTTGCTCAAGCTTTACTCTTTCTTGCAGCAGTTTCTCATTTTTTATTAGAAACTCTTTATCCCCCTGTTGCCTTGACTCCATGGTGGTGTGCTGCAAAGTTTTAATCAGTTTTAGATCTTGCTTAAAATACTTGTTGAGTTTCTCTGCTAATTCTCCACTTTGCAACTGCTGACCTTTGTTTACTATTTCAGACTGCAGCAAAATAATTTTCTTCTCAATTTCTGTCTGCGTAAGTGAGAGCTGCCTCTCATAGCCCTCTTTCTGGAGTTCAAGTTTTCCCTTTAGCTCATCCAGCATCTTTTTACATTTCTCCAGTTGTTCTTCCATCTGTTGGGACCTCAGTAGAAGAGCAGAGTTCTCTTTTTCCTTTTTCTCAGAATCCATTTGGGTGCGTTGCAACTTGTCTTTTAGGATTCCAAGTTCGGTTGCCAAGGAGATGTTTTTCTCCAGTGCCTCAGATTTTTCCCTCTGCAGGATTGTATTTTCATGTTGCAGGTTTGATCTAGAATTGTCACTCCCGGACCTGGTCTCTCTGATATTTAGATTTTGTTTTTGAACCTCGGTCTCCAGCAGAACTATTTTGGATTCTTTCAATTTTCTTTCTCTCATCTCCTGAGCCAGTTCATCTTTTGTTTTTTGTAGAGCAGAACTAACTTCTAAAAGTTTAGCATTCAGACTCTCTATTTTTCTTTCTGCCATTGTCTTGTCCTTTTGAAGAGAATACACTTCTTGTTTTAGGCTTTCATTAACTTTCTCAGTGCTGTTAGATATACCTCTAAAGCTGTCCTTGTGTTTTACAAGCTCCTCTTCTAGTGCTTTAAATTTACTCATATGTTTCTGTTTCTCATCTGATTCTTTTTGGAGCTCGAGGTGTTTTTTCTTTAGCATCTCATTCAGATCATTGATTTCAGCTTTCTGCATCTGGACTTCCTGATTCAGTACATTTTTATCTGCCAACAATGATTTCAGCTCTGATTTCAGATTTGCTATTTCTTTCTCATAGTTTATAATTTTTCCATCAATGCATTTTATTTTTTGCTGCAGATCAGATACGCTCTTTGTCTCCTCACTGTATTCTTGCAATTTCATTTGAAGCTCATAGATGGTCTGTGATTTCTTGCTTAGGTCCTCCTCGATAATTCTAACCTGAGATTTGGCACCCTCTACCTGTGATTTGAAGATTTTAATCTGCTGGTCCTTGCTCCCAATCTCCATCATGACCTGATCAAGTTTTGCTTTTACATTCTTCGTATTCTGCTCCCCTTCTAAGTGTATCTCTTCCAGCTCGTCGATTTTGTTCTGCAGCTGAGATGCAAGAATTTCACTCTTCTGAAGTTCTGCCTCAAGTTTTTTGCATTTGTTCTGCATCACTTGCTCAGTTCTCTTCAGTTTATTGTTTTCATCCTTTGAGGTTTGTAGCTGCTGTTTCCAGCTCTCTACCTCACTCAATAAAGATCTTATCTTTTGCTCAGAAAATTTTCTTTCTTTTTCAAGAGACTCTGTTTGGATCTGAAGACCTCGGATATCACTGTCAGATGAGACATTCATCCTCATTAACTCATTGCATTTTATTTTCAGCTGATCTATAGCTGCCTGTTTGGAAGCTACCTCTTCTTCTAAGCTGTTAATCTTGTAAGAATTCTCCTGCTCTATGAAGCTTTTTTTCTGCAGCTCTGTTTGGGTGATCTTCAGCTGCTCTTTCAGGCCTTCTACTTCAGTGCTTTGGAAAAAAGAGTTTTGCTCCAAAGAGGACTTTGCTCTCTGAAGTGATCGAATTTCTTCCTGAAATTCTGAGATGGATTTTTTCAAGTTCAGGATTTCTTGATGACAATCCTCTGATTTCTGTTTTGTCTTGACTCTTTCACTCTCTATGTCCATCTGCATTTTCTTCAGTCTGTTGTTGCTGCCATCCAGAAGCTTTTTATAGCTTTGAGCTTTCTCCTCTGCCATGTCAGCCTTTTTCTGGACCTGTGACAACTCTTCTAATTTCTGCTGCAAAACCTTGTGCATTTTAACTGCAGACTCTTCAGACTGACCCCCAAGTTCTGAATGGCTCTGAGATCCCAAAGGCTGTGCCTTCTGATCATTGCTTTTAGCTGGAACTTTGATGTGCATCTCCTCTTCAGTAGCAACATCTACTTCCTCTGCATTTATTTTTCTGTGCAAACCGGGCCTCTCTACATAATTTTCTTTCTTTACAAGATCCTCAAGTTTTGCCTGAGTCAGAGATAAGGCGGCCTGTGACTGTTCCATTAAAAGTTTGGTGTGCTTCAATTCTTGCTCAAGAGTGTTTTTGTCCCTGGTGGCTATGTCTAATTTAGCATTGTACTGACTAACATCATGCTCAAGCTTTGCTTTTTGAAAGTTTAGATCCTCATTGGCTTTCTTTTGTGTTTCTAATTCTACTTCCAGCTTCTTCGTTGATGCTTCTCTTTCCGCAAGCAAAGCCTCTTGCTCTTGGATCCGTTGCTTAAGTTGGCTAATCTCTACTTCCCCATGGGTTTTTTGGACCACCAAGCTTTCAATCCTTTTCGCATCCTCTGCTCTTTTAAAAGCCTTTTTATTCTACAATGCAAAGAAATTTGTCACCCACAGGTTAATATTTAAACTAAAACATGGCCACCTAAAACATGCATTGTTAGTCTAAAAGAATCTCGCTGAGAGATTTACATTTCAAAATGTTTGTCACAAATAATTTGACAAACATTTAAAACGAAAAATTTTAATTAATACTCATAAATACCATATTATATCTGAAAGGATAATTAACAAAAAAAAAACTTTGGATGCTTTTACCCACTTAACCATCACCAGCAGACATGCAGACATTTTAAACTCCTGTGCATTCCCTTTGTTCTTTTTTGCACAGTGAAGCAAATGTTTGTTGATAGCGTGATGAGCCTGTGAGTAAAGTTGGATAAGAAGTGAAAATACCAAGAAAGCATGTTCATGACCTGGGAAGCTAAATATCATGCGTCTCAGAAGGACAAACAAATGTGGTGTCAGATCATTGGAAGACAGAAAGAGGCAAGAAAAGTAGCATGAACCACTTAAACACCATGCATTTTTTTAAAACATTACACATAAATGTTTTAGGGTAAAACCAGCTCACCTCCTCGTCTTCAGCTCTTTTTAGCGTTTCGCCAGCAAACTTCACATACTGGGTCATAAGGGTGACAAGAGCAGTGTAGCGAGTTCTGAGATCCATGAACTGAATGAAATTAACCCAACAGTCACAGATGAGTGAATCTGCATCAACCACAGATGCAGAACATTTGAAGTGATGGCAAGGCAGAATATAGTTTTACCTCCTGCTGAATAGCATCAGAGGAGCTCTGTGTCTTCCGCTTCTTAAGAGGGGATTTGTGCTGGGAGTCGACCATCGCTCTAAACGTCATCAACTGAAGCTCATAATCCTAATTTTTGGGAAGAATTTTTTTAAAGATTAATAGAAATGTTTTAGTAGATGTTAAGATAAGAACATTAAATGTTTCCTTAACAAATTCAAATAAAAACAAACAATACCTTAACAGCAGATGAGTACTGCTCCGAATACTTCTGGCACTCATCAATCCTGCTCTGTTTTTGTTCCATTTCAGCAACAAGAACCTGAAAAGGCCAAACATTGAGGGTCAAATGCTATTAGTATATCTAAGGCTTATAATAAGAGGGGAACTTCAGTTCTGTTTTACCTTTTGCTTGTTTAATATTTCAGCCAGAGCCTTGCTATCATCAGGTTTGTTTTCCTGAGCTTTCAACTGTGCTGTTTCCAGCTCTCCAATCCATTGATCAACGCTGCTGTATGTGTCTCTGTAATGTTTTAAAAACTTGCTGATACCATCCAGGTCCCGCAGCCTGAAATATTTAGGGTAATCTCCATGAATAAAACTATAACTTTGCACGCATATGTTGTATGAACATAGGAAAAATATTCCATCTTACAAACCTGCTATCAATCTGGGAGTGAACATTCTGCCATCTTTCACTCAGCTGATCTGCCTTCTCCTTGTGCCAGTCCAGATCAAAGTCTCGCTCATTATGGGCCTTAAACATGCGATCACTGACGACTCGAGCTTTCTGCAGCTCATCCTCCATGTCATGGAACACTTCCTGCCTCTCATCAATCTCTGAACGCCATTGCTACAAACAAAAAGTTGGATGAGTACTTAACAAAAAGCAGTAATAGAGGCTCCATGTCTTAAAAAGCACAACCCCGGGTTGTTACCTTAAGTGTTGAAATAACACTTTCAATAGATTTGATGTCCGAGTTGACCGCATCCTCTTCATACAGTTTGGACTCGTAGGTTTTAACGAGCGCCTCTGCGCTCTGACTGTGTTTTACCACCAAACTCACTGTCTTCAGTCTGAACAAACAGAAGCTCCTCTTTAGTTTGAAAAAGAAAATATTAAGATCATTCATATACTTTGCAAGAAAGGAAGAGCGGTCTTACTTGTCCATATAAATAGATGACATGGAGTAGACCTGGCTCATGCTTTGAACCAGGACAGAAAGTTCAGAGGAGAGCGTCATCACAGAGGGAGATCCTGCAGCTTGTCTAAAGAACTGCTCGCATTTCTCCTTCATGACATCCAGGTCACCCTTCAACCTCTCCAGCTCAGACATCTTCCTCTGCAATGCAGAATGTTTAATGTTATGAATAGAAAGGGAAACATCACATTAGTGTCTATATACGTTAGAGGGATATCTAAATGGCCATTAGGATACCTCATGTTCAGTGATGCGCTGCAGACTCTGTTCCAGGTCGTCTCTCTCCAACGGTGATCGGATTTGCCTGATCAGATGTTCTTCCTGGGACTCCAAGTGCATGCGGATGTTGCGGATTTCTGAGATGTAATGATTGTACACTGACTCCTCATGTTCCTCTGTTTGAAAATTAATATCAACAATGGAAATATGAATCATAAAAAAAGCACAGATTTACATTAAAATCCTTTATGTTTTTGAAGGACACATCGAACAAAAACACTGTGCAACACACACCACTAGGTGGCAGCATCCCCCAAAATCCAGTTATATTTGTGTAATAGACACATTTGTGTGTTAACATTTTATGAATTCTGCTTTGTTTTTTTGTTTTTTTGTTTTTTCCAGTATCACAGGAGCATAATATGTCATTTCATGTCCTATAATTTTCATATGATATAAGAAAACGGAAAAAAGATATGGTTTAAAATTACAGATATGCTAAGAATTTTCTCAGAATGTGGGTTATTCAGTGAGAAAAATAGCAATATGTTCAAAAGTATATAATTTAAAGCTTAAAGGCCTAAGGAACCATGTGCCTCTGTTTGGGGCTTGGTTGTTATTAAGACAGAATGAAAGGCTTGCCTCTCTCTGCGGATCTCAGCAGTTCTTGGTAGTATTCCTTGCAGGCTGCCACGTCTCTCTCCAGCTGTTCACAGTCTCCAATTGTGAACACCTCTGACTCCTTGCTGTCCTCCAGGAACTCATCAAAGTGAGACTGGAGGTTGCTCAGGACCTGCTGATGTTCACCCGGCAGCATTGTCTTGATCTGAAGTTGTTTTGAAAATGAAAGCATTAAAATACTCCGATCTTGACTGAGAAAAACTAAAGTGTATTGCCACAAATTATAATAAGTGAAATTCTAAAGATACCGAGGCCACGTTCCAGTTGCGGATGGCCTGTATGTCAGCCATGAGATAATGCCAGGACACCACACTCTTCATGTTGATGTGGGAGCGGTGCCATAGTGTGAGGACCTTTTGGTACAACTGCTCAGTTCTATAGAAAAAGTGAAGTAATTTAGACAATCATGTTCAATAATGAGCCATAAAATTAACCCTTGAATCCAAATGTATCACCTTGCAGCCAAGTCAACAGCCTCTTTGTTGGGTGGCGGCAGGGAGAAGCAAACAGAGGGAACCATTGCCTCATTCCCTGCCGGGTTGATGACTTTCCACTTGGCTCGGTGGGAGTTGCTCACCAACACGCACTCATCATCTTTGTAAATGGTAATCTGAGAGATATGGGAGAGAGGCACCATACTGATATATCAAACAAACTCTGATATAAACTGGGAGAAACTGCTGTATGATGTTGAAAAAAATAACAATACCTCTATCTGACGGTAATCACATATTGCTTTGACAGGAATGGAGGACCTCAGGGGGTTTTCAGGGTTTCTTGGTCGGAGTTGCACAATGTTTTTGGCTCTGCCCACTAACCCTGCCACAGTGTTACGGTACTGAAGAAGCTGCTCTTTCTCATCCTGAGAATAAACACAAAGAGTATAGTTTGTTCAGGGTCATAAAAAACAAATTCCAACAACATTTTCAGAAGTTACAAATAAAAAAATTGAGTATTTTATTCCAACTCTACAAGGCATGTTTCTTCTAGATATCTACAAGCACACAGTTAATAAGAACAGCTTGGTAAGTTTGTAAAAGTAAATAACTCTGTAACTAACTTTTGCTTGTAACATGACATTTTCTGTGATGAACTGACACAAAGTAGCTCACAGTTAAAAAGAGAAGGAGGAAAAGGTGCTTGATCTGTTTCTTTTCTTACTAATAAAGATCTGATTTTGTGTGATACATTTATGTATAGCAGCTTTTATTTTGAAAACACTAAATAAAATGCTGGGTAACCAATGGCAATCATTTTAAATAGTGCTACAGCTTCTATTGAAGGTCATAAAGGGGTCCTAGTGAGCATCTCCAAACAGAGAGCATAGTGAAGGACAAAGGGGAAAAAAATAGACATGTCAAAGATAAGCTGTACCTTTCCATCAACTGAAAATGGAAAGAGGCTGGCATCATGCTAAATCTACGGAGAGGCTGATTAAAGGTATCAACTTGTTAAGTAACAAAGAAGTCCCTGGTAACTCTGAAGGAGTCACAGAAATCCACAATTCAGGTAGTAAAATCTGATAACAAAACTATTAGTGCTCTCTACAAACCTAGCCTTTATACAAAAGTGGCAAGACAAAATCCCTGATTGTAAGAAAATCATGAGAAGGAAGGTTAAAATTTTCAATCAAAATTTGCAATTCATGTGGAAAATAGTAACAGTTCTAAGGTGAGAAAACAGTTCAGCAAAAAAAAAAATTACTTTGTCCATCATCTGAATACAACATCCCCACTGTGAAAAGGTGAGGCTGGCAGCATCAAGCTGTTGTAATTCGTTTTTTTTTGGCATGGATGGAAAAGCTGGTTAAATGGAAATATGTAGGGCGCAAATTACTGTGAATAAAAAATATATATTTATAGCATTCTTCTTTCACCTCTAATTTAAAGAGTATTTTTAAATTGATAATTAAAAAAAATCCCAGTAAAAGTAAAAGTCTTTGTTGGGTTCTTTATATATATCTTTTATTGTGAACTATACACATATATGCACACACTTCATGTCATTGTACCAGCATTACCATGGACTCCTGAATGAGATCTTCTAGCCGTTGCAGACTGGAAGATTGATTGCATTTGTATTTTCTCTGAATTGAATCTTGGAGATTCTTAAGGTAGTCCATTGACACTTTGGCATCACTGAAAAACTGTGAGGGGAAAAAGAGAGGACAAAGGATGAGGAAACACGTATAAAAATGCTTTTAATAGTCGGCCTAAAGTAGCAACAGACCTCAAAATAAACTGCATTTTCCTTAAGGTGCTGTTCGACGCATGAACAGAGCTGTAAAATCCAGCTCCACTGCGTCTGCATTGCAGCTTTATATGCCTAGAAGGAAAACAAAACATGATAAAAGTGAACTTTTATGATATTTCAAACAAAGTGTGAGTTGTTTGTGTAATCATATAGAAACTAGTTTTCATAATGGCTTCAGAATAGAATATAAAGGAAAAGCACCCACTTCAATAGTTAATCTGGCTGGGTGGTTCTTCAGCATGAGTTGCTCTGCCTTTTCTTGCACGGACTTGATGGTCTCCTCTTTTTCATCCAGCTCCCTCATCAGGTCCTGTGGAGAGACATTCAGGTCATTGCCCCCGGCATTCAGGTGTGGCAAAGGATCAGCTGCTCCATCATCTTAGATAATCCCATATTAAGTTTCAAGGTGCAGAGGCGTGTCAATCATTCAAGGTACCACTCATGCACATAGAGATTATTGACTATAAGACAGCTTTTCTTCTTGTTTTTTTTAAATAAAAAATCCTAACAAAACAGAGACGGCTTACAGCATGGTAGTCTCTTTTCTGTGAGATGTTACTGTTGCGATCACTCCAATCGAACGCGACCTCCTCTTCCTCTTTCTCATTTAGCCAGATGAGTTCTTGAGTTGCCTGTGACACAAAGTCATGAAGGCTCTCCAGGTGATTCTGCCGCTCTCCTGATGAGTTCTGAAATGTTCAACAACAATCAGACTCCAACCTTAAAATAAAAAGAAATAAAAAATGAGCTAAGCTCTAGAGACGTACTCACCAACAGCTGCTCGTACTGCTTTCCAAGTTTGTTTAATTTCTCTGAATATGTCAGCTTCAGCGGCATGCTCATCTGAATCTGAAAAAAAAACAAAAAAGATATTTGGATAAATAAAAACAAAATCATGCCAAACCATCAATGCTAAAGTAAAAAAGAAAATAAAACCCTTACTTCACTCAGTCGTGCATCTTTCAGACTTGTTTGAAATTCTTCAATGGCTCTGTGCACGCTCTTGTGGTTGTCTAAGTGCATTTCCACACTGGGCAAATCAGTACCCCAATCTGAGCGCTCTAGTTGCAACTAAGGAGAAAAACAACAAATAAAGTGATTCAAAGATTTATGCCTACAGCCAGCGAAAAGAAAAGAACTGAAACTACTCACCTGCATCTCCTCCACCCAGTTTAGGAGGTCCTGCACATATTTAAGGTTAACCTCCTCCTCTGTCATGCTGGGGTCTGCCAGAGATGATTTCATCAGGGGTTTCCTGATCTGCATGTGCTTTAGATGCATGAGGTTACCTGGCTCCATGCCACCACCGCTTCCCATGTAGCTCGGGACAGCAGGTGGCAGACTGGGCGTCAGAGAAGGAGTCAAAGAGGAGGTCAATGATGGGGTGAGGCTTGAAGGAAAACCAGAGGTGAATGTGGACCCAGGGGTACCTAAGCCCCCTGAGGTAAGCGATGGCGTCATATCTGAGGTTAAGCTGTCGTTGATGCTCTGTGAGAACCCAGAGTTCAGGCTCTGAGTTATGCCTGAAATCATCCGCTTGGTTTGCTCTGTTGTTAGCGTGCGACCTTTGCTGTAAACAGCAGAGCACTCTGCTCTGAGGGCCAATAGATCATCCCGTAGTCTGGAGACTCTGAAAAAGTGGGAGAAAAACAGTTACGCGCTTATTGACAGCCATGCTGTACCATATACCTGTTAATATTATTGATTAACTTCATTTTGTTTTTTCACTAATAATCATAATATTAATATGTTCTTCTGTAGTAGAGCATTCGGGCCTGCAATATGCAAGTATAAAAACACTGTGCTAATAATCATAATGCTAATTATCTCTATTTGATTTCCTCTGAGTATTTTGATATATATAAAACAAATGTTGATATAATGTGAGAGATGAGAGCTGGAACCAAACTCTTTTGTTATACAATTAAATTGGCAAAGTCTGATTTTAATAACCATGGTCAATTTGAATAATTATAATGTATTCACAGTGTTACATTTCCAAACACAGCGTATAATTTGTGAACCAGGATTTTTATCTTTGTACCTCTGAACAAGCTGATCTGCAAACGGGAATTTCCCCTCCAGGAGGATTTGGATATCAACCACTTGTTGTCTGAGGATGTTCTCACACTCCAGCAGGTAGCCTGCAACCTCAGCCTCGTTAATGAACTGAATCCCCGACTCAAGACGTTTTGTATCCTTAAAAGGTGATAAAAACATATTTGTACATCGAATGAGAATTTCAGTACAGTTTCTATCCAAATCTGCTTTCACAAAAAACAAAAACACATACAGACTGTAGGGCTGATTTCGCCAAGGCCAGCCTGTCTTCTCCATTAACACAGTCCCTCTGGACTCTGTTGGCAATCTGCTGCAACATCTCAAGCCTGAAAAACATTTTGAAATTTGCAGGTTATGGTTTGTGATTTAAAAAGATTATAAAAATAGAAAAAATAGAACAATAGAAAAAATAGAACAAAACGATTTCACCTGGATCCATATGCGAGGTTGTTATTGAGAAATACCGAGTTGTTAATCTGAAATGGCTCAGTTAGGATGCTGTCACAGGAGCCGAAACTTGTATTAAAGCTACTGTTGCTAAAAGTAGAGGTCCTGCTCAAATATGCCATCTTACTTTACCCTTTAAGTAGGCATTACGGTAAACAGCTGACCACTAACTAAATCTACCCCTCAGGATTCACAACTAAAGCACGCAAACTCACAGTAAGCATTATTAGAAAGAACTCACTGAACGGCTTAAAGCTTTCTAATATTTATAGCCCTCCAGCCAGGCGAGGGGTGTGTAAAGAATCCCACCCTGAAATATGATACGACTCCTCAGTGGATGGAAATTAAACAACAGGTTAGGGCATAACACCTTCATGGTTAGCAGCAGTGTAAAAACCCAAGCCAATCATCCGCAGATCGCCACACCCAGAGCAGATGCTGCATTTATGTTGGAAGCAAGACCAATAGATGGAATGAACACAAAACACCGACTCCATATAAATAAGGAACTGGCTAACCACTGTGTTGCTAATAGGTACTTTTAACCCTGTATAAGAATAATGTTTTTTTTTCTTCATTTAAAATATTCAGACTCTAAAGAAACATATCTACAAACAGAGGTTCAGTTATTTTATTTCCAACTAGGATTTTGGAAAATCTAACACTCAAGTTTATATCGAGGATAGTATAAGAATTATCTCTCGTGGATACGTTACGTAATTTGAAGATTTCAATTAAATCATCTTGATTTAATCTCAGTAATTTATCCATTCTACTTCTCATATATCTACTTAGTTCCTTGGATCATATCATGGTTTTGAAAATGTTTGAAAAATAAAAGTCTAGGTTAAATCAATAGTAAATAGTATTAGTACTTTAAACCAGGTGTGCTGGGAAAAAAAAGACCTGCCCTTCTTATTGTAGCAAAACGCAGATCTATGGTGGCCCAGAGGTGTCAGGTCCAAAACAAAAGCCACAACAGAAACAAAAAAGCCATGAAGGAAGTCACACAACCTGCAACAACAGTAACAGTGCTTCTGCTCATCTTGTAATTAAGGATCCAAAGATCAGGCATTGCTTGCTGTAATAAATGGTCTGTCGCGCTCAGGTGTCTGAATCAGTGATCCGGACCATACACATCAATATAAATAAACTGCATCATTTTTTTATGTTCCAGCTTTTGTTTTTATATTGCAGCTTTTGTTTTTAAGTTGGAGCTTTCATTTTTATGTTGTGGCTTTTTCTTCTGGTTGCGGCTTTTGCTTTTGACCTAACAACTCTGGGCCAAAGTACAGCTCCACCATAGCTAAACCGCAGAGCTGCATGCAAATGTTCAGATTTCTATATATTAATGTTGGATATTGGTGCATCCAATACATTTCAATAGAATGTTTAGGTTTGGTGTAATATGACAAGATTTGACAAAAAAGGAGTACTAATATTTTTGCTTTTCATTATATTCATGTGATGAAAATAGCAGTTAAAAGCCTTTAATTTTATTTTTACAGCCTCACTCCCATCATTTGGACTATAAACTTAACATTGTATTCTACTCCTAGATTTGTAAGATAAAATGAGAAAAATCAAATATCATTTTTTTTAGTTTAACATAAACATCATGCATATTGTCTGTTTGCAATAAGTTTTGTTAATAACCGTATTATATTATATATTAATATTTATAAATTGTGAGTACTGGTTTACTTGAATCTATGTTTACTCCTACCAATGTATCAGCTTTACAGAGACCATCTGACAGCAAAATATCAGGGGATTTCTAAAATCAAACAATGGCGTCTGGAAGAACCCTATGTATCCAGTTTCAGTAAAGACATTAACAGAGTTGTAATATGATACAGGAGCATCTGCCTGTGATACAACCTTACAGAGCAATGTGTTATTGTGAAGAGTACTTCTATTTAAAAAGCAGCACATTAGTAAAACATTTTGTGGTTTTCGTACCTCTCTGAAGCAATACAGTTTTGTCTCTAAAACCTGACATTTGAGTAATTCACAAATGTTAAACTTTAGAGAATAGACTTTTAAGAAATCTGGGTCAGGTAAAGAAAATAGAAGTGCCTTTTCATACCTTTCCAGTTCAGGCCGTAGGCTCTTTTCTCTCTCCAGCATGGCAACAATTAATTTACCCCATTCCTTCTCAACATCATTTGGATGATGACCCGGGGGTAGCTGGATACGTCCGAACTCGATCCACATCTGTGACACCCAGAGCAAAACCAGACATGTCATCAGTCTGAGATACAATAAAAAATGGTATGAAATTATTAGGAAGTTTTGTTTTTTGTGTGTGTGTGTGTGTGTGTTTGACATACCTCTAGCATTCTGTAGAGATTTTGGATTTTTGTTTTCTCATTTTCTTTAAGTGGTATTTCATGTTCTTTGAAATGAAGATACTGTGTATAAAGTGCCTGTGAAAGAAGACATAAAATCAACAATAAACGGTTGCTTGTTTTCTGTTTCTGCAGGAAAATAACACTTTTAAAGCAACTTTGATGATATAACCCTTTACCACCACACCCATCTCCACATATCCCTTAGGAATCTCCAATACTGTTAGAAGATATCAATATCTTGCAGCAGATAGATGCTGCTGCTTTCTATAATTCATCAATTACACTTTGAGTCTCTGTTTCAGAGCATCACACTGCAGCAGACAGTTAAGACTGATTTGCAATATATTTTGTTGGATGCTGTGAGCTTCTGTTAAACCAATATTAAGTACAGTAAAAATACCAATAAAACTATTCTTTTTTAGTTTATACCCACTTATCCATGCAACCTTGCATAGTAAACCCTGCAGGTTACACAGGGCAAAAACAAAAATCATGCATGCATACATAGTTGCCTCTCTGAGGCCAATTTAGAGAGATCCATTAACCCTAAAGTTATGTATTTGGACTGTGGAGGACAACAGAGCAGTAGGAGAAAACCTCCGCATGCACAGGGAAAACTAACTCCTTTTTCCTGCAAGGCAACGGTGTTACCAACTGTACCAAAATGCAGCCCTAAAAGTATTCATATAGCTTGCATTTGTTTATTTTACTCGGTATACTACCTCAGTTACTTTCCATAAAAGAAAATTTATTATACTTGTAAAAAAAAATAAAAATAAAACCTGCCAATCAAGCTTTTTTTCTGATTCTGATTGTAAAGTGTGTAAATGCAGAGATTCAAACCTTAAGTTCCACAGGATTGTTGGGGAAAGATCTATCAGACATAATTTCCACATTGTGTTTTATCCACTGGCTGAGGTATTTGATCATGTTCTGGTACTCCACCCACTTAATATCAACATCCTGTGAAAAAACAAATTGTCATCATCAATCAAGCAGCTGACAGCACTTTTTTTCCCTTTGTGTCAATACCATTGACTTACATTAGGACTTATTCCATCAACACCGTCTGGTACTTTGGGGAAGGCGTCATACAGAGTTGAGACGTATGTAATGACAGACTTTTCATCTGGTGACTGAACATCTACGTCTGATAGGCAAAGTTTGAATAAAGAAAAAAGAAAATACAAAGAGTTAATGAGATGCTGAAAAAAACTATGCCCTCTTTGGTGGCTAGGAGGGGGTCATTATTTAAGAACATTATAATCTAAATCTTCTCACCAAACTCAAAGCCTAATTTAAAGATTGAATAATTTACAACACAAAGATGTACAGGTTTTATTAACCAGTGCACAAAGCCCACTTCAAATAGCTCTCTTACCCTCAGGGTCGAGCAGCCTGGCCACCCCCAACTGTTCAGCTACAGTAAACGCCTGCTCTAGATTGGAGCGGTTGGTCTGCGTCGACACACGGCTCATGTCAACTAGATCTGGCCTAAGGGGAGAAAGAGAAAGAAAAAGAGACAGGGTGCATAAGGTATTATGAGATGGTTCATGCCTGGAAACTATTAATTAGCACTGAAAAAACAAGGTTTGGAAAAAGGTAAAAGGTTAAAAGATCAAGCCTTTGTGAAATAGTCTCAATATTGTTATTCTTTAATACTAATGATTATTAGTAGTATTATAGAAATAAAAACCCTATTATTATCAAACACTGTTTGGTGAGATTTTACCTGTATTTGTGAATGATGGCATTGAATAGCCTCCCATCCCTCCAGGAAGTTGTGAAATTGTCACACCGTACACCTACATAGCCATCTGTTGTCTGTTTGGACCAGAGCAGTAGTCTCTCCTTGGCTGTCATGTCATCAGACTCCCCTGTGACATGAATGTCTGAGATCTACAACAGTAAAGAAAGGGAGAATGGTGTTTTTAAAAAATACAACGAGAAGATGTTTATAGTAAGAAGCAGATAAGGGTCAAAAAGTTCCATCTAAACTTCAATGCATTCCACTTTACTGATTTTACTATTCCATGTTAAATCTGTAACAAAAAATGACTGCAATTTCCCTGCAGTGATTCTGCCCTGAACAGAATTGTTGACACTGACTGTTAAGGGGTCCTATTTATAAAGCATGAATGCACAATAAAACGGTGTTTGAAATGTGTGCACATTACTTTACATGTAATGGTTGCAAACTATAAAAAAACTTGCTTGGTGGGAAAATGTTTGGTCCCTCTGACGCATGTGTATGCTTATTTTAGAGGTAGGGGGAAATGGGGTCAAGGTGAGGATGGGAATTTTAGCACTACACCCTAATTTTATATCGGACATTCAATTTCACATCATATTAAACTTTTATCATAGGTTGAAATTCTAAGAATTAAAAAACGGAGTGTGATATAAATATATATATAAATATATACTTGAGGGCCCCTCCTACAAACAAAAAGGCCTATAAGCCACTTTAAAATTCCCATCAAAATCTGAACATTGTTTAAACATTTGGTCACCATCAAAGTCGTCATGTGAGACTGTACCACATATAACACATACATTTTGACAAGGAGTTGGGCATTTGTATTGATTGTTGTAAACATTAGGGCAACACAACACCGTTGTAAGACTTGTGCATAAGGTTGCCCAATATACTTATCGACACTGTTGGATGTTGAAAATGAGAGAATTAGGAAGGAATGTGTTTTCAGAGATCACCAAGTTTCCCTGGCCCATGATGATGACTAACTTATGAGCTGATTAGAGTCCTTAGACAATTACTATTGGATATATGTGCTGAAAGGGGCTCAATACTGGAGAGATGATCTTGTTGGACAAAGGCTCTTCCTGTTTATTACTACAAGTTTGTGGCAAAATGTATAACGGTCAATGAAAACATACACCATCAGGAACCAGTTGTAACAGAAACAACAGCTTGTCAAAAAAGGTTCATTGTGTAAACGAGAAAGTCTTGTTAAGTTTGAAACTCAGAGGAAACTCATTTAACAAGGAGATTATCAATTCAAACAACCAGTCATTACACTATGGAGTGTAAAACAACAAAACTTAAAGCAGTTGGGTGACGGTAGTAAAAGAAGACAGGAACATTGATCCCATATTCAAAGGATGGGAAACAGAGGCTACAATTCACACAGACTCACCAAAATTAGATGATAATAGCCTAGGGTCAAGTTGCTTTGCACAACATGTTTTGATTTCAGGGTTGGTGTAGGCAACATAAAGGCATGAGTACACCCTCATTATTGAGTATACCCTCAATTATTGCAATGAGCTCAATCCACACTGTACCGTAGTCACCTGGGGCCTCATATAGAAAGAGCAGTTAGTTGGCAGCATGGAGAAATCTCAAACCTACTGTAAAGCAGAATGTATAAAACTCTGTATGCATGTGCCGCTGCACAGCTTTACTTTACATTTCCACATCAATAAAAGGTAGTTGGTGAAACTGGTGACAATGCAATGCTTACCTAAAAATCAATATGTAAAATTGTATGATTACCTGGGAACTCTCTCACCATGTGTCACAGTAACCATGACATCGATACTGTAAGCGTGTCACAGACAGACTTTGTCTACATACATGTATCTAAGATAGATTAGCCAACTGATGACTTACTGGATGATATCAGCAAATCATTAAATAAACCACCTAAAACTAAAATACTCTGGCTCCGTTTGGCTCTACAAAATTTGTAGGAAGAACGAAAGGTTCTATCTGCTGTTTCATTGAGCTGATCTATTAATGGTTATCGCTGTAATCTTTATCAAAACATTAAGATGTGAATATAATCCAATTTTTCTATCATGAACACAGAAACCACATGAACAAAAGAAATAGGCTACACTAAATGTTGAAATGAAACTCAGGCCAAATAAGACAAATAATGAAGTGTTGAAAAATACATACTCAAATAAAAACCCCTACATACCAGAGTTGTTATAGATATTATTACAGCGTCTGTAAAAGCATCCTGATTCAAACCGACCAATGTGCCATTTTGGAGACACTTTTGTGCATCACAAATACACGCACAACTTTGTTATGAAAATGCTTCCTACTTATAAAAGTACATTTACATATCACATCCCTTTATAAAAGTGCGGTTTTGAAATAAGCTCCTCGATTCAAATTGTGATCAGATGCATATCTATTATCTCAGGCATGCAGGTGTGGCTGTCATGGGGACCACTCAGCGTAACTGTCAAATGACCAACAGAGATGCACACTCATTAGTGTCCCTCTGGGACACTATACAATATAAACAAGGAAATATTTCATCCATCATCATGTACAATTAGGCCAGCCAGACTTCTGAACACCCCCTCTACTGCTTCTTAGCTTTTATTAATGATTTTAAAAGTTTTTAAGATTGCTGCAAATTCTCACAGCAGGTGAAAAGTCTGCAAAGGTTGCCATACACTTTAACACAAGGTTAAATTTATGCATTCGCAGTTTTGCATTAAACTTTGCACAACATGTTTTTGTTGTGCTCCGAGACGCTTTACACATGAGGCCCTTGAAAATCTTTGGTAATGCAAAGGAAATTTACCTCATGGATTAGAAGCAAGCAAATCTGCTGAAACTGATTAAAACTGTTATGTAAATATGAACCAAATTCTTGGATTAATAATTCTAAACACAAAGACACATTGATTCAACAAAAGAATACAGTAGTAGTTAATGCGAAAGGTATCACATCCAATATGAGTAAGGTGTACCCTCTGATCATCTTTCAAGCATAACCTTGTTGATCATAAAAAAATCCTTCTCATAACTTCATCCTACTGCATGTGAAAAGCGTATTGGGAGTAAACAATACTGGGTCATGAAAAGATATTGGGTCATAAGAACTTAAGTTGTTTAGATTTTCACATGCTCTCTCATAAAACTGAAGTTTGTCCTGCAAGTTATTATTCGCTTGTTACTGGCATTTGATTAAACCTGTTGAAAGAATTAATAAGCAATATTACAGACCCAATTATTTACAGTTGAATGCTGTACACTTGACACCATTATATGTGTCCCACTTTGGTATGAAATCAGAAGTAGTCATTAGGTCATTGAAAAATCATGTGTTTCCAACAGAGCACCTCACCCTCAAATTGCAGCTGTTCTACTCCTTTCATATAGAAACAACTACCTATTTCTAAAAGGCAGATATTCTTTTTAATAGTAATGAATGAAATTGACTTTTAGAGCGGTTGAGGTTATTATGAGCTATTATCAATGTGCTGCTATAGACGGGGACTGCTGGAGGACACACCGATCACTTTTCCTCATTCTGCTACTTTCTACAGTACAGCTACTTTTTTTTTTATCTCCATTAACTTCTGCCATTTACTATGTGTATAGCTGTTGGACGTTCCATGCAGAAAGAACCTTAACTAATTAGCAGAAAGTCCGACACTGACTGACTTAGCTAAACTAATGTTTCCAATAACCTAAGGTTCTTTTGATGCTGAGGACATAACCCTGTTTTTGTCTTTCCTAGACAATTCCTAGACCATTGAATGAACTGCTACATACAATTAGTGTCAATATATATATTTTTTAAGATGGGTTTAAGTTTATGTAGTTGAAAATATTTCGACCCTTTAGTGAAAATAGATCAGAGTTTCAATTTCTTTATATCAACTGGATCTATTTGTTTAGAAAAGTATAATGAAATTAATTTTGCTGTAAACTGTTACAATGAAAACAAATCATAGTGTTGTAACTGGTTTGGTTGAATAGGCTTTGAATGTTCAGATTTCCCTATTTTTCGACAGCCTTTGAGCTTTTTAGATCCAAGACTAAGTGGAGTTCTTTCTGGTTCAAGCATTCTTCTTTAGGTCCCCAAATACAGCCACAGATGTTTCCCACGGCTGCCAGATATTGTACAACTAACACATCAGCAGTACCTGAACTATCACCTGCTTTTAGCAGAAATAATTCTGATGTCCCAATATTTAAATTTGGTCTTTCACTCATCAGCTAACAGTTCTGTTTTCTATGCAAACTCCTCACCTCTTCTGATCAACTTTATGTAATAAAACTTCAAAACTTTCCACTGTCTTAAATCACCATTGTCTCCCCAACAAATGAAATGAGATTACGCTTTGTAAGACTGATAAGAGTGACTCTACTTAAAAATGTATGTACAATAAGATCACAAAATACCAACTAGATATTCTTGAGTCAATATCAATGTCAACAGCATAGCTCTGACAATTGAGAGTTGCATAATAAAATCACAATTTTACAGCACATGCGATGACATAAGCAGTCCCACCTCACAGGTTGCACTTAGTTTGAACTACATTTATGACATCTAAACTGAATTGGTGTTATAAAAATAAACTGAACTGAAAACTAAACTGAAATTAAAAAATGAAAGCAATACTGACTTACAATTTGAAAACTGTGTGAATATTATAAGAAGCCCAAACTACAGAAACACTATATAAAATATAAATTACAATGATAATTCAACAATCAAAAGTGTCAGTTTTGATTGTTGAATTATCATTGTAATAATAATAATGCATAAACTACAGCAAAAAGCCATACATGGAAGATGTAAAATATTCTTTAAACAACATCGAAGTGTTTTTCAGATAATGTTCCATTGAGGAAAATAATTTGATGATCTGAGCGGATTTTGTAACTTTCCACACATGTAAAGAAATAAACATTGGAATCTTTATGGTAGCTTTACTTTCAGTTGGAGAGACAGTTAACAGTATCATTAAACACTTAGAACTTGATCTCATAACAACAAGTTAAACATCTGATCAAAACACTTTTGTTTATCTTGATGTTGGGCACAACTAACCAAAAAATTTATTGTAGATCTTCTTGATCAAAAGTTGTTTTGTTGTTGTTGTTGATTTTTTGTTTTTTTAAATAGTACATCTGTCAACAGAATCAGTTGTTCCATGTCAAAGCCTCTTTAAGCAAGACCAGAGAGTTGTCAAAGGACAGCAGGAAGTTTTGACAGTTGATCTGATAAAATTAAAATTAATTACTCTTAATCTGGGGCTCTAGGCATTTTCTTTTCTGATGGGATAAATATGATCATGTGAAATTTGAAGAATTAGCCAACAACTAAAAAGGATAACATGTTGATGATCTGGAGGCCAAACCCTGTACTCCAAGGTCATAAGATAATTTCAACACACTGAGGAGCCAAGAGATGATGCCTAAGAATTTTTTTCATGTTAATTTTCCTTCCTCAGACAAAATACAAACATGGACACATGTTCCACAATTACCAAGACCAAAACATGTCAACGTGGTCAATTTAAAATAGTGACAAGAAATTAAGACATAAGTCTTCGGACTCATTCCGAATATTCACTTTCAGTGTATCAGTAGCAACCCCCTCAACTTTAACTGACACCCTTCAGGTAATGTTTCTTTTATAGTAACACTTCATTTTCATCCTGTCTCAAATCACCTCCATGGTAACTATATATAGCAAATTGTAATGTACCTTGTGTTGGGTGGAAACAGATTTGGTAGAAGCTGGAATAGGCTCCATGCAACCAGAGCAGGTGTATGTCGTATGTCTCCTCCTCCTGTGCGCTTGAGAGTCACATATCATGTTGGCAAACAGTGACTCGCTTGCAGGTTTGTCATTACCATTCAGAGTCCCTAACATGTGCTCCACCGCACCGAGGCTAACAGCCCGTCTCAGCTGGCGCTGCAGGGTTTTCTTTACGAGCAAACTGTCTTCAGCTGAGACACTCCTGGGAGTTGCATTAACAGCATGGAGATTTCTTTCAACAGAAATCCAGCAACTGTGATCATCTTTAAGGTTTGTTGACAGATTCCTGACACTAGATGCAAGCTTTGTTCCAAGTGGTGGATCACCATTACCTCTGAGGACTATAACTGGAACCTCTTCAATATTTACACCTTTAGTAAGACTACCTTGTCGAGTTAGTTGATTCTCTATCTGTGAGGGTTTAATACACTCTGCTTGACTTTGATTAAAGTTGGTTTTTGAGTCATCCTGAGTCTCAGACGTTTCAAAGGGAGCACTTGAAACGACCTCACCTGGAGAATCCCTCAAAGGTTCAGTATGCTTTAAATCTTCTGATTTCCTCTTTTTCCTCTGAAAATATCTTTGACCTTTAAGATCTTTAGATCCAGGACTTAGCGGAGCTTTCTTGGGGTCCACATAGCATTCCTCTTTAGGTCCCCGAACGCAGCCACAGACATTCCCCATTGCTGTCAAATATTTAAGTACTTATCCATTGACAGTTCCGGAACTCCAAACAGCATTTTAAACATCCAGAGAGCTCCTTTTCAATCTATAAAAGCACTATTCCAATGACGCGGAGCCATTATAACACTAGAGAAGAGGAGCATAAAAAAATCAGCAGCAGTCCGAGAGCGAAACATGGAGCTCTGCTATCAGAGGAAGACGAATCATCGCCCTTTAAACTTCCTGCTGAGAACCAGCCAGCCTTTTCTCTCACTGTGCTCCTTCCTTGCACTCCACTCATACTCTACAGTCTTTGCTGACCTTTGAACGTTTTCCCAGCTTTGCTAATCCGGGTAGAAAACCATAAATGCACACGCAGACATGACCCATGTGCCTGTGGCTCTCAGCTGGCCGAGAAAGAAAGAGATTTGTGGACAAACCTGTTTGAGTCTGGCTAGTCTGCTTTTTTTACAAGACGGTAAATAACAACACAACAGCTGCTTCTACATTTTTTGTGGGTAATGGCAACATGCTGTGAAACAAAAGTGACACCATATGCTTTTGTGCAAAACCTTCTGGGCTGATAAACCAGAGAGAATATCACCAGAGCAGGAATCCGGTTGGAAACAAAATATCATAATTCAACAAGGATGATTAGGGAGCTGAAGGACATCACACTATGACAAAAAAAGTTATTTACTTTGTTTAAAGATCAATTCCAACAATAGGTAGCTACGCCAGGGGTGGGGCCTTGATCCACCAGAAATTACGTTTCACATAGTTTGAAAGGATGCTAATAGTCTGATAAGGAAAAAACTGTGTGTGTCAAACAGTTAGAGCTGCTCAAATAGTGTTTTACATGTGAAATCAGCATACAGGCTATTCTATAAAAAAAACTATATGCCCTGTTAGATATAACATTGTATTTTTTCAGAGGTCAAAGTCCCTGAACTTCAAGTTCTTTTAAAATAAACATCATTATTCTTTAGATGTGGCTTAAAAATGAAACATAAATAATTAACTTATGTGTTGTCAGCTTATCTCTCTGCACATTTCACTATAATGTAGGTTGATAATATGTAGCAGGACTTGTTATTCGAGTTTGATCATTCTCCTTGACTAACAAAGTTTCAATAGCAGCCACATGAAGTAGTGAATCACAAATGTATGCTTATGCTAGCTATGAGATCACAAAATAGATATACTAGTGACAGAAACCGTGACACAATCAAGACATTACAAACAAAACAGTCACACAAGTGCCAAAAACTCCTGACAGATAAGTGTGATAGGATAACAATGCCATGACAACAGCGGTACTCTACAATTTCCACTTAATATGCATCATCTCAGCATACATATTTGGATGCTGTTAAGGCATACGGGCCTTAAACTTGCTCAGACATGAATAAAAAGATCATATTTTAGAAGCAAAAACAGTGGAGTCGGTATTAAGTAAAAAGTATAAAAATAGAAAATAAGGACTTGTGTAAGAATTCCTGCCTGCAGCGCTAAGACAAGCATGAACACAATGTCCCCCCCACAAAATTATCATCCTCAGGTGAAACAGTTAATCAGTTTCTTCAGGTGCATTTTGTCAAAATAACTATTTAATATAAAAATTCCTAGTGTTGATACATGTCACTTATTTTTGTGAGCTTTGTTTTCTTTTAAGGACAAAGGAGTGCACTTTGAATGAGGTTGAATATTTGTGCTCATCAGATGCCCTGATGCCCTGGCGGAGCAAGAGATAACAAGCCACATGCTGCTCCACCGAGTGCTCTGGGGCTTGCGTGAGACTGACAGGGGCAGGTGTTGGCAACATCCTGGACGCTACCTGTCAGCATGTCTGAGTCCAAGCGAAGCTCTACTGTATCTGCTGCTTTTACTCTGACAATTCAGACGCAACAAATCAGTCAAATGTGCACTCATTCAAAACCAGCAGAAACACTGGCTCAAAGTATAAAAGTAATACAGATTTAAAGTAATTTTTTTCTTGATTTACAATAATAAAAGTATAGTAATCACATTAGTGAGAGGGAATTAGGAAAGAATAACATTTTTGGATATGTGTTGAATACCTCCGTGGGCATCTGGATGTTCATATGACATGATTTATGGAACCATGTTACAATGATTAAGGACTCCCTGAGGGAAAATTTTTTAGAAAATGATGAGGATATATATACATAGTTTAGAATATGTACAGAATGTTGAACTCCTCCAAAGATAAAACAAAAACTCACATAATAATTGCAAAATAATGTGTAGAAAACAATATATATTCTTTTGATACTGATTTGGTAGCTAATATAAAATATAAGATCACAAAAAATCTGTTTTTGTGGATTTAGAGGGAGATAGTCACATACTACAACTATAAAAAAAAAGGAAAATTCAACATCAAAACCCACAAAGCACTCACCATGTTAGTGTTTACTTAGCTCTTATTAAGCCTGAAAAGGTTTGCTGCACAAAGCCCAATCAGCCAGTATAAATATTGTTTTACTAATGCCATCTGCAAGCACCTTATATTACCAAATTAGAAACTTGAACAGTAGCAAATAGTTTAACGTTTAATAATAGTTTATACTATATTCTGAACGTTACTCTTGTCTCACTCCTCTTGGTATCGGAGGAGCTGACAGGATGAGAGTGGTCAAAAGAAAAATACCTTTGAAATAAATTACCTTTTACTGCCACAAACAATGAAAGGGACAACCTAAAACATTTAGAGGAAGGTGAGCAAGCAGGATTAAATGAAAAATTAACTTTTTCACCCTACATGACAACTTACACAACATATTCCTCCAATCGCTCCACCCCATAGTCAAACAAGGCAATGGGAGGAGCCTAATGCTATGGGAATGTTTTTCTTTAGCAAAGAAAAAGGAGTCAGAGTTGATAGGAAGATGGATGGAGCTACATACACAGCACACCTAAAGAAAGAAACTTGTTAGAAGTTTTAAAATGCTTGATACTGGGGCAGGGATTTACCTTTCAGCAGTGCAAAGACCCTAACATAAAGCCTACAGCTCAATGTTAAGGGGTTTAGGTCTTAACATATTTATTTCTCAGAATGATCTGTCAGTATTGATACATAAATCCAAATCCTTGCAAATTGATGTTCATAGATGCTTTCAATCCAATCTAACTGAGGTTGGGCTGTTTCTAAAATATGAACAAATACAAATTTAAGTCTATAGATGAAAACAACTGGTAAATATGTGTCTCTAAGATGCATCTCACTGACCTGAAAGTGCAAAATGATGGTCCAGATCAATCCCAGGGTCAGTTTTGGATTGCCATCCGTGATGTCGTCATTCCTGATATTTACAAGTTTGACCTAGGGATAGATAATATACAGTTATTATCACACATACATTCAAATGCCATTTGCAAAATTTGCATTCTGACTCTGCAGCTGATGCTGTACATTAATAACAGACACCTTATCTTTAGCTGGAAAAATAACCCACAGAATAATCAACACTCTATGTTCATATAAGCTAGTCATGTTTAATAAACACCACAAGGTGGCACCCTACTCTAGACATAATAAGCCGGAAGATTTCAGTTGAACTCTGTGCATGAATGACTTTACCTTAGGAAATGATCTAAACTTGTTAGGACATTACCACATACCAGAATCAGAAAATGATGAGCATTTATAGGTGTCTTTCAAATAAAATGCGAAGGAGAGATCAAAGTCTGAACACAATCCGGTTTATGAAGAGCCTTCATTAGTTCCTGACAGCCCTTTTAACAGTGGGGAGGTGGATTCAAAGGAGCTTTAACAGTTAGATGATTTTACATCTAGCAACACTGGCATGAATGTATTTTGTCACTGATTCCGTTTAGCTGAAACAATACTACTACTCATTTGTATAATGCATGAATCCTTTGTGTCTGGTTGTATTCACATCTGGCTACAGCTCAATGAAGCTGTGTTCTTCTGAACAGCCTGTATATAGCTGAGGGGGAGGGGATGCAACCCAGAGCTCTAAAATATTTCTAAAATGAATTGTATTTTTCAGAAATTATATGGTACCATTACCATTTCAAGTACTTAATATATATTTAAGGTAAAGTAAAAAAAAAAATGTACAAACAACTGTTTGTATTTCATGTCAAAGTGTTTATCCATGTCGAAATAGCTGAGAATATCTTGTAAATCATATTGCACAACAAAATATAGAGGTGCACATGAGTTGTTCATTTTATTTAAGTAAATTAGTCTGAAGTTATTACACACTTGAGCTAAACATTTATTATATATTTAATAAATTTAGGTTTAAAGTCATCTTTTGCCCAAATGTTTATTCACTTGAAATAAAATAAATATGATTGCTGTAACACAGCCAGCTATGATGGAGAGCAAGCAGGTGTTCCAACATCAAAAACTTGGAGCTCATCTGTCATGGTTTTTGTTCTGTTTAAGTTTTATTTTTGAGTTTTTCATTAGTTCTATTTTCTTTTTGTGTCATTCTAGTTTTTTTGGTTGTACTTGAGGTCTTATGTATTTCTGTTTACCCTCTGTTGCCCCCTTGTGTTATTCTCCTTCCCCTAGCTCCCTTCTAGATTCTTCTGTCTTTTAAAGATTTGTCTATGACAAATCATTAAAACTGCCTATAGGAAAATTTTTGAAAAGCTGCCAATTTATATCACAAAATGGTCTGACTACTGTAATTTCAACAATGGTTTATTGAAGTTACAAATTAAATGAACCCTTTTTATAAAATGTTCACAAAAAGATATATAATTTTATAGAATTGACACATTCTTTGATTTTTATCTTTTAGAGATCTCTGTCTCATTTCCGAGCAGAAAAAAACATTTTGGTTGAACGTAAATAATTAAAATGCATTAAACTATGCATATATTGATCAATCCAACCAGAGTACTCTGGTGTGGATGCAAAGAAAATAACACCAGGATTTTCATTATTAGTGAAGTATCTCAAAATGAAGCCATGAAATGCAAAACATAAAAAATATGGAGGCTTTAGTCAGGGTGCCAGAGCAAAAAGACTTTTGCAGGTGCTGGTTATTTTAGATATTACCCATTTAGTACTTTTACCAATCTGGTCATTTAATCACAAGCTTAAGAAAAATTGTATCACTGGTCAACCATTCAGACCTGGCTTTGGGGCATTTTGCCAAGTTAGCAAATTGACCTTTAGTGGTTCAACTTCTGCCTGTCTTGGGATGCTCTAGTAGTGGGAATGTTTGCAGTCTTTTGAGAATCTAACATTTTTTGAGGAAAGACTGATGTCTACAGTCATAAATAAACTTTTCTAATCATGCTAGTGGCTACTTTGCAAAAGACACGTAAAAATATCACCCTTAGCAATAGAAATGTCTAAAACTTAGCATTACCGCTGCTCCTCTTTCAAACATATGTTATGGAAAACCCTTTGCTTTGCAATTGCAATTAATAACTATTCAATAGAGGAGAGCTAAAAATAAGAAAAAAATAGAAAAGAAAAGATTAACATTGAAAAGAAAGTGGCCAAAAATTATTTTGCCAGGTTAAAGTTTTTTAAAAACTAATAATCAGAAACTGACCATAAATCAGTACTTCTCTAATTTTGTTTTAGATTTCTTGAGTACAAACTACATCATGTTCCAGCACTGACCAAAAGGTATTTTTTTCCCCTCAAATTCTTTTATTTCAAAATAAGATAACAGTCTGAAGAATAAGTATGACCAAAACCTTACCTGTCGCCTCTTTAAATAATCCAAAGCTATTTGTACATTTTGAAGCTTGTGGAAACGCATCCTTCCTCTCTCCCGGGGCTGTGAAGACAAACAAGGAACAATAACCATATGCTTCATCAGATACTTAATTTCAGTAAATGATTAGTAAAGAACAAATGACACAGAACATGCATCTTACCCCAGATCTGATGAAGTAGAAAAGAACACACAACTAACAGACATAGAATCCACAAGAGTTGCCATTTAAAATCCATTCAAACTGTGTGCAGACTATGAACTAATTGTGGTGAACCACCCTTGTGCTCAACAATTCCTATCAACTCAAGCTGTACAGGTTAGTTGAAAAAAAAAAAAAAATAAATAAATCTAAACCTCTTAGACAAGTAAGCAGAACAGAAAAAAATTTGGAAATTCATGTCTATTCAGTATTCAGTGCCACCAAAGATTATACAGTGCTGTATTATATGATTACCAGTGGCAAATACTCATGAATGGTTACAGGCCACAGCATGATGAGGTAATGGAATGGAAAATGCATTCAAGCCACGATGCAGCAGCAGAAGTAGAAGTGAAAGGCTTGAACTGCATCCAGCCTCCCTGTTCCTCTCTGCAGCAAAGCAATGGCACCAACAAACCAAGCTCTTTTATTATGTGAAGGCCATTCAGGAGACCTCGGAAGAAAAATATTTCCTATTCATAACTTCAAGTCAAAGACAAAATGTCTGAATCGCCATGGAGATTCAGATAGAGCTAACTATATGATGTCATAATGCCTAGAACTAGTGAAGTGGCGATGAAGGGGAGACTTTTTTAATGTTTTTTTAAGCATGGGTGGCTGATCACCCATTTTTGTTTTTGTCAAAAAGTTTTACACATCTTCGAGGGAAATTATTTTATTTCAAGTATAAAATATATACACAAATCCTATTATGTATTCATCAAAAAAGTCCCAAAACAAAAATGGTTTGCAAAAAAGGAAAATGAGTAAAATACATCTCAATATCAACTAGAGAAAAAAGTAACAACTCCTATGAGAATAAAATTCATCCTACGCTTCTATTTAAAGGGAACAACATGAGCTAAATTAGTGGGGTATTTTAAGGGGGGGCAGAACACACGTACCCCCTTATCATCATCATCATCATCCACCGTGTCTCCATGCTGCTCAACCGCACATGCTTCTCTCCCACTCACCAACCGCAACGTCTTCAGAAAATCACGCTCCCTTCGCTTTATCATCGAAAAGGCAACACATGAGGAAGAAAAGGAAGACATGGACACACACACACACAGCAACCAAACCATAAGGAAGTTGGACAATGGACAGACACAGTCATATAATGGAGAAGATGAGGAAAAGTGAGATGTAAACAGAAAAGACAAACAGGTACTTAAAGGATTAAAGTAACATTTGTGGAAGGGGGAATTAAAGTATTTGGAAGGTTAACTCTCATTCTTTGAATCAAAAAGTGACTAAATGGATGTGTAGTACACTGATGTAGGCCTTAAGAGTTGTTAGACATATTCAAATAAAATAAATCAGCTGAATGATTCATCCTAGAAATAATCACAACTGTTGACCTTTACTTTAATTAGATAACCTAGATATGACTTCCACCATAAATTGGTTAGTATATTATCAAAATATAAAACAGTCAATGAATATTCACATAATTAAAAAAGGTATCAAGTCACATTTCAATCTTTTTTGTGTATAAAATGACATAGAAGAATAATTGTCCCTATCATTTCTATTCCACATACAAATGCATCTCTTGTACATATATCAACAAGGATATACAATTACATATAAAATAATAATACAACCAGTACACTTTTATTCACTGTTTTACAGAAAACCTTGGATTTAAGAGAAAAAAACAAGTAATCTGGCATCCGTTTCCCGAAGCAGGTTTACTGAAAACTCTAAGTTTTCTAAACCTGAAATATGGGAAACTGAGTTTTCCTTTTCAAAGAGTTTACGCAACCTTGCCGTGGTAACATTCTCCCCACAGCTAACCTAGTCAGAAGCAGGTTTTGTTCAGTAAACTCAGAATGTCCTCTGTCTCTGCTCTCCTTAGAGCCAATCACGCTGTTTTATTTCCTGATTTAGTCAGATTTTTGTTTTTAGTTTTGTTCATGAAATAAATCATTGACTAGGTCCGTTAGGCACATTTGGTTTTAAAAACAAACTGTATGTCCATTTGATGAGGATCTAATCAAAGAATGAGCGGCACATTTTCACATAGAATTAAATATTTATAGGGAGAAGATTCTACAACTCAGTTGACAGGATATGAGGTTTACTTGTGTTTGGTTTATTTAATATGAGCAACATGCAGATTATTTTATTTCTATTTATGTATTTTTGCAGTACATGAAGAACCACTAAATTATTTTCAGGTTAAACATAAATAGATTAATTAATTTTGCAGCTGGAAAAGGAGTTACCTTAGGGTTGGGATTAGGATTCACTTGGTGATAACAACTTACTGAGCCTACTGGTAGGTAGGAGGCACAATCTGAAGCCATTTATGGGACTGATAACTGCTAATAATGACCTTTTATTAGGATGATGACATCCTAAGTGGCTGGAAACAGACACTTAGTATTTACTGTGTAAAAGAAGACAAAATCAACATGAGGAGGAACCCAATGAGTTGATGTACAAGTCCTATCTATCAGAACAAGGGTTTTATTCTTTATCTTTACTGCCAGATTATTTCTCCTAAATATATAATTTGATCCACTGCCATTCAAGAAATAAACACGTAATGCTATTGTGGTCACAACAGTTTATGGCAAGCCATTTTTATATGTATTATATTTACCAAATATGTATTGCAGATATCTGGAAAAAAAAAACATTGTTTCTTGTCAATATGACCCTTTCAAACAAGATTACATTCTTCACAACTAGAATAAAGATTCTGGATGTCTAGAAATGAATTACAGATCTCCATATACCTATTGTTACTGGTCAGCATTTGTATTATTTTGACAATGAAGAAATGTCTTTTAGATATTATAAATACATATTCAGTCAAGCTGATAAATGTCAAAACGTCCACTTAAAATGTTTAAACTTTTCTAGGTATATAAAACTTCATTCTTATGTGTGTAATTTTGTTTTGTTTTGACTTCTTTCTGAAATTCCCTAATAGGGAACGTGAGCTGGGATTAGACCGTCGTGAGACAGTTTAGCTTTACCCTACTGAT